CAAGGCCAAATATAGATTGGAGTTGCTTACCAAGATGACTTTGAATGTTCCTGAGTGGCCTAGTTACAGTTTTGACTTAAATCGGCTTAAAAATCTATGGCAAGATTTAAAAATGGCTGTCTAGCAATGATTTTTTATTTTATTTTTTTACATTTTATTCATTTTTAGCAGACGCTCTTATCCAGAGCGACTTACAGGAGCAATTAGGGTTAAGTGCCTTGCTCAAGGGCACATCGACAGATTTTTCACCTAGTCGGCCTCGGGGATTAGAACCAGCGACCTTTCGGTTACTGGCACAACGCTCTTAACCACTAAGCTAAGAATGTTGTACAATCCAGTTGTGAAAAGCTCTTAGAGACTTACCCAGAAAGACTCACAGCTGTTATCGCTGCCAAAGATGATTCTAACATGTACTGACCCAGGGGTGTGACTACTTATGTAAATTAGGTATTTATGTATTTCATTTTCAATAAATTTGCACAAATTTTGAAAAACATGTTTTCACCTTATCATTATGGGGTATTGTGTGTAGATGGGTGAGAAAAATATATATTTAATCCATTTTGAATTCAGGCTGTAACACAACAAAATGTGGAATAAGTCAAAGGGTATCAATACTTTCTGAAGGCACTGTAGTTTAGGCTAGAAGTTAAGATTGCTAACAGCTTGCAGATTGAAAGGAAAGCTGACAGAATGATTGCTTGTGGTTGCCTAGCCCAGCTGCTGTCTTGTACGTCTCAGACAGAGAGGGTGAGCTGATAGACTTTAGCCATATGGTCTAGTACTACACCTCTTATAAAATACATTATCTGACTGATGGGTCCTATTCATTAGGGCAAACCATTGTAGTTAAGTAATATGTATCATATATGCATTTTATATATACCTTACATATGACCCGTTATAAGACTATGCAATTAATATGATCAAAGTCTATTAAAACTGAATATCTGACTACATAAAGATGATTTAGCAATATGCGAGACTATAGTTGAGTAACAGTAATAAACCATCAAATGTCTGAGAATTGCCTATAAAAGGCAGATATTTAATTAACATTGTAAAACAGAATGAAATCCCATACAAGGCATAAAGCTTAAGTTACAAAACATTAACAAGCATTACAAGGCATTATTCTATGCATAAAGATGTTAGAGTTACAAAGCAAAGCATGAACAAAACAGGCCTATTCAGGCAGAAGCCCGAGCAGCCTACAAGAGAAACCTTTCTGTAGAGTGGATAACAGGAGCAAGAGAGAGAAGTAAATACTTTCATTCCATTTATACCAGATCTGAATTATTTGTGTTCAAAATCCGTTTTTGACAAACCACAGACCAAACCAAAAGATCAGATCGAACCAGCCAACATTCTCTAGGAAGGCGATCACATCTACAGTGAGGGGAAAAAAGTATTTGATCCCCTGCTGATTTTTCACTGCATGGCCCCGGCAGAAATGAAGGGCTCGTCTGGAACGGTTTAATTCCTGCAGTCATATAGGGAATGAAGCTACACATTCAGTATAAAGCAGGATAATGTACAGTGAGGGAAAAAAGTATTTGATCCCCTGCTGATTTTGTACTTTTGCCCACTGACAAAGACATGATTAGTCTATAATTTTAATGGTAGGTTTATTTGAACAGTGAGAGACAGAATAACAACAAAAAAATCCAGAAAAACGCATGTCAAAAATGTTATAAATTGATTTGCATTTTAATGAGGGAAATAAGTATTTGACCCCTCTGCAAAACATGACTTAGTACTTGGTGGAAAAACCCTTGTTGGCAATCACAGAGGTCAGACGTTTCTTGTAGTTGGCCACCAGGTTTGCACACATCTCAGGAGGGATTTTGTCCCACTCCTCTTTGCAGATCTTCTCCAAGTCATTAAGGTTTCGAGGCTGACCTTTGGCAACTCGAACCTTCAGCTCCCTCCACAGATTTTCTATGGGATTAAGGTCTGGAGACTGGCTAGGCCACTCCAGGACCTTAATGTGCTTCTTCTTGAGCCACTCCTTTGTTGCCTTGGCCGTGTGTTTTGGGTCATTGTCATGCTGGAATACCCATCCACGACCCATTTTCAATGCCCTGGCTGAGGGAAGGAGGTTGTCACCAAAGATTTGACGGTACATGGCCCCGTCCATCGTCCCTTTGATGTGGTGAAGTTGTCCTGTCCCCTTAGCAGAAAAACCCCCCCAAAGCATAATGTTTCCACCTCCATGTTTGACGGTGGGGATGGTGTTCTTGGGGTCATAGGCAGTATTCCTCCTCCTCCAAACATGGCGAGTTGAGTTGATGCCAAAGAGCTCCATTTTGGTCTCATCTGACCACAACACTTTCACCCAGTTCTCCTCTGAATCATTCAGATGTTCATTGGCAAACTTCAGATGGGCATGTATATGTGCTTTCTTGAACAGGGGGACCTTGCGGGCGCTGCAGGATTTCAGTCCTTCACGGCGTAGTGTGTTACCAATTGTTTTCTTGGTGACTATGGTCCCAGCTGCCTTGAGATCATTGACAAGATCCTCCCGTGTAATTCTGGGCTGATTCCTCACCGTTCTCATGATCATTGCAACTCCACGAGGTGAGATCTTGCATGGAGCCCCAGGCCGAGGGAGATTGACAGTTATTTTGTGTTTCTTCCATTTGCGAATAATCGCACCAACTGTTGTCACCTTCTCACCCAAGCTGCTTGGCGATGGTCTTGTAGCCCATTCCAGCCTTGTGTAGGTCTACAATCAAAGTCCCTGACATCCTTGGAGAGCTCTTTGGTCTTTGCAGTGGTGGAGAGTTTGGAATCTGATTGATTGATTGCTTCTGTGGACAGGTGTCTTTTATACAGATAACAAACTGAGATTAGGAGCACTCCCTTTAAGAGTGTGCTCCTAATCTCAGCTCGTTACCTGTATAAAAGATACCTGGGAGCCAGAAATCTTTCTGATTGAGAGGGGGTCAAATACTTATTTCCCTCATTAAAATGCAAATCAATTTATAACATTTTTGACATGCGTTTTTCTGGATTTTTTTGTTGTTATTCTGTCTCTCACTATTCAAATAAACCTACCATTAAAATTATAGACTGATCATTTCTTTGTCAGTGGGCAAACGTACAAAATCAGCAGGGGATCAAATACTTTTTTCCCTCACTGTATGTTTGATGACCTGAAGGAGTGGTCTGGGTACACTAGAGAGAAGACAGAATTCCTGAGAGGACAAAAGAGATCATTGCATACAGTGTCGTCAGAGTTCACTCTGACCAACTACAAATTACCACAGAGATCATACATCCATATAGATAGCATCAGTGTTCTCTTCAGGGTACACGTTTCAGATAGAGACTAAACAAGCATCACTAACACACATTTCAATAGACTATCCGCTGGATACTGTTTGAGAGAGAGAGGCATTTTGGCCTCTTGACAGGGAAAGGATCGACTGGCCCTTGAGAATTTTCCTTGTGTTCCTGGGCCATATGCCTATCAAAGGCAGATATTTAATTAACATTGTAAAAAAGAATGAAATCCCATACAAGGTATAAAGCTTAAGTTACGAAACATTAACAAGCATTGTTACAGAGAGCACATAGGTTAGGGTCGAGCCTACACCGTGGCATAACGTTTTGCAGGGGAAAAACGAAAACGATTATTTCTTATTGCACGAGTTCAGGTTGTCCCTCCCAATTTCAGTTCTTTCCTTTTGGTGCTTAATGAATAGGGCCCTGTTTTCTTCTCCTGTTTGTAGGACTCTGAGCTGCCCAACATTGTCCCGGAGAACCTTGTGGAGGAGATAGTGGAGTTCAGCATTGACCTGGTGGACCCAGGCTACAGGGAACTACTGGATGACCCTGACTCCCCCCAATATGTTGACCTTTCTCATCACCTGCAAGACCAGGTGAGATAATAACCTTTGCTGTCATTGTCAAGCTAAATAGAATGGAAATGAGTGACAAGGAGTTGGCATTATGGCGCAAACGAACTGATACTCAGGCTAGTCGAGATACTGCACAGTAGAAGACAAGACTTATGGGAGGCCAAGCACTGTACTCTGTATACCCTCTTTATGTTCATCAGTAAAATGTCCCTAAGACCAATGGGATACACTGTACATGTTTTATCCCATTGAGGTAAAGTTTATTTGTTGTCTTTATGTTTTTTTTAATGTGTTTTTAATGTATGCACAGAGCCGCAAACAAAATGTCCCAATGGAAATAAAGTCATTATCTAAATTTATCAGTGTAACACGATCAACTAACAGATACAGGAACCTGATGCTGTACAGTGTGTTCTGTGACACGTTGCTACAAGTGGTACTGTCCTCATGGGTTGTGGCCCTCTGAAGGGGTTCATGGTAAAGAGAATTATAGAATGCCACAGGATCATGAGTCAGAAGCAAAGAAAGCAGATTACTGAGTTGCACTTGGACCGTCAGGGCTGGATTCTCAACCTGAATAAACCAAGGTTCAGTCCCGATCTCCACCCTTCTCCCGAAGTATGCACTTGCACTTTTTCTCGCATTGGATGTTACAATGTATCTCAGCTGGTAGAGCACGGCGCTTGTAACGCCAAGGTAGTGGGTTCGATCCCCGGGACCACCCATACACAAAAATGTATGCACGCATGACTGTAAGTCGCTTTGGATAAAAGCGTCTGCTAAATGGCATATTATATTATTACAATGGTGGAAATTCAATGGACTCTCAAAGCTGGGCACAGACGTCAATTCAACATCTATTCCACGTTGGTTCAACATCATTTCATTGAAATGACGTGGAAACAACGTTGATTCAACCAGTGTGTGCCCAGTGGGACGTGTCTGCTAAATGTGAGTAACTAAAGATAGAGATATATGAGTGTCCCTTTAATACATTGCTGATTTACAGTACTTTAGATATCCTCAGATTACATTATGAGAGCTCGTAACCAGTAACATTTGTGCCAACAGAAAATGCCATCATGTGATTCTGTAATAAACAAGTTTTATTCAGTTCATCTTCTTTTTCAACAGATGCTCCATGTTTTTGACAAGCTCCCAGGATTTAAAGAGATCAGTGTTTTGGGAATCAGGTAAGTCTGTGGCAGACAGGAGTAATTACATCTGGTGCCTTCGAGCTTATTTCTAACATTTTGGTGAGCAAATTAAAAAAGCAATAGATTAGGTGAGGCAGATGAAAGCCAGGTGAAAGCTGGTAGCCCTGCCAGTAGCGATAAAGCACAGCCTCTGACTGCGTTGAGAAATTCCTCTGAGACTCAATTTATTTAATCGGACCTTAACTACATGTTGATTTGGAATGGACACTGGATTCATTTGAATACATAACAAGCTCATTCCCACCTAGCTGAAATACAGTCAAATGCAGAAACAGAAAATATTTTAGTGCCATCCAAGCCATTCTGTCATGCTACAGGTTGTGTTCTTGGCTATGCTGACTGTAATAAGAACCTGATACTTTAGTCATTAGTGTTAACCACATGCATGCCAAAAATACATATTTCCTTTCCTGTGTGTTCATATTGAAGATCATTATATCTTTACATTCAAATACAAAAATGTCACGAGTGAAAAGCACATGTTTGTGATGACACCCGACCAGCAATGGAGGATGTTTTATTTCCTTTGTAGATGACAAATCATTATATCACATACTAATGGCCTCTTTTCTTCCCCTCTCCAAATCTTAGCGAGACCCATGAGAGTGATGGGTAATTTAATTACTGTGATGAGAGCCATCTTGAGTGGTAGCTGCAGTTTCCCTCTGTGTGTCTGTGCTTGTCCCTGCCAGTCTGCTGCTCTGCTCAGTGTGTATCTGGATCTAACACAGGGCCCAGGGAGAGAGGGATCAGATAACCTAAGGGTAAATCCATTTGAATTCAATCACTTTTTGACAGCATCCCTTTTGATTTAAACAAAACTTTCTATACATGTTTGTCCATGGAAGAAGTGGTCAGAAAGTGGCTTTTTGGACCTGAATATCAAAACATTCAGGAGATAAAGGTGCTCAAAGTTTACCCCTTTTGCATACCCCAGGATACCATGAGACATCCATGTCTTCATCACTGGAAAATATATCCTACGGTTGAGTAAAAAATAAAAATAAAAACATGAATTATTTAAAAACGCAAAAACTCCGATTTTTTGCATATTTGCATATGTTGTAGTTTAGACCCTACTTTACATCATCTGAGGTTTTTGTGTTGTTCACGCCATTGGTTGAGACACAACATGCTCTTAAATACAGGGTGGGTGTCATTTCAATCATATAAATAAATAATGAATAGAATGGACCTATCTATCTCTTCAGACCACTGCATTTTAGCTGGTACACCTTTGACATTTAAATTGAATTGAAATGTTAACTTCTAATTACAGCCACAAAGATGGCCCCCATCGAATGTCAACTTAAATGGTCATGTCTATTTTATGATCTATATTTCAATGATTTCAATAGGTTTCCTATGGAGGATTGAGAGTATAATTTAAAACAACAGATATTCCCATTCAAGTCAACCTTCTCTGATGTGTGTGGACCTCCAACCATCTTTGTGGTACCATTTGAAAGTTGAAATTTCAATTTTATTCCCATTTCAGTACATTTATTAGCCAAAACATGACACCCACCATGGATTCAAGAGCATGTTGTGTCTCAACCGATGGTGGGCACAACACAAAAACCTCAGATGATGTAAAATAGGGTCTAAGCTACAACATATGCGAATATGAAAACAATTGTTGAAGCGTTTAGATCAGCTTTAACATTGCAGATAGATTGTGACTTCTATGTATGTAATCGTCTACATAATTTCCAATCCCCCATATATATTTTAGATAATTGATGTTTAAGCTAAAAAAAAAAGACATTTATACAAATAAATAAAAATAAATACATAAATAATACAATGGTTTGACAACCCTATTTGTGAGCTTTCTAATGATGTCAACCTCAACCATTTATATTTTCCAGTGATGAAGACATGAATGTCTCATGGTATGGTGAGGTATGCAAAATGGGTCGACTTTGAGCATCTTTATCGCTTGAATGTTTTGGCATTCAGGTCCAAAAAGTCACTTTCTGAGCACTTCTACAAAGCGCAAATATGGATGGAAGGTTTCGTTCAAATCAAAAGGGCTGCTTTAAAAAAGTGATTGAATTCAAATGAATTTACCCGTAAACAAACAGCAACTCGGCAATAGAGAGTAATAGATTAATAGAGAGTAATGGCGTCTTTTTGTAGGCACTAACTCTGCCATGGTTCGTTGAACAAAGCGTATGTCAAAATTGAGTTTTTGTAGTTTTTTTTTATAAAGGCCGAAAAAGAAGGTCTGTGGTAAACAGGCTTAGGAGATCATATACGTTTTGTTCTATGCTATAATCTTCATCAGCTAACATCACTTTTTGTGAATTTTGAAGCATAAAAAAAAAGGCTTCATAATTCATAAAGGTCATGTTAACTGACTGATATTATCTCATAGAACAAAACATATATGATCTCATAAGCCTGTGTTAAACTCAGACCTGATTTTCCCCATTCATTTAACCCATAGGAATGGCTGAACAAACCAGAGGTAAATCATTTCTGGTTTTTAGGACTACAAGCTGGCGAGCTCTATTACTCGGCTGTTTGTGCACTGCAGCCATGATGGGTCAATACATCAACCAGGGACACTGTTGAGAAATGAGTAACAAAATCAGCTGAAACTGGGACTCATGTTTTTCCCCTTCTGTGCCAAAATCCCGAAGTATCCCTTTAGGGTTAACAAGGTTTTCATAGACTTCTTCATCTTAGGATGGAAGGCAAGTAGTAGAGCAATGCAAAGCCCTGTGTGAATAGATTAATTGCTGAGTTCCTCCCTTCCCTAATTTGCGGGCCCTGTGGTGGCCAATGCTGTCACAAGCAATAACATCCATGCCAGTTAGTGGCTCAAGCCCGCTTCACTAATTTGATAAAGGATACACAACTCATTCGACCTTCGCATCTTCAGTATTCACAAAAACAAAAAGGAAAGAAATGGATGTATCAACGTTGATGTATCATTACCATTTCAATCAAAATCCCATTGAACTAATCTGTTTACCCTCCGGCTTCTGCATTGACAGAGCTGAATATTGATACATTTTTGATAGTGTCATTAAAATCTGCAAGAAAAAAGGGGTGGATTTCCATGCTCTGCATTTCAAGTATACTACTTTTCAATTGATCTCGTATCTTGACTCTCCAATTCTTAAACCTGCCAGGGGAATGCTGTGTTTTTAGTTTATTTAGTTAATTGCTTAAAGTGTATATAGATCTGTATAATTCAGTAATCACCAACTACTCTTATTTTCTCTCATACAATATATTCTTCTTTTTCAGACCTGGAGGAGTGACAGTGCACTATTCTCTGGTCTTTCAGACAATTTCAGAGGATGACACAGGGACTCCAGCGTCAGCTGTGCCCAGCCTGCGGGAAATGGTGGCCAAGGCTTTGAGTGAAGAGGCCTCTCTGCCAGTGGATCTACAGTCATTAAACTTTGAACCAGGTAGCCAAATCACTGTGAATAAGCTATGTTATATTTGTGAAATACTTGTTTTGCATTGTTTTTGTACGTCTTTCCACAGTAAAAGTGATTCCACCAACTACAACACCTGTTGAGGAAGCTGTTGAGGAAGTGATTGAAGATGTAAGTACTGGCTTATTAATCTAGACTACCTATGGTAAAATACCAAACTTTGCATCAACACGCTTTTTTTTGTCTTTTTTATCAACAGTCCAGTGAGCCAGCTTTCCACAACGATCTGGAAATATTCACAGATGAGCCAGAGATTGCTGTGGAGAAGCCTCGTCTGGATGTTCCACTTGGCACTGTGGAAAAGGAAAATTCTCTTGTCACCCTCCTGGACTCTACAGATATTCCAGAAGAAGAAGAAGGAGCATCACCAGAGAGAGGTGATGTGCCCTACATCTACAAGGATACTAGTGATGAATTAGTGTACATTGCTGAGAGTGAGTCTGAAGCAACAACTGAACCAGAGGAAGAGGTGCCATTTATCACACACATGATTGAAACCATTCATGCCATTGATGAGGGAACTGGTGAGCTTGTAAGATACTATTTCCCAACGCCTCCTGCTGAGGGATACCCTGAGCCACCTTTTGGTAATTTAGTCCCTACTAATGGGTACCCTGTTTTACCCCATGAGGATTTGGATATTACCTCCGCTCCTGAAATAGAAAGTATAGAAACTGATACGCCAGCTGAACTGTTTCCTAACTTGATATCAGAGGAGGAGGCTGTTGTTGAGAAGGAGACTGAGCCTACTCCAACCACTCAGATTCTGCTCACCACAGCCACAGCCATTGAGGAAGAGGTATCTGACCCTGGATTACCTGTGACGACTCTCTCAGCCATCACAGATCAGCATGCCACTGAAGCAATAGAGGACCTTGAAGTTGAAGAGGATTTTAACCTTCTTCCGATTGAAGAGGTTGAGGAACCAGAACCTGAAAAAGACGTAGTTGTGGAACCAGAACCTGAGGAAGAGGTATTTGAGGAACCAGAGCCTGAGGAAGAAGTAACTGAGGAACCAGAACCTGAAGAAGAGGTAGTTGAAGAACCAGAGCCTGAGGAAGAGGTAGTTGAGGAACCAGATCCCAAGGAAGACATAGTTGAGGAACCAGAACCTGAGGAAGAGGTGGATGAGGTCTTGGTAGTTGAGGTCTCGGAACCTGAGGAAGAGGTATCTGAGGAACCAGAACCTGGGGAAAAGGTAGATGAGGTCTCGGAACCTGAGGAAGAGGTAGTTGAGGTCTTGGAACCTGAGGAAGAAGTAGTTGAACCAGAACCTGAGGAAGCAGTACTTGAGGAACTACAAACTGAGGAAGAGGTAGTTGAGGTCTCGGAACCTGAGAAAGAGGTAGTTGAGGAAATAGAACCTGAGGAAGAGGTAGTTGGGGAACCAGAGCCTGAGGAAGAGGTAGTTAAGCTCGCGGAACCTGAGAAAGAGGTAGTTGAGGAAATAGAACCTGAGGAAGAGGTAGTTGGGGAACCAGAGCCTGGGGAAGAGGTAGTTGAGGAACCAGAACCTGAGGAAGAGGTAGTTGAGGAACAAGAACCTGAGGAAGCGGTAGTTGAGGAACTAGAACCTCAGGAAGAGGTAGTTGAGGAACCAAAGCCTGAGGAAGAGGTAGTTGAGGAACCAGAACCTGAGGAAGAGGTAGTTGAAGAACCAGAACCTGAGGAAGAGGTAGTTGAGGAACCAGAGCCTGAGGAAGAGGTAGTTGAGGAATCAGAACCTGAGGAAGAGGTAGTTAAGCTCGCGGAACCTGAGAAAGAGGTAGTTGAGGAAATAGAACCTGAGGAAGAGGTAGTTGGGGAACCAGAGCCTGGGGAAGAGGTAGTTGAGGAACCAGAACCTGAGGAAGAGGTAGTTGAGGAACAAGAACCTGAGGAAGCGGTAGTTGAGGAACTAGAACCTCAGGAAGAGGTAGTTGAGGAACCAAAGCCTGAGGAAGAGGTAGTTGAGGAACCAGAACCTGAGGAAGAGGTAGTTAAGCTCGCGGAACCTGAGAAAGAGGTAGTTGAGGAAATAGAACCTGAGGAAGAGGTAGTTGGGGAACCAGAACCTGAGGAAGAGGTAGTTGAGGAACAAGAACCTGAGGAAGCGGTAGTTGAGGAACTAGAACCTCAGGAAGAGGTAGTTGAGGAACCAAAGCCTGAGGAAGAGGTAGTTGAGGAACCAGAACCTGAGGAAGAGGTAGTTAAGCTCGCGGAACCTGAGAAAGAGGTAGTTGAGGAAATAGAACCTGAGGAAGAGGTAGTTGGGGAACCAGAGCCTGGGGAAGAGGTAGTTGAGGAACCAGAACCTGAGGAAGAGGTAGTTGAGGAACAAGAACCTGAGGAAGCGGTAGTTGAGGAACTAGAACCTCAGGAAGAGGTAGTTGAGGAACCAAAGCCTGAGGAAGAGGTAGTTGAGGAACCAGAACCTGAGGAAGAGGTAGTTGAAGAACCAGAACCTGAGGAAGAGGTAGTTGAGGAACCAGAGCCTGAGGAAGAGGTAGTTGAGAAATCAGAATCTGAGGAAGAGGTAGTTGAGGAACCAGAGCCCAAGGAAGACATAGTTGAGGAACCAGAACCTAAGGAAGAGGTGGATGAGGTCTTGGTAGTTGAGACCTCGGAACCTGAGGAAGAGGTAGCTGAGGAACCAGAACCTGGGGAAAAGGTAGATGAGGTCTCGGAACCTGAGGAAGAGGTAGTTGAGGAACCAAAAGCTGAGGAAGAGGTACTTGAGGAACTACAAACTGAGGAAGAGGTAGTTGAGGTCTCGGAACCTGAGAAAGGGGTACTTGAGGAACCAGAGCCTGAGGAAGAGGTAGTTAAGGAACCAGAGCCTGAGGAAGAGGTAGTTAAGGAACCCGAGCCTGAGGAAGAGGTAGTTGAGGAACCAGAACCTGAGGAAGAGGTAGTTGAGGAACCAGAACTTGAGGAAGAGGTAGTTGAGCTCTCGGAACCTGCGAAAGAGGTACTTGAGGAAATAGAACCTGAGGAAGAGGTAGTTGAGGAACCAGAGGAAGAGGTAGTTGAGCTCTCGGAACCTGAGGAAGAGGTAGTTGATGAACTAGAACCTGAGGAAGCGGTACTTGAGGAACCAGACCCTGAGGAAGAGGTAGTTGAGGAACCAGAACCTGAGGAAGAGGTAGTTGAGGAACTAGAACCTGAGGAAGAGGTAGTTGAGGAACCAGAACCTGAGGAAGAGGTAGTTGAGGAACTAGAACCTGAGGAAGAGGTAGTTGAGGAACTAGAACCTGAGGAAGCGGTAGTTGAGGAACCAGAGCCTGAGGAAGAGGTAGTTGAGGAACTAGAACCTGAGGAAAAGGTAGTTGAGGAGCCTGAGGTAGAGGTAGTTGAGGAACCAGAGCCTGAGGAAGACATAGTTGAGGAACCAGAACCTGAGGAAGAGGTAGTTGAGGAACCAGAGGAAGAGGTAGTTGAGCTCTCGGAACCTGAGGAAGAGGTAGTTGATGAAAAAGAACCTGAGGAAGCGGTACTTGAGGAACCAGACCCTGAGGTAGAGGTAGTTGAGGAACCAGAACCTGAGGAAGAGGTAGTTGAGGAACTAGAACCTGAGGAAGAGGTAGTTGAGGAACCAGAACCTGAGGAAGAGGTAGTTGAGGAACTAGAACCTGAGGAAGAGGTAGTTGAGGAACTAGAACCTGAGGAAGCGGTAGTTGAGGAACCAGAGCCTGAGGAAGAGGTAGTTGAGGAACTAGAACCTGAGGAAAAGGTAGTTGAGGAGCCTGAGGTAGAGGTAGTTGAGGAACCAGAGCCTGAGGAAGACATAGTTGAGGAACCAGAACCTGAGGAAGAGGTAGTTGAGGAACCAGAACCTGAGGAAGAGGTAGTTGAGGAACCAGAACCTGAGGAAGAGGTAGTTGAGGAACCAGAGCCTGAGGAAGAGGTAGTTGAGGAACCAGAACCTGAGGAAGAGGTAGTTGAGGAACTAGAACCTGAGGAAGAGGTAGTTGAGGAACTAGAGCCTGTGGTAGAGGTAGTTGAGGAACCAGAGACTGAGGAAGAGGTAGTTGAAGAACTGGAGCCTGAGGAAGATATTAGTGAGCCACCAGCTGAAGAAATTAAAATCATCCAACCTGTGGATTCTTTAGAGGACACTCTATTTGGAGAGAAAACTGATCCTGTTGAAGAGGACAATATTGTGCCAATAGCAGACCAGTCACCTGAGGAGGACATGGAGGAACTGTTGCCTGAATACCCTGGGTATGTGGACATCTATCCTGAGGAAGCTGTTGATACTCTGGAAGAAACAGGTGAGTAATGCAGGTTATAAAGGCTGTTCTAGTCCAGTAAAGAACAGACAACATGCATAATTAAACATTTAAAGCAATGCATTTCGTCGATAGAGGCGGGCAGTTGCATTACAGCTAATAATTACAGTCCGGCCCAGGAATGAGATATATTAATGGTCTATATTTGGACTGAGTGCTGTGCTGCCTGCTGATGAATGTTTTGTTAAATAGATCAGACAAATATTCACTGCATGGCCCCGGCAGAAATGAAGGGCTCGTCTGGAACGGTTTCATTCCTGCAGTCATATAGGGAATGAAGCTACACATTCAGTATAAAGCAGGATAATGTACAGTGAGGGAAAAAAGTATTTGATCCCCTGCTGATTTTGTACGTTTGCCCACTGACAAAGACATGATTAGTCTATAATTTTAATGGTAGGTTTATTTGAGCAGTGAGAGACAGAATAACAACAAAATATCCAGAAAAACGCATGTCAAAAATGTTATAAATTGATTTGCATTTTAATGAGGGAAATAAGTATTTGACCCCTCTGCAAAACATGACTTAGTACTTGGTGGCAAAACCCTTGTTGGCAATCACAGAGATCAGACGTTTCTTGTAGTTGGCCACCAGATTTGCACACATCTCAGGAGGGATTTTGTCCCACTCCTCTTTGCAGATCTTCTCCAAGTCATTAAGGTTTTGAGGCTGACCTTTGGCAACTCGAACCTTCAGCTCCCTCCACAGATTTTCTATGGGAATAAGGTCTGGAGACTGGCTAGGCCACTCCAGGACCTTAATGTGCTTCTTCTTGAGCCACTCCTTTGTTGCCTTGGCCATGTGTTTTGGGTCATTGTCATGCTGGAATACCCATCCACGACCCATTTTCAATGCCCTGGCTGAGGGATGGAGGTTCTCACCCAAGATTTGACGGTACATGGCCCCGTCCATCGTCCCTTTGATGCGGTGAAGTTGTCCTGTCCCCATAGCAGAAAAACACCCCCAAAGCATAATGTTTCCACCTCCATGTTTGACGGTGGGGATGGTGTTCTTGGGGTCATAGGCAGCATTCCTCCTCCTCCTCCTCCACGGCGAGTTGAGTTGATGCCAAAGAGCTTCATTTTGGTCTCATCTGACCACAACACTTTCACCCAGTTCTCCTCTGAATCATTCAGATGTTCATTGGCAAACTTCAGACGGGCCTGTATATGTGCTTTCTTGAGCAGGGGGACCTTGCGGGTGCTGCAGGATTTCAGTCTTTCACGGCGTAGTGTGTTACCAATTGTTTTCTTGGTGACTATGGTCCCAGCTGCCTTGAGATCATTGACAAGATCCTCCCGTGTAGTTCTGGGCTGATTCCTCACCGTTCTCATGATCATTGCAACTCCACGAGGTGAGATCCTGCATGGAGCCCCAGGCCGAAAAAGATTGACAGTTCTTTCGTGTTTCTTCCATTTGCGAATAATCGCACCAACTGTTGTCACCTTCTCACCAAGCTGCTTGGCGATGGTCTTGTAGCCCATTCCAGCCTTGTGTAGGTCTACAATCTTGTCCCTGACATCCTTGGAGAGCTCTTTGGTCTTGGCCATGGTGGAGAGTTTGGAATCTGATTGATTGATTGCTTCTGTGGACAGGTGTCTTTTATACAGGTAACAAACTGAGATTAGGAGCACTCCCTTTAAGAGTGTGTTCCTAATCTCAGCTCGTTACCTGTATAAAAGACACCTGGGAGCCAGAAATCGTTCTGATTGAGAGGGGGTCAAATACTTTAAATGCTTTACATTAAAATGTAAATCAATTTATAACATTTTTGACATGCATATTTATGGATTTTTTTGTTGTTATTCTGTCTCTCACTGTTCAAATAAAAATACCATTAAAATTATAGACTGATCATTTCTTTGTCAGTGGGCAAACGTACAAAATCAGCAGAGGATCAAATACTTTTTTCCCTCACTGTATTATGTATTGGACAGCTGGCAGGCATTTGCAGTATGGGTAAAACACACTTGTGATGGTTAGTGACTTATTGAAATATCCTCTCCAATTACAAAGATGACACACCAGAGGTCAGTGAAGTGGAAGAGGCTGCATTGCCAGAGGAGAGTGAAGAGGAGATAGCAGTGACAGCCGAACCCATCCCAGACTATACACCAACACCACCTGCAGAATCTGACACTGTGCCTGTGGTAGATGTAACAGAGTCACCTTCAAAGTTAGAGCATATGGAGGAGGATACTGAGGAGCCTGAGGTGGTTGTTATCGATGAAGAAGCTGAAGAGGAGGTCGTAGAGGTCTCGGAACCTGAGGACGAGCGTGTGCAAGACATTGCAGACGAACTTGACCAAATGGACCTGTTGAGCACAGAGCCCATTGACCTTCCAGAGGCCAGTGGATACCCACTGGCTCCTGAGGAGCACCCCTTCGAGACCACAGCGTCTCCACCACTGAGATACCTGACCACGCCCTCCATGACCACGGCCAGTAAGGGCAGGGAGCTGGTGGTGTTCTTCAGTCTACGGGTCACCAACATGAGGTTCTCAGATGACCTCTTCAACAAGAGCTCTTCAGAATACAGATCCCTCGAGAACACCTTTATGGAACTGGTGAGTGAAAATGAAATATGTTCATAAAGGGGGGAATTCCAACCTGGGTTAAGTGCATGTAAATGGAACATAATCCCCTTATTTCTCTCTACACGTATTCTGACCTTGAACTTAAGCATGAGAATAGTATGCTTTTCATCCGCTAGTCATTTGGGGTGGAGATCAAAGAAATGAAGGTGTGGAGGAAGTGTGTCTACAGATACGCTGTATTCTTTATGCGCAATGAAACAATGAATAAGGTCGAGCAACCTGTCTGTTCCAAGTAGAACAACATCTATAATTGTTTCAATAGAAATAACACCATTCTCCATGCACTGTAATTTACAAATGGAAAAGCACTATCAATGAGAGCTAGGTAAATTAGTAAACTGTTTGGATAAGGGGATTGTAAATAAATCCAAAATCTAATCAAAATCGAAGTTTTTTTTACATGCACCGAATACAACAGGTGTAATCTTACAGTGAAATGCTTTCTTACAAGCCGTTAACCAACAATGCAGTTTTAAGAAAAATAAGTGTTAGGTAAACAATAGATAAGTAAAAAATATAAACAGCAGTAAAATAACAGTAAAATAACAGTAGCGAGGCTATATACAGAAGGTACCGGTACAGAGTCAATGTGCTGGGGCACCGGTTAGTCGAGGTAATTGAGGTAATATGTACATATGTTGGTAGAGTTAAAGTAACTATGGATAGATAATAAACAGAGAGTAGCAGGAGTGTAAAAGAGGGGGTGTGGGGGGGGGGGGGGGGGGGGACACAATGCAAATAGTCCGGGTTGCCATTTCATTAGCGGTTCAGGAGTCTTATGGCTTGTGGGTAGAAGCTGTTAAGAATCCTTTTGGACCTAGACTTGGCGCTCCGGTACCGCTTGCCGTGCGGTAGCAGAAAGAACAGTCTATGACTAGGGTGGCTGGAGTCTTTGACAATTTTTAGGGCATTCCTCTGACACCGCCTGGTATAGAGGTCCTGAATGGCAGGAAGCTTGGCCCCAGTGATGTACTGGGCTGTACGCACTACCCTCTGTAGTGAATAAATGACAATTGTTTTAGATCTATTTTACCTTATGATCGCTGGAGACAAATGTGAAACCAGTCATATGGCAGCAAACTGAAGCATATCAACATATCACCTTTTCCACAGGGACATTTATGAAATACTGGCCTTATAACCTTGCAGGGATTAAATTTGGCGACCCAAGCTATAGGCTTCTGTAGCCATGAGCAAATGACATTATAACTCCAAACCTACTGAGTTGATTTATGATTTCTATAATATTTTAATTATATGTCCGAAATTATCGGTAGCTTTTCTTTCGTTCGTGTGGTTGTTCCTGAGGATTGCAAGCAATAGGGGATCATATTAGGCTAACGTATTACAAGTGCAATAATTTAGGACATTTAGCCTATTTGAATCGGTATGGAATGCAGACCATACGTAGCAGTTTAAACCTGGAGCTTGGTGAATGGTTCACGACGTCTTGGCTGTTGTCATCACAGTTCCATGATTAGTGAGGATTATTAGGGTAGATTTATAAGACTACTGTTCAACCCCTATCGTACACTTTTCTCACCTTCCAATATTTAATGGATTGAACAATTGAATATGTCAACTTTCAGGATGAATCAAACCACTGTATTTTTGAATCACCAATATATTTTGTGTATAAATACTTTCCTAACCCTAAATAATATACAAGTTCAGAGTATTTTTTTACCTACCAATTGGAGCTGAAAAGGAGATGAATATGCGTGTATTTAAATGGCTTTCTTTCATTGATCCTAATATTCGGAACTGTTCTCTCCATATATTCTAGTGAGTCTGTCGAAAAAATTATAATTAAAGGTACACCAAATTTAAAGGGATGGCTTTAGATAAATGTCCTGAAACCCCTACTGAATGAAAACTCCACGAGAAAATCTATTGGCCAGCAAGTGGGAGGGTTTTCCAGCGGTTGAATTACATTTATTCAGCGCGAGCAAGGGAACCACGCCTGTAAAGCCTGTTACACAACTGCATAAGGTAAGTCTGAATACCAACAACTGAGAAGTGCGTAGGAAAGGCGTACAATTCCTAAGTCTGAATCGGGCCTAAAGAGATACGAGTAGTGCATGTCTTTATCGCACTGCAGGGTACCGAACCCAATGTCATATAATGCGAAAAGGATACCACCCACACCCAAGTGAGGAAAGAAATAGAATAGGAAATGAAGCTGAAACCCTTCTTACTATTTAGGCTAAATTAAAGAGCAACAGAGTTACATTTTATGTTTTTTTTAATTTATTTATTTATTTCACCTTTATTTAACCAGGTAAGCCAGTTGAGAACAGGTTCTCATTTATAACTGCGACCTGGCCAAGATAAAGCAAAGTAGTGCAATAAAAACAACACAGAGTTACATATGGGGTAAAAAAACATAAAGTCAGAAATACAACAGACAATATATATACAGTGTGTGCAAATGTAGCAAGTTATGGAGGTAAGGCAATAAATAGGCTATAGTGCAGAATAATTACAATAGTATTAACACTGGAATGCTAGATGTGCAAGAGATGATGTGCAAATAGAGATACTGGGGTGCAAAAGAGCAAAATAAATAACAATATAGGGATGAGGTTGTTGGGTGGGCTAATTTCAGATGGGCTGTGTACAGGTGCAGTGATCGGTAAGGTGCTCTGACAACTGATGCTTAAAGTTATTGAGGGAGATAAGAGTCTCCAGCTTCAGAGATTTTTGCAATTCGTTCCAGTCATTGGCAGCAGAGAACTGGAAGGAATGGCGGCCAAAGGAGGTGTTGGCTTTGGGAATGACCAGTGAGATATACTTGCTGGAGCGCAGACTACGGGTGGGTGCTGCTATGGTGACCAATGAGCTTAGATAAGGCGGGGATTTGCCTAGCAGTGATTTATAGATGGCCTGGAGCCAGTGGGTTTGACGACGAACATGTAGTGAGGACCAGCCAACAAGAGCGTACAGGTCACAGTGGTGGGTAGTGTATGGGGCTTTGGAGACAAAACGGATGGCACTGTGATAGACTACATCCAATTTGCTGAGTAGAGTGTTGGAGGCTATTTTGTAAATGACATCGCCGAAGTCAAGGATCGGTAGGATAGTCAGTTTTACGAGGGCATGTTTGGCAGCATGAGTGAAGGAGGCTTTGTTGCGAAATAGGAAGCCGATTCTAGATTTAACTTTGGATTGGAGATTCTTTATGTGAGTCTGGAAGTTGAGTTTACAGTCTAACCAGACACCTAGATATTTGTAGTTGTCCACATACTCTAGGTCAGACCCGTCGAGAGTGGTGATTCTAGTCGGGTGGGCGGGTGCTAGCAGCGTTCGATTGAAAAGCATGCATTTAGTTTTACTAGTGTTTAAGAGCAGTTGAAGGCTACTGAAGGATTGTTGTATGGCATTGAAGCTCGTTTGGAGGTTTGTTAACAAAGTGTCCAATGAAGGGCCAGATGTATACAAAATGGTGTCGTCTGCGTAGAGGTGGATCTGAGAGTCACCAGCAGCAAGAGCGACATTGATATACACGGAGAAAAGTGTCGGCCCAAGAATTGAACCCTGTGGCACCCCCATAGAGACTGCCATAGGTCCAGACAACAGGCCCTCCGATTTGACACACTGAACTCTATCTGAGAAGTAGTTGGTGAACCAGGCGAGGCAGTCATTTGAGAAACCAAGGCTATTTAGTCTGCCAATAAGAATGCGGTGGTTGACAGAGTCGAAAGCCTTGGCCAGGTCGATGAAGACGGCTGCACAGTACTGTCTATTATCAATCGTGGTTATAATATCGTTTAGGACCTTGAGCGTGGCTGAAGTGCACCCGTGACCAGCTCGGAAACCGGATTGCATAGCGGAGAAGGTACGGTTGTATTCGAAATGGTCGATGATCTGTTTGTTAACTTGGCTTTCGAATACTTTCGAAAGGCAGGGCAGGATGGATATAGGTCTGTAGCAGTTTGGATCTAGAGTGTCACCCCCTTTGAAGAGGGGGATGACCGCGGCAGCTTTCCAATCTCTGGGGATCTCAGACGTTATGAAAGAGAGGTTGAACAGACTAGTAATAGGGGTTGCGACAATTTCGGCGGCTAGTTTTAGAAAGAAAGGGTCCAGATTGTCTAGCCCAGCTGATTTGTAGGGGTCCAGATTTTGCAGCGCTTTCAAAACATCAGCTGTCTGAATTTGTGTGAAGGAGAAGCGGGGGGGGCATGGGCAAGTTGCAGCAGAGGGTGCAGAGTTGGTGGCCGGGTTAGTGGTAGCCAGATGGAAAGCATGGCCAGCTGTAGCAAAATGCTTGTTGAAATTCTCGATTATTGTAGATTTATCGGTGGTGATAGTGTTTCCTAGCCTCAGTGCAGTGGGCAGCTGGGAGGAAGTGCTCTTATTCTCCATGGACTTTACAGTGTCCCAAAACTTTTTGGAGTTAGTGCTACAGGATGCAAATTTCTGTTTGAAAAAGTTAGCCTTTGCTTTCCTGACTGCTTGTGTATATTGGTTCCTAACTTCCCTGAAAAGTTGCATATCGCGGGGGCTATTTGATGCTAATGCTGTACGCCACAGGATGTTTTTGTGCTGGTCAAGGGCAGTCAAGTCTGAGGAGAACCAGGGGCTATATCGGTTCTTAGTTCTGTATTTTTTGAATGGGGCATGTTTATTTAAGATTGAGAGGAAATTACTTTTAAGGAACAACCAGGCATCCTCTACTGACGGAATGAGATCTATATCCATCCAGGATACCTGGGCCAGGTCAATTAGGAAGGCCTCCTCGCTAAAGTGTTTTAGGGAGCGTTTGACAGTGATGAGGGGTGGTCGTTTGACCGCAGACCCGTTACGGACGCAGGCAATAAGGCAGTGATCGCTGAGATCCTGGTTGAAGACAGCTGAGGTGTATTTAGAGGGTATGTTAGTCAGGATGATATCTATGAGGGTACCCATGTTTAAGGATTTAGGGTTGTACCTGGTAGGTTCGTTGATAATTTGCGTGAGGTTGAGGGCATCTAGCTTGGATTGTAGGATGGCTGGGGTATTAAGCATATCCCAATTTAGGTCACCAAGCAGTACAAACTCAGAGGATAAATGGGGGGCAATCAATTCACATATGGTGTCCAGGGCACAGCTGGGGGCTGAGGGGGGTCTGTAGCAAGCGGCAACAGTGAGAGACTTATTTCTGGAAAGGTGGATTTTTAGAAGTAGAAGCTCAAACTGTTTGGGCACAGACCTGGATAGTATGATAGAGCTCTGCAGGCTATCTCTACAGTAGATTGCAACTCCACCCCCTTTGGCAGTTCTATCTAGACGGAAAATGTTATAGTTGGGGATGGAAATTTCAGAATTTTTGGTGGCCTTCCTGAGCCAGGATTCAGACACTGCTAGAACATCAGGGTTGGCAGAGTGTGCTAACGCAGTGAATAACTCAAACTTAGGAAGTAGACTTCTGATATTTATGTGCAAGAAACCAAGACTTTTGCGATTACAGAAGTCATCAAATGATAGCTCCTGGGGAGTAGGAGTGATACTGGGGGCTACAGGGCCTGGGTTAGCCTCTACATCACCAGAGGAACAGAGGAGGACTAGAATAAGGATACGGCTAAAGGCTTTAAGAACTGGCCTTCTAGTGCGTTGGGTACATAGAATAAAGGGGACAGATTTCCGGGTGTTATAGAAAAGATTCAGGGCATTATGTACAGACAAGGATATGGAAGGATATGAGTAAAGTGGAGGTAAACCTAAGCGTTGGGTAACAATGAAAGAGATAGTATCTCTAGAGGCATCAATTGAGTCGGTCTCTGAGTGTATGGGCGGAGGGACAAAGGAGCTAACTAAGGCAGGTTTAGCTAGGCTGGGGGGTCTACAGTGATATAGTACAATTAGAAATAACCGAAACAACAATAAACTAACCATGTTTGGGCTGAGGCTAAACATAAACAGGATGTAGTACCGTAAAAAGGAACAGTCCAGCAGATATCAGCTGTATAGCTGAGTTATCATAAGGTCCGGTGGTGAAGCGCTAGTGAGTAAGAGGCCACGGCTAGCGTGTGCTACGTCCGTTTTGTTGTAGCCAGCTGGTAGCGATGAATCCGGAGTTAAAGGTCCAGTGATTCAGTGATTCCGGCGGAAAAAACTGATATGTTCTGGGTCGATAACGCGCTGTGCAGACTGGCCGAATATCCGGTGATCAATGTCCAGTGATTAAAAATTAATCCCGCGGAAAAAAATCCAATATTCTGGGTGCAACACCGCTAGCTGTGGCTAATAGCAAGTAGCTAGTTCAGTAGCTAGTTCAGTTTAGTGAGTAAGAGGCCACGGATAACGTGTGCTAACGGGCCAGGGCTAGCAGATGGATGGAATCTTCGTGGTTAACGTCGTAACCACATCAGACGATTTCGTCGGCAGACCAGTCGTGTAGGATCGGCGGGGCTCCGTGTCAACACTAGGTGGTCCCGTCCGGTTGATAGAGAGGTAGATAGCCGGGAGATGGGCCTAGCTCGGGATGATTAGCCAGACCACAGCGTCCGTTTTGTTGTTGTTGTAGCCAGCTGGTAGCGATGAATCCGGAGTTAAAGGTCCAGTGAATCAGTGATTCCGGCAGAAAAACTGATATGTTCTGGGTCGATAACGCGCTGTGCAGACTGGCCGAATATCCGGTGATCAATGTCCAGTGATTAAAATTAATCCCGCGGAAAAATCCAATGATCTGGGTGAAACACCGCTAGCTGTGGCTAGTTAGCTGGCTAGCTAGTTTCAACTGGAGATTCTAGATTCTAGATAAAAGGTAAGTCAATAATAGAATCCGTTCCACATTGAGTGAGGCGGGTTGCAGGAAAGTATATTTTGTAGAAGGATGAAAAGTCTGATAGGGAAATATGTACGAAAAATACAAAAAAAAACAGGGTATTTACAGGCTATTTACAGACACACGACAGAAACAGGACTGCACTACTTCGCCATCACTACTTCGCCACTCTTTACATTACTGACTGATGTCTTTCAGATCCCCATCACTAGGCAAAGGAGCTGGCCATTTACATTGACTTATTATCACTGACCAATGACGTAGAAAGGAAGAACTGCTTTTCAGCGATTACAGTCTAATCCGTTAAATGTATTTCACACGTTGGAAAAACTAAATTGGGTAAATTACCATTTACCTAAGCATTTGCTTCACTGTCTGTCTGTAGTGTGTTTAAGTGATTCGATTGAATCGATGAATGTACTTAGCTCTCACTAATGGCGCTCAGCTTCATTATCACTGAAAACAGCCCCCTGACCTGTGCTGGAACAGAACTACTGTAATACCTTTTCTCAACGACTTCATCAAGGGACTGTAAAATTAACTCATAACAAGTAATCTTTTTTTGTGTGTAATATTTACCTCCCCAATTTCGTGATTGCGATCTTGTCTCATCGCTGCAACTCCCCAACGGGCTCGGGAGAGGAGAAGGTCGAGTCATGCGTCCTCTGAAACATGACCCAAGTAAAGCCCCCCCCCCCCCCGGCCAAACCCTCCCCTAACTCGGATGACGCTGGGCCAATTGTGCGCCACCCTATGGGATTCCCGGTCAAGGCCGGTAATGACACAGCCTGGGATCGAACCTCAGGCTGTAGTGACGCCGCAACACTCTGCGATGCAGTGCTTTAGACATCTACACCACTCGAGAGGCCACAAGTCATCTTTTCATAGATATGTATTCAATTCAGCAAGTTTCATTTTTGGAGTGACATCTATTTAATAGTAATGTCCATATTTAAAGGCCTGTCTTTTGCATGACTCTTTTTTCCTCTGACTAAACTGACGTGCCTGCTTTAACATTGAGTTAATTTAGCAATGAGTCATAAGATAGCAGATTTAGCTTTCAGAATAAGGTACATTGAAATGATACAGCTGATGGGTATATTGTTTGTGAAAGTATAGCATAGCTAACCTTTCTTTTGAGCTTGACATGTTAGATAGAGTATTCCTATTAGCTGCCTTTACTGGTTGGATGTATCATCAACAGATGATTTAGATAGATTGATTAGATTTACTTATGCACATAAGTAGATTAATTTATCTCGCATACACGCTGAAACAAATGCACCATTCTCCTCAGTATACAGTGCAATGACTCAGCTTACAGTTAATATGCTGAAGAAGATGAGGGCTGCCATGTTGAGAACAGAGCACGTAGACACTGCTCTGGTTTCTTTTGATGTGATAAGATGTGGGCTAAAATACAAGAAGAAGATATTTCATATGTCAAACCAATTTTTGTTGTTGTTGATGTCATTGATTTGCTGTCACTATGTCATTGACCCCATAGCTTCATCACTAAAAGCGTCCACATGTACAGACTCCAATGGAATCGCTTGTTTGGGCTAATTTCAGGCTTAGAAAATAACAAATTGAAGGGCCAGACTCTCTGAGAAGTTAATGGATTTGAAATGCCGGCTCATTGTAAACATATGCACGTTCTGTACGTGGAAAATGAATGATAGAGCCATTATGACTTGCTGCATTATAATAGCATGATACTTCAATGCAAAATGCTCCATAGAGCATGATCTGATCTATTCTATACTGCACCTGTAGAGCCTTGACTATTCTGACTACAATACAAATCAGTGTTTTACTTTATAGGAGCAATTCAACCCCAACGGACACAGAGAAACAAAGTAGTTAAATGTTGTTTCAATTTGAATCAGATTCCCAGCTATGCAGGTATGTAGGCAACCTTTAAGGTGTTCCAACTCTTGAGCAGATGTATTTTCGAAAGATATGGCATTTCACTCACAATTTGTGCATAATTAACATATAATTGCAGAGTGGGCTATGCTCTCTGTTTGTCTAAAATGGTAGCTTTGAATCCCTTTGACAAAACCAATAAGTGAGAAAAACTATAAAGAACATTGCTGTGCTGACAACAAAAGTCTGATGAACTGCCAAGCCCTGATATCTCTACCAGCATCAAAGCTGTCCTAAGTTGCCCTCTAAAGACCAAAAACTTTTCAATGTGCTTCCTGCCAGTAACGGTTCTACATTCAATATTTCCAATTTAAAGAAATAACTAACTGAAGGCGACGTTTTTTTGCCCCCCGGACTTGTCTGATCTATGCTCAGGAGCTGAGCAATTACATACTTTTAAATGGTTTATTCAACTCAGAGGGAAGGTGCTGGCTTAGACCTGGTTGTATTATATTTTTACTTCATGGCTTTGAATAACAGGACACTGCCACACCAGTCACCAGTCAGTAGAGGATTTGAGTATCAGGGCTTTGTTACACTACAATAGTGTATAAAACCCTTGGTAACTACGGACAGTGAATAAATGTCACTTATTAGAAAGTCGTTAAAATAAGTGAAGGCCAATAGTCTCTTTCTATGCCTAAGAGAAAAAAGTGAAACACATTGGAAATGTCAATTGAAAATAATTTGTCCTCAACGCTTTAGTCACTTTTGGGTTTTCTCTCCTGTTTCTGTCCAGCTGCTGCCTTACCTGCAGTCCAATCTAACAGGATTCAAGAAGCTAGAGATTCTTAACTTCAGGAATGGCAGCATTGTAGTCAACAGCAAGATGAAGTTCACCAAGTCAGTGCCATACAACGTGACCCAGGCTGTCCACTGTGTCCTGGAAGACTTCTGCAACGCTGCTGCCATGAGACTCAACATTGAGATTGACAGTCACTCTCTAGACATAGAGCCTGGTATGAGACGAGGCCCTGGTTGTGTCCTAAATGGCACCCTATTCCATTTATAGTGCACTACTTTTGACTAGGGCCCATAGATAGGGAATACAGTGCCATTTCAGACGCAGACCATGTTTCACTGCAGAGTGTTGCACTCATTTCAAGAGGTTTACCGAATATGAAATACATAACAAATATACAGTAGTAACAGTCTAATGAATAAAAACATGTTTTGCACTGAGACTATGACAGCTATAAAGAATAAAGCACTTTTACCGTAGACTAAGTTGGTGAGAGTGTAAAATCTATTGAATGTTATGGGCCATCAATGCTAGACTTTTCAGTAGCTAAAGTGCTAAACCTTCAAATTCAATGCAGACAGAAAGCTGAGGAAGACCTCATTAAAATCAAATCAAACACTTTTGACTACCTCCCTGAGAAAAAAGATTGTTAAAAAGGGGGAAAAGACAGCTTCACAGCTACTTTGGTATTTCATGAAAACTTCCCCCTTCCTCATCCTTTTTTAACAGCTGATCAAGCAGATCCCTGTAAGTTCTTGGCATGCAACGACTTCTCTCACTGTGTGGTGAACCGATGGTCTCGGGAGGCTGAGTGTCTCTGTGACCCGGGGTACATGACGTTGGACGGCCTGCCCTGTCAGAGTATCTGTGTCCTGCAGCCTGACTACTGCCAGAACGGGGGCCATTGTGAGATAGTACCAGGGCATGGAGCCACTTGCAGGTACCTTAGAATACTTGAACATATAGGAAACATTGCAGTATGTTTCTATACATGAATATCAAGATTTGTATTAAACCATTCATTTTTACTGCTACCAAATATTCATAATATCCATTGTTACAACATGTTGTTCTCCTTGTTTGTTGTTTCCTTAAAGTGTTGCGAGGAAAGCAACACAACAATATAATACCACATTCAACACTATGCACACACTCTTCATGAACTGTACCGTCCATTATGTGCTCTAACCAATTGTATTTCACCTCTTTAGATGCCCAATAGGTAAAGTCTGGCACTTTAACGGGGAGCGCTGCACTGAGCTGATGGCCGTGCCAGTAGACCCCTTCCTTTTCATAAGCTGCTTTGTGGGCTTCCTGTCCTTTGTTTATGCCGTGATAGCTCTCATGTTATTCATGTACACACAATGTAGACAGACCAGAGAGACAGTGACTTTGGCGTAAGCAAAAAGTATTTTCTTCACTGTGTGGATTTGTATGGTACATGTATTTAGCTGTACTATATGTATTCTTATTTCAACACTCACTATATATACAGACGTTCTGGTTAGAGATAACATCCATTTTGCTTTTAGAGCTGAGAGCTGCACTGGTACTGTAGTCTTAATACTAGTGGACTTGGGTGACGTTATCTTGACACTATAAGCTCACAGCTTGCTGTCGCAGACTTCCAGACAGTGTCATGCTGACACTGGAACCTACAGAAAACATTTCTCTATAATACATTTCTCTTAATATAATTTAGTTCAAACCCGATTAAACATACTCACCTCAGCTACAGAGGTAAAAAGGAACTTCTCATAAAAGGTTTTAATTTTGGGGATTAAATCTTTAGCTGTCACCACCACTCAAATCTTGGTTCTTATTTAACATCCACCTTCAAAGCTAATCATTTTGCCTTTACCGGTATGTGCTTCAAGATGTATTTCTGTATAAGGCAACTTATGTTTATTCTTCAAAATATCCTTCACTAACTATGCTACCACTTAACTAATCCCTCTACAGAGTATATGTAAAAACAGCGATAAAGTGCTTACAATGACAAAGTCGTGTTCAAGCAAAGGCTAAAGTGTCAATGGCTTTAGTTCCCCGTCTGATCCGGTTAGTTCCATGTGAAATTGTGCGAGCAGCTTTTCTGCTTGTCTGGGGATTTGGGGGCTTCAACCCTACAAGGAACCAGTTAACCCACCCACACAGACCTGGATTTGCCATCTCCCATTAACACAGTGTACATCCAAAATGGCACCCTATTCCCTATATAGTACTAATCTAGCTCCTAGACCAGACAGCACCACAAACAGTCAACAATAACAACAGTCTTAGAACATCTAAAGGTTAATACGTTATTTAGCTTTCCTGTAATCTTATTGTAACTAGTTTAAGATTTCTCAGGTCAAAGATAAAGATCAATTTTGTTTCAGCAAATCTATTCATTTAAACGATTTTATTTATTAGACATTTTGCAGGATGAAATCTCGAGCACAACACGTTATGACAAGTTAAGTCAGCTGTTATGTCATTATGACACGGTTATGACCATGTCATAACGTGTTGTGACGCTAGGTGTCAAGTAAAGTGTTACCCTACAACTAATACAAACTACTGCTACAACAGTTTTATTGCTTCTTTAAATCAGCACAACAGTTTTCAGCTGTGCTAACATAATTGCAAAAGGGATTTCTAATGATCAATTAGCCTTTTAAAATGATCAACTTGGATTAGCAAACACAACGTGCCATTGGAACACAGGACTGATGGTTGCTGATAATGGGCCTCTGTACGCCTATGTAGATATTCCATTAAAAATCTGCCGTTTCCAGCTACAATAGCCATTTACAACATTAATAATGTCTACACTGTATTCTGATCAATTTAAAGTTATTTTAATGGACAAAAAAATTGCTTTTCTTTCGAAAACAAGGACATTTCTAAGTGACCCCAAACTTTTGAACAGTAGTGTACATAAATACATATTTACAAATATCTTCATGGTGATGTTTCTATTAGTTAAAAACAAACAGTTCTTAACATTTGAAAAAGGGCTTTCTTAAATTCACTGTGATTTTAATGCCCTGATTTATATAGGTAAATCATTCCAGTCAGTTGGTCCTATCTATCTTAAAGATCTTACTCCAACCTCATGATGTACCCTTGGAATTTGGAATTGCTGCTATTGTCGAAAGGAGTAGTATGAGTCTTGTAAAGTTAGGTGTTCCTTAATATATACAGTTCATACATTTAAAAATAAATTGGTACCAATGCAGTCATTTTCTGTTTGGGAGTGATAGACAGTTTGGAGAGTCATACATTGTGCAATGATGCGTCTTATAATGGCATCCATGAATGAATCTGCAAAGATTGTTATAAATGACATCTAATTCGTAAAGTAAGGTCTTGGTTGTGTTTTGATAGATAATGTCGCCATTGTCTAGGATAGGAAGCAGCAGCTGGGTTACTAAGGTCTTTCTAATGGTTACAGTAAAACAATTATTATAGTAGATCTATAGTAACCCAAGCTTATAGGTAATTGTTTTTGTAATATTATCAATATGCTTTCCAAAAGATGAGTCTATCCCCAAACCCAGATATTTCAAACAATCAACACTTTCAAGCATTGTTCCATCACATTTAGAAATTGCCTGCTGTGGAGTTTATTCTTTGCCATGTACCAAACAGCATGATTTAGGACTTTGTTTGATTTAAAACCAAATAATTTGCTACAAATCATTTTTGTAAAGTGTTAATATCATCTGGGAGAGTTGCTTGTATCTGCAAAATATTTGAACCCGATGTATTCGGACAAATTAGAGGCAATTCAATTATGAATATAGAGAAGAGGGGTGCCAATACTGAGCCTTGAGGTACACCTCTACTGAGTCCAAGAAGTTGTGATTTGTGTCCTATGAAAACACATTGTTTTCTATTGCAAAGATATGCATGGAACCAGTTTAGTGATCTGTTAGTGAAACCAATGTTTTGAAGTTGTCCTATTAAGATAAAATAATCAACTAAATCAAATGGTTTTGATAAAAGAAAACTAGAAGATGGCACCAGTTAGTTTGCCTTGTCAGAAGAAGAATGTATATCATTAGTAAGTTTCACTAATGCTGTAGATGTAGAACGGTTGGGTCTAAAGCCAGATTGAAATGGTGAAATTAAATTAAAATGTATCTAGTACTGATAACATTTGGGAATGTATTAATTCCTCAAAGATGTTTGCTATTGAACAACAATTTAGGCCTACAATAAGGACAGATTCTAAAATGATTGGTCTATAAGCAAAGGTAAAGTACTCTTTGTTTTTGCCAAGAGGATACTGCACCATATTTAACTCAGTCATTCCATGATGACCATCTCACAGGTCTTTATACTGTACACTAGAACCTCCTGACTAATAAGTATTCTTTACAGAAACACCTTGTCGTGCTTCACCCAATGTGACTTTGCCCCTTGGGATAATGTGTAGTGGCAATTGTTTTATTTTTCGCTACTTCCTTTGCTCGTTTTGTCTCAATATCAGTTTTGTTATTATTTTGTAGATACCCAGAAAAGTATACGTCTTCCAGGCCAAATTAAGAAAATAGAGTGTTGAATGACATCAACACTATGTATTGAGGTAAGGACTTGCTAGGTCATTTGTTTTCTCTGGACAACTTTGACCTTTATTTGACATTCATTTCTGACCCAGACAGAGAATGCCAAGGCATCAAATTACATTATCGAAACAAGAAAGCTAATCAAACCATCACATCATAATTATTATTCAAACAAATTGGGCTATTATCTTTCCACTAGTTTACGGGTGAAGCTGAAATTGGTTTAGAGCGGAGTGTATTTCTACAACGGACAGTAAGCCACAGACAGACAGAAACACTTCACACAGACAAACTAAAACCACCCAAAGGGAAAGCTTATCCCATGTTATTCACCTCTTGATGGAGGAGAGGTGGATTCTCAAGCCTGTTTGTGAGCAGAAGCCGTTGTTGCTTTCGGAATGCAGGCTTTGTCAGTAGTCTGGCTTTGTGATTAGTCTGGCCTTCTTTGATCCTCTTTCCGGGTCAGTGTTATTTTGTTGTTGAGGAACTGGGTCATATTGAATTAAAGGGTTAAGTTAAAAGAAACAGAATGCAGAATTGAGTTTGGCTGACTTTCATTAAAAAGATCATACAATTCAAAGCATCAGACTTGGGTTTATACAGTATGCCAGTTAGATTAATGATTTACATCTTAGCTTGCATGCACTGTACACTGTCTTTGTGAAAGGTAACACTGGCATCTGTTTTTCTCTTTTTTAGACTTGATGACTGCAGAAGAGACACAGGAAAGTTTATAAAGGATATCTAATCGCGGATGCAGATCACAGACTGTTGTGATTGCAGAAAGACATTGACCTGTTGGCTACTGATGGACAGACAGGCACTCAGCCAGACAACCCCTTCATTTGACCTTTAAAGCCTGTGTTTTACCAGAAAGGATACTCCCCTTTCTGTCAAACAGACATTCAGGCGAACTCTGTGGACAGCTGTACTCAATCATTGTCAGCAGTGGGCAACAAAAGACTCGAGAACGACAGATGAATGTCAAACGGATGTGATCATTTTGCTGCATTTAACAAGGTGCTAAGGCACCCCAGGACAGCTAACCGCTTTTATACATATGTGCTGACATTTATTTTAGTAGTTGGAAATGTGTTTTTAATTTAAAATGCCAGATGAAAAGTTACAAGAAATGTTTTCCTCATAATGAGGTACTTATGTTGCAATGGAGTTTAGTGAATAACACATACTGTACACCTGTGTGGGTGATGTATCATTAACGTCTGTCTCTGTAATACTGTAATGGTGTTTCCTCAGTGTTGTGAAACTACTGTTCTGTACACGTCGGGGAAATTAATTGCTCACCGTCTTCAATAGGGCTTTTTTAACTCTATTTCCTCACAGAACTGTCTGTATTTTTGCTGCTGTAGCATTGAGTAATAGAACGTCAAACATGAGGGGCAAAATCAGTTGAGTGAAAGATGGAATGCGTTTATTTCAACAGTTAGAGATCAGCATTAGAAAGTGACAGTGAAAAGGCAGTATTTGAGGAATGATTGTAACGCGTGGAGAGACACAGAGCATATCGAAGCCAGTCAGTAAATGGTTGTACATTACAAGAGATATTCCAGGAGACCCCACAGTACAGTAGTACACCCTGGTGTTCAAGTCATACATAAATACTTAGATCTAAACTGAAGAAGACATGCCTCAGACACGAGCATGAGTGGATAGATCTCATGCATTCAAACAACCACGATGTCGCCTTTTCGCTTGTGCAGAGCGTCAAAGGGAATGAGAAGCGCTAGAAAACAAACTCCAGACTAACAAATAGCCTTACCTGAAGAGAGTAGTTCTAGTCTCACAAGAGATTGTCTCTAAAACACACAGTACTGTACATGACAAAGGCTGTCCTCCTCCTTGTAGCTTTGTTTGGATGAATTATTGCTTCATTTTAAAGTAGCTCTTTTTCAAGAAACATGAGTCGTGCCCAAACCCTTTGATTTTAGAGTAGAAAGATTTCTTTTGAAAATAAATGTGTACATTCCTGTAGAAACATTACTCTCTTTGTATCATATGCTTATATAAAATATTCTGTACGTAACTGTCTATTGAAATATGAGATAAATCCAGGAAAGGGAAGACTAGTTGACTACTGTATGAGCTTGATGTCTTCTTGACCCCACCAACTTCATTCAACATGATTTCACCATTCAGTTCTGCTCCCATATGCACATTTGGTCCAACATTATGACTTGAACGCTATTTGAAATCCTAGAGTATCTCAAGATTTGTATGTTTCACTTCAGGTAATACATAATCTCTTCACATCATAATTAAGTTTAATTAGTACATTATTTTTCTTCTTAAGACAATATTTGGAATATCATAGCCTTGTGTGGACAACATGAAACAATGCATTTCAATTTCAACCATGTGGCTTCAGGAATTCATGGTTGGGGAAAGTGAAAAGGAAATATCTTTCTTCAGCTTTCTTTCGATCTTTCTCTCATTAGCATACCTAAATCACACATATACGAAGAATAAGACAAATAAACAAAAAGGACTGAAGGAACAAATCAACAAACTCAAATTACATTCGGTCTGAAAGCCAGAGGTTAAAAAAAAAGTTACCATTTCAGTATTATCAAATATAATAATTTGAAATTAATGTGAATTTATGTGCAGTTACTGAAAATAATCCTTAGATGAACCTGACGCTCAAGTATAACTGTCTCACATGAGAGAACAGAGAGATCATCATCACCCCACCGCCACCACCCCCAGAATGAGTTCTAGCTCATTTCCACCCATGGATCCAACATCTATTTTGTGCAAGCATTGTCCTGTAATAACTACATGAAAACAAAGTAAAACAGCAAGTATTGGTTTGCGTGAAATCATCAAAAAGCTGTTAAGACTGCAGAGAGACAAAACGATGAGACTTCAGGTTAAACCACCAACACAATAATAAACATCTACGATTTAATACTCTTAAAACTCTTATTTGGAGGCGCAGCTTTGAAACAGTCCCTACTTTTAGCAAATTACCCTGTTAAAGTAGTTTTTTTTTATATATAAGGCCTCGTAGTTAAAGTAGCATGAATATTAAAGAAAAACATCACAATTGCTCAAGAAACAAAACTAGATGTAATAATTACACACTGTCTGATTCCTCTGCATAGGTTCACTGCAAATTCCCCTGCACCCACCAACAAATAATAATCAACAAGACAATTGAAAGCCGGCAAGACCAACAACATGAACAAACAAAAAAGGACAATGAACAAAAAGCAGTTCACTTATGACTTGAGTACCTCCAGTCAAAACATGGTACAGTATGCTTGAATGCCCGCCGTGTTAGGTACAGTATCTAAGTGCATTCTTCCCTTTGCTGTAGTGAGATAGAGACCTGTGGTTTGGGACAGGGTCTTTAGCGCCTAGGCACACATCTAGGATCAGCTTCCTCAATCCTAACCATTAGTGGGGAAAATGAAAAACTGACCCAGGATCAGCGACTAGGGGCAATTTCACCCTACACCCTTTACTTGAGGAGGCTCTGCAGCATGGCTGTGGCGTAGGTTGGGCGGGCCTGCCGGCTCTCGATGGCGCTCCGGAGGTACTGGATGCCCCCGCAGCGCTCCCAGATCTCCTCAAACTGCCGGGGCAGGATCTCAGCTCCCCTCTTCCTCGTCAGGCCTGTCTCCTCCAGGCTCAGCTCACACATCTCCATGTCGTCTTTTCCTACAGACACACAGAGAACACAGCAAAACAACAAGAGTTTTATGAGGCAGTAACAGTATGAATAGTATAGACAGGCACATAAACGCACACACACAAAGAAAATCCCCTATAAGTAAGAGTTCTGTCCCCTCCAGTCAGTGACTGACCTGCCACCAGCAGGATGGGTTGCTTGTCCGGATGCAGCTCCATCTGCCTGGCGATCCAGGGTCCGTCAAAGTGGGCATACCACCAGCCCTTCTTCTTGTTCTGGGGGTCCTTGTACTGGTCCCCGGGCCGGATGAAGGGGATGCGGAAGTAGCGCTGCTGCCTGTTCATGGCCACCTCATGCTGCCTGGCTGGGATGGGCGGGGCGGGGTTTGCCTGAGCTGTTGGGGAAGGGGTTAGTTAGTTAGAGAGGCTAATGGCGCTGGCTGATTGCAATGGGAACAGAAACCAATAGGGATGGGAAGGAACAGGAACCAATAGAAATGGAAACAGGTACCAATAGGAATGTGAACAGGAACGGGAAGGAAGAGCAAGAACGAAGGATGCTGGGACTGTGTTGCTGCTAGAGCTGGGGAGGAGGGGTCAGCATTAGCAGAGAGCAAATCAGAGTGACAAGCGGCATGTCAGATGTTTGTTATAGAGCCTGCTCGTATCAAAACATAAAGAACACACATTTGCATATTATACGCAAAGTGGAGCTTAAATAAATAAGGGAATACATAGGCCAAGTGATTCAAAGGGGTGGGTGGGAGGCTCTATGGAGAACAGGACCAGGGAAAGACAGGGGTTGCAGTAGCCTCAGCCCTGTTGACAGGCATGGTACCGTACAGTTCATAATTTCCTTTAGTTTAGAGCAACCTCTCCCAGATTCACTGCCACCAAACAAAATGGATCCATTACACCAACTTACTAAAGGTGAGAAAGCAGAAAAGGTTGTGACGTTAACTGTGAGGCTGACACTTTGGAACCCCAACACCATTGAGGTATTATTAACTAGAGACAAAGATCAACAATGGCCGCCCTCTCATTCCCAACACCTTTCAGAGAGTCCCTCCCTCGTATAAACAGTTGTTTTTGTCCAGAGAAAAAGCTTGCAAAAGCTGCAACCGAGAGAGACTAATAGAATTTCTTTGGGGCGTTTATTCCAATGATGTACAGTTTAAGTCGGAAGTTTACATACACCTTAGCCAAATACATTTAAACTCAGTTTTTCACAATTCCTGACATTTAATCATAGTAAAAATTCCCTGTCTTCGGTCAGTTAGGATCACCACTTTATTTTAAGAATGTGAAATGTCAGAATAATTGTAAAGAGAATGATTTATTTCAGCTTTTATTTCTTTCATCACATTCCCAGTGGGTCAGAAGTTTACATACACTCAATTAGTATTTGGTAGCATTGCCTTTAAATTGTTTAACTTGGGTCAAACATTTCGGGTAGCCTTCCACAAGCTTCCCACAATAAGTTGGGTGAATTTTGGCCCATTCCTCCTGACAGAGCTGGTGTAACGGAGTCAGGTTTGTAGGCCTCCTTGCTCGCACACGCCTTTTCAGTTCTGCCCACACATTTTCTATAGGATTGAGGTCAGGGTTTTGTGATGGCCACTCCAAAACCTTGACTTTGTTGTCCTTAAGCCATTTTGCCACAACTTTGGAAGTATGCTTGGGGTCATTGCCCATTTGGAAGACCCATTTGCGACCAAGCTTTAACTTCCTGACTGATGTCTTGAGATGTTGCTTCAATATATCCACATAATTTTCCTTCCTCATGACGCCATCTATTTTGTGAAGTGCACCAGTCCCTACTGCAGCAAAGCACCCCCACAGCATGATGCTGCCACCCCCGTGCTTCATGGTTGGGATGGTGTTCTTCAGCTTGCAAGCCTTCCCCTTTTCCCTCCAAACATAACGATGGTCATTATGGCCAAACAGTTCTATTTTTGTTTCATCAGACCGGAGGACATTTCTCCAAAAAGTACAATCTTTGTCCCCATGTGCAGTTGCAAACCGTAGTCTGGCTTTTTTATGGCGGTTTTGGAGCAGTGGCTTCTTCCTTGCTGAGTGGCCTTTCAGGTTATGTCGATATAGGACTCATTTTACTGTGGAATACTTTTGTACCTGTTTCCTCCAGCATCTTCACAAGGTCCTTTGCTGTTGTTCTGGGATTGATTTTTGCACCAAAGTACGTTCATCTCTAGGAGACAGAACGTGTGTCCTTCCTGAGCGGTACGACAGCTGTGTAGTCCCATGGTGTTTATACTTGCGTACTATTGTTTGTACAGATGAACGTGGTACCTTCAGGCATTTGCAAATTGCTCCCAAGGATGAACCAGACTTGTGGAGGTCTACCATTTTTTTTTCTGAGGTCTTGGCTGATTTCTTTTGATTTTCCCATGATGTCAAGCAAAGAGGCACTGCGTTTGAAGGTAGGCCTTGAAATACATCCACAGGTACATCTCCAATTGACTCAAATGATGTCAATTAGCCTATCAGAAGCTTCTAAAGCCATGACATAATTTCCTGGAATTTTCCAAGCTGATTAAAGGCACAGTCAACTTAGTGTATGTAAACTTCTGACCCACTGGAAGTGTGAAACAGTGAATTATAAGTGAAATAATCTGTCTGTAAACAATTGTTGGAAAAATTACTGGTGTCATGTACAAAGTAGATGCCCTAACCGACTTGCCAAAACTATAGTTTGTTAACAAGAAATGTGTGGAGTGGTTGAAAAACGAGTTTTAATGACTCCAACCTAAGTGTATGTAAACTTCCGACTTCAACTGTATATACAATCTCTATATGTGAAAACACATCATTGCTTTGTACCAAACTCCTTGACAGACGTACTATATGTGAATACTTTTCATTGCAAGGATGTCAAAGTCTATTTGTACGGCCAGCTACTCATTGTCTGATGCATTCCAGTGAATGAGAGGGTCTGAACTGATTTGATATTTTCAAGGACAGGAAAATAATAGAGGGAATATAGATATACCCTGGTGATTGTTGGATGCATAAGTACGTGTTGTGTAGCAATCCCCTGCTTTATGCTCCAATGAGGAGTCAACTGCCAGGTTTCTCTTCCAATCAGCAAGGGATAAACACGATGAGACAGAGACCCATAGTTTCCCAAATGGCACCCTATTCCCTTTATAGTGCACTACTTTTACGTCATTTAGCAGATGCTCTTATCCAGAGCGATTTACAGGAGCAATTAGGGTTAAGTGCCTTGCTCAAGGGCGCAGACAGATTTATTGTACCTAGTCAGCTCAGGGATTCGAAACCAGCGACCTTTCGGTTGCTGGCCCAAAAGTAGCGCATTATCTACGGAATAAGGTACCATTTGGGAGGTGGCCCACATCAACCCAAACACAATTTAGCCTAAGTGCCCTGAACAGTTTTAGCTCCCATTGTCAGCGTAGCCACATAACATTTGCAGCAACATCAATAACAGCAGCCATTTAAGCCCTTTGACAACTCCATGTGCCCATCCTCATTCTCTATCAGCTCGAGTTAGACGTTTGAAAACATCATCTAAGTTGAACACTATCTTGTAAAAATGAAAAGTCTGTAGTATCTCATATAATAGCCTACACTTGCAAAGAACTCCAGGTGCACTTAGTTGACGACACTTAACAATTTTCATCTGTTATAAAATAACATGCAAACCAAAGACGATTCATTTAGATAGAAACCAGTTGCTGTACGATTCCTTACGCCATCACCAAGGTTACGTCCCAAATGGCACCCTATTTTTTTATATAGTGCACTACTGTTGACCAGAGCCTTATCCCAAAACAGAAACTAAAACCCTTCCACACAGGCGAGTAGTGAGTACCACACACAGCACACCCCTCCATTTCCACATGGTTAATAGGGGACTTAGCACTGGGCTGAGGTTAGTGGTGTTACTACATCATGGAGAACCACTTACGTGCTTGTCTCACATGAGGTGCGATATCTGAAAGTAAACATGCCAGGTTACACAGGTATGAAACAAACAACATGCAAGACAAAATATAATTGAACGACAAATGAATTTCATAGAAAGACAAGGCTATTTTGAGCCTAACACTAATATCAATGCATCTTCATCATAGATATTAGTGGAAAAATAAACCATGATACATAATGATAGCGCTATTACCATGTATTTTTATATACAGTTGAAGTCGGAAGTTTACATACACCTTAGCGAAATACATTTAAACTCAGTTTTTCACAATTCCTGACATTTAATCCTAGTTAAATTCCCTGTCTTAGGTCAGTTAGGATCAGCACTTTATTTTAAGAATGTGAAATGTCAGAATAATAGTAGAGAGAATGGTTTCTTTCAGGTTTTTTTATTTCATCACATTCCCAGTGGGTCAGAAGTTCACATACACTCAATTAGTATTTGGTAGCATTGCCTTTAAATTGTTTAACTTGGGTCAAACGTTTCGGGTAGCCTTCCACAAGCTTCCCACAATAAGTTGGGTGAATTTTGGCCCATTCCTCCTGACAGAGCTGGTGTAACGGAGTCAGGTTTGTAGGCCTCCTTGCTCGCACACGCCTTTTCAGTTCTGCCCACACATTTTCTATAGGATTGAGGTCAGGGCTTTGTGATGGCCACTCCAATACCTTGACTTTGTTGTCCTTAAGCCATTTTGCCACAACTTTGGCAGTATGCTTGGGGTCATTGTCCATTTGGAAGACCCATTTGTGACCAAGCTTTAACTTCCTGACTGATGTCTTGAGATGTTGCTTCAATATATCCACATAATTTTCCTTCCTCATGATGCCATCTATTTTGTGAAGTGCACCAGTCCCTCCTGCAGCAAAGCACCCCCACAGCATGATGCTGCCACCCCCGTGCTTCACGGTTGGGATGGTGTTCTTCGGCTTGCAAGTACTCCCTTTTTCCTCCAAACATAACGATGGTCATTATGGCCAAACAGTTCTATTTTTGTTTCATCAGAACAGAGGACATTTCTCCAAAAAGTACGATCTTTGTCCCCTTGTGCAGTTGCAAACCGTAGTCTGGCTTTTTTTATAGCGGTTTTGGAGCAGTGACTTCTTCCTTGCTGAGTGGCCTTTCAGGTTATGTCGATATAGGACTCATTTTTACTGTGGAATACTTTTGTACCGGTTTCCTCCAGCATCTTCACAAGGTCCTTTGCTGTTGTTCTGGGATTGATTTTTGCACTTTTCGCACCAAAGTACGTTCATCTCTAGGAAACAGAACGCGTCTCCTTCCTGAGCGGTATGACGGCTGCGTGGTACCATGGTGTTTATACTTGTGTACTATTGTTTGTACAGATGAATGTGGTACCTTCAGGCATTTGGAAATTGCTCCCAAGGATGAACTAGACTTGTGGATGTCTACCATTTTTTTTCTGAGGTCTTGGCTGATTTCTTTTGATTTTCCCATGATGTCAAGCAAAGAGGCACTGAGTTTGAAGGTAGGCCTTGAAATACATCCACAGGTACACCTCCAATTGACTCAAATGATGTCAATTAGGCTATCAGAAGCTTCTAAAGTGAAGACATCATTTTCTGGAATGTTTCAAGCTGTTTAAAGGCACAGTCAACTTAGTGTATGTAAACTTCTGACCCACTGGAAGTGTGAAACAGTGAATTATAAGTGAAATAATCTGTCTGTAAACAATTGTTGGAAAAATTACTGGTGTCATGTACAAAGTAGATGCCCTAACCGACTTGCCAAAACTATAGTTTGTTAACAAGAAATTTGTGGAGTGGTTGAAAAACGAGTTTTAATGACTCCAACCTAAGTGTATGTAAACTTCCGACTTCAACTGTGTGTATATATATATATATATATATATATATATATATATATATATATATATATATATATATATATATATATATATATACATATACACATATACACATATACATATACACATATACATATACACATATACATATACACACACACACATATACACACACACACATATACACACACACACACACACACACACACACACATATACATACATACACACATATCCTTTTTTAAAATATATTTTCCTTTATTACTTTCCAACCCCACCACCCTTCCCCTAATTGGAATAAACTAGTGAACAACAACACTTAGGCCTCTACTTCCAGCTTATAGATACTATATACATTTTATGGACACAGTCAATTTTACAATAATTATATTTTGTTTGTTTTTACTCCTGAACTTCCTCTACCCTCAACCTCGCCGATCATTTTCATGATGTCCATCCGGGTTGCATTTACATGCCTCCATTTCCCCTAAACTGTGCTCTTTCACAAAAGTTCCAGCAGGACAATGACCCTAAGCATACTGCTAAAGCAACACTCGAGTGGTTTAAGGGGAAACATTTAAATGTCTTGGAATGGCTTAGTCAAAGCCCAGACCTCAATCCAATTGAGAATCTGTGGTATGACTTAAAGATTGCTGTACACCAGCGGAACCCATCCAACTTGAAGGAGCTGGAGCAGTTTTGCCTTGAAGAATGGGCAAAGATCCCAGTGGCTAGATGTGCCAAGCTTATAGAGACATACCCTAAGAGACTTGCAGCTGTAATATTTGCAAAAGGTGGCTCTACAAAGTATTGACTTTGGGGGGGTGAATAGTTATGCACGCTCAAGTTGTTTAAATCAAATTATACAAACCCTCCAAAAATCTATTTTAATTCCAGGTTGTAAGGCAACAAAATAGGAAAAATGCCAAGGGGGGGGAATACTTTCGCAAGCCACTGTATGTGATGGCTGTCAATCCTTTGGTCCTGAAATGAAACTGGTATACTTTTTTATTTATCACAATTTTCTTTAACCAATTATGGTCTTTAATGCAGGGCAGACAGACAAGTTCCTTACTTTTTCTCCTTTCCATGTCTTTACATGTGTTTACTGTAGCCATGGCCTAGGCATGGAAGTACAGGGAGGGTCATTCTACTGTACATGGTCATTCACAAGCAAAATCATTAGATTGTAGGTTACATTATGCTAGGACCCTGAAAATATGAGAGTTCTCCTCAGCCTCTGGCTTGTTGTTGTGTCAGAGAGCAGGTAGGCATAGCTGGCACTGTACTGTGTGTGTAACACTATGGGATCTATTTTAACAAACCTAACGCAATGGTAAATCTAGAACTATAGGTCCGGGGGAGGTGTCAGATTTTTTTGGGTGCTATTTTCACAGTCGTTATTATGAGTGTAATAGCTGGCGGTGGCGCGAAAGGGCTGGGTTTTGATGAATAAACAAGTTGTGGGTGTGACGAGGGCTTAGCCACTCACTGGCCAATCATGGCGTTCCATGGCCTAATACCGCATGCGTTTGTCTCAAATTCTGTATGTTATTGACGGTCTTTGCATTGTCATCAAATCCAATTAGGCTGGGAGCCATTGTGGATTGATACTACAGTTTATTAATTAGCATAGGCTATATAGTAACGAGTGATAGCAACAGTAAAAAAAAAAACACATCCAGTGTTTGGAGTGTTGACAGTCAACATTGTTGAGTATAGGCCTTTACACATCGCACTTCTCCCCAAATAAAAATACTAGGCTGCCGTAAATTGTATCGTATGTGTGAGGCACGTTCTCAATAAGCAAGATATAGCCTTACCTTTGATATGGCGTTTTAGGACTGAATAATTTGAATATGTTTGGTGGAGTGAGTCTTTGGTAACCAGAAAAGAGGTGCTCTTTGGAAATGGGGATGGATACAAACCGAATGGAGTATACACTGCAGGTAGGCCTATGTGAATTGTGAATAATGCAAAAGCATGATCGCAAAAGCCTCATGAGGAGACCATTTAGAAACCTATTATGGATAGGCTCTTTGGCTAATGCATGGCCAGGATAAGAAAGATACCAGATGCATTGCTGTTGAACCAGCTTTTGTTATAGTAGGCTAAGGGTAGCCTACCAAGGGCTTGTTTTTTAAATCAAAAACGGAAAAAATTGTTACAGGAAAATAACAAATGTTTCTAAATACTAGTATCACCGGATTATCTCATCTCTCATTCCATGATGGGCATACAGCCTACATGGAGGGGTTTTTATGCATATCCAAAATAATAATAACAGGGGCTGGCTAAAATAATGTATTAGCCTACATAGATAAAAAAAAAAAAAGGGATATCGCTCACTGTTTTGCTGCTGCCAAACTTGATCTTTGAATAAAGCTTTGGTGATAAAGATTTATTTCTAAGCAGTCTCACGAGCCAAACCATTTATCGATAGTCTTGACCACTTGACGATAGCATTGGGCATGACAACAAAACAGCTTTCAATTAGAGGAGGGGAGGACATGCTTGGTTTTTAATCAAATGAAACAAAATGGGAAAAAAACGTTTTTATGTTTCTAAATACGAGGTTTACGGGCACAAAAAGCATATCTCTCTTGCTCCATGTGCATATGTGCACTGTGCATAACGGTTGGATAGGCTGTGCTTCGGTTGTCAGAATCCATGCCATAACTAACCGCGTTACCGCTAAGACCAGCTATCGGTTGGTCTTAAATATACCCACCAGCGCATACTGAAATCAGCACATTGGCACACGTTTTTAAGGACACAAATCAGATATTGCTACCCTTCCCTTCCCACCTCAGCGTAAGCGAGCTCATATAAAACAGGTAAATTACCAATCCTGGCGCTAGGGTTTGAAAATATAAGAGCGCCGGGCTTTAATATGTCGAAATTGCAAACAAGCATGCGTTTGACAATTGCGTTGGCTTAACGCCAGATGAAAACGTAGCCCTAAGTGAGAGAAGGAGAGGTGGGGGCTGGGCAGAGCTACAGATCCTATAATTATATATGATGATTGTATATGTAATTCTATGGGGGCTGGGTATGTGGTATGTAGTCCAATCACTAGTATAACAAACAGCACATTCAGTGGGGAAAAAAAGTATTTAGTCAGCTACCAATTGTGCAAGTTCTCCCACTTAAAAAGATGAGAGAGGCCTGTAATTTTCATCATAGGTACACGTCAACTATGACAGACAAAATGAGGAAAAGAAATCCAGAAAATCACATTGTAGGATTTTTAATGAATTTATTTGCAAATTATGGTGGAAAATAAGTATTTGGTCAATAACAAAAGTTTCTCAATACTTTGTTATATACCCTTTGTTGGCAATGACACAGGTCAAACGTTTTCTGTAAGTCTTCACAAGGTTTTCACACACTGTTGCTGGTATTTTGGCCCATTCCTCCATGCAGATCTCCTCTAGAGCAGTGATGTTTTGGGGCTGTCGCTGGGCAACACGGACTTTCAACTCCCTCCAAAGATTTTCTATGGGGTTGAGATCTGGAGACTGGCTAGGCCACTCCAGGACCTTGAAATGCTTCTTACGAAGCCACTCCTTCGTTGCCCGGGCGGTGTGTTTGGGATCATTGTCATGCTGAAAGACCCAGCCACGTTTCATCGTCAATGCCCTTGCTGATGGAAGGAGGTTTTCACTCAAAATCTCACGATACATGGCCCCATTCATTCTTTCCTTTACACGGATCAGTCGTCCTGGTCCCTTTGCAGAAAAACAGCGCCAAAGCATGATGTTTCCACCCCCATGCTTCACAGTAGGTATGGTGTTCTTTGGATGCAACTCAGCATTCTTTGTCCTCCAAACACGACGAGTTGAGTTTTTACCAAAAAGTTATATTTTGGTTTCATCTGACCATATGACATTCTCCCAATCCTCTTCTGGATCATCCAAATGCACTCTAGCAAACTTCAGACGGGCCTGGAGTTGTACTGGCTTAAGCAGGGGGACACGTCTGGCACTGCAGGATTTGAGTCCCTGGCGGCGTAGTGTGTTACTGATGGTAGGCTTTGTTACTTTGGTCCCAGCTCTCTGCAGGTCATTCACTAGGTCCCCCCGTGTGGTTCTGGGATTTTTGCTCACCGTTCTTGTGATCATTTTGACCCCACGGGGTGAGATCTTGCGTGGAGCCCCTGATCGAGGGAGATTATCAGTGGTCTTGTATGTCTTCCATTTCCTAATAATTGCTCCCACAGTTGATTTCTTCAAACCAAGCTGCTTACCTATTGCAGATTCAGTCTTCCCAGCCTGGTGCAGGTCTACAATTTTGTTTCTGGTGTTTCTCTTTGGTCTTGGCCATAGTGGAGTTTGGAGTGTGACTGTTTGAGGTTGCGGACAGGTGTCTTTTATACTGATAACAAGTTCAAACAGGTGCCATTAATACAGGTAACGAGTGGAGGACAGAGGAGCCTCTTAAAGAAGAAGTTACAGGTCTGTGAGAGCCAGAAATCTTGCTTGTTTGTAGGTGACCAAATACTTATTTTCCACCATAATTTGCAAATAAATTCATTAAAAATCCTACAATGTGATTTTCTGGATTTTTTTCCCTCATTTTGTCTATCATAGTTGACATGTACCTATGATGAAAATTACAGGCCTCTCTCATCTTTTTAAGTGGGAGAACCTGCACAATTGGTGGCTGACTAAATACTTTTTTCCCCCACTGTACAATAAAGTATGTCTGCAATCTGCCACACAGGAAAAATAGCTCTGTCGTCATGGCGACTCCATGCTTTGTACATTGAAAGGACCCATTTGTGGCTCACAGAGCAAGACAGCATGGGGCTCTATGGAGAACAATGAGAGAAAAGGTCAGGCTGGAGGAAGAGAGCAGCCACCACTACTTTTGACCACAGCCTATATGGGTCTAGTCAATGTGGGAATATACCCACAGTATCAGTATTGCAGTACAATATATCAGTAGGGGACTAGAGGTCTGATATTGGGAGCAGAATAAATAAATAGACAAATCACAACTATCAAAGCATGGAAAGAGACCCATGATAAGACGCCTACATTGATGTTGTACTGTATAACACTGTCTGAAAGACCGAGTAAGTTGGGGACGCGGTGGGCTGTGGGGTCCCTTACCGTAGTCGGTGACTGATTTGGGGGCCCTCTGCTCAGTGTTGCCGGTGTCGTTGCCGCGCTTCTTGTTCTTTGACTTCCAGGCGTGGTAGACCTTTAGCCGGCGGTGGAACTCCTCTCGGCAGGCGGCCAGCAACTCAATATCTGTGGGTGGAGTGCGAGAGGGAGGGAGGGGGAAAGCGGTATTAGAGCATAGCAGCCAACCAGCACCACAAAGATCAGAGCTACACACAGAGAGATGTATAGAGGACTACCAACAGAGAGACGATCGCTACAGCTAAAAGATTTTCATTACTTCAACAACAATTCAAAATCCATAAAATAATAAAGACGAGACAGCATTATGGGTTTCATTGTTGTTCTATGTCTTCATGAAATTCTAAAACAATTGCTGCTAGGATTAATAATAATAATAATAATATGCCATTTAGCAGACGCTTTTATCCAAAGCGACTTACAGTCATGTGCGCATACATTTTTACGTATGGGTGGTCCCGGGGATCGAATCCACTACCCTGGCGTTACAAGCGCCATGCTCTACCAATTGAGCTACAGAGGACCACGATGATCAATGCATTTCAATTGTCATCAGCAAACCAGCCAAAGTCTGGAGCGAGATAGGGTGTGAAATGAGATTGTTAATGCCTGCTAAGTGCCTTGGTAAAGTTGAATTCACAAAGATGTCTCCCTACCTACCAGATAAATGAGGAGTCATTTCACTGTCAAAATGTCTCCCTGTAATGTAAACACTACTTAATATCAACTCCAGATACCCATTGTTGGGCATTTTCGGTTGGGCATTTTTGGTAGCACATATGACACAGGGCTTGGGGAGCAGCGAATGAATGAGTCTGCGTCCCAAATGAAAGCCTATTCCAGGGTTCACCCCCCCCCCCCCCCCCAAGTTTTCTGAACAACATTTTTAGAAACGTTGTTATATAGTTTTCGTTGTTGGACATAAAATACAAAATCCTCAGGAAATCAGCGCAACGTGTTTTTAATTTAGGAAACCTGTTCCCAAGTATTCCCACACATAAATAGAGTTGATCGTATCCCAATGTAATCAAAGGTTTGAAATTATGTTTTGGTCAAATACTATCTGTTTTGGCTTCTTGTGGTCAACTTGCAGTATACAAATTATTTATAACAATCCGCTCAACAACAAAAAACGGCCCGCAGATTAATGTCATTGAGGACCCCTGCCCTAAATAGTGTGTTATGTTTGACCACTGGTACCCAACTGTTCTACCAAATGATAGAAGAATTTGACTTTCATGTACAAGGAAGTGATCAAATAATGACGTAGGCATTAATAAATAACCATAGAGCAAGTTAAAGCTGTAAAATCACAGCTCACTTTTAGACCAAAGCGCACCAGGCTCAGAAAACAGTTTGACAGTTCAATATTTTTTAATATTGCATCGTTAGCAGCGACAGTGTCTCAGCAAAAATGTCCCAGTACAATTTCTTAATGTAAAAATGTCAGAGTCAAGTTTCTAAATGATCTTCAAACCACACATTCGGCATGGCTGACTTTCTTACCACAGGATGTGTTAATGGCATCCCTCAGTTCGGCATACTTCCACTTGCTGAGCTCGTACTTCTTGGTTCCAGCAGTAGCGGCAGCTTTGGTGGCCTGAACCTGTGGGCCTCTGGCAGCACAGAAACAACCAACAGTGGGGTTACAACAAAAACCAGAGTAGACTCTGGGGTGAAGTTTCCCCTAGGTACAGATCTGGGATCGGCGTCCCCTCCCCCAATCCTTAAAAATTGGTGGGAAAAATTCTAAACTGACCCAAGTTCAGCATCTAGGGGCAACTTCACCCTACTCCACAGTGGAGCAAGAATTACAGGATCCATAATGAGAGAGATCACAAAGGTCATAATTCACATCACATGATGACATATTGCGATTTTAATTGGATGAGTTGGGAGCAGGATGATGAGGGGTGAAATGTGGAGTTTGTCAGGTTAACTGCAGCTGTACTGTACAAGAGAAATTCAACAACCCCACACCACTAACACAGACTATTCACAACCCAACTGTATGGAGCTGGAATGGCTCATAGGAGCAGGAGCCTATCTCCTGTTTCTGTAGCGTGAGGCAGCTTGATGTGCAAGTACACCCCCTGGACAGGACGCAAGTCTATCGCAGGGCCTTACCCCTAATCTTTCTCCTTAATGCAGAGTGCCAAGCAGAGACACATCGGGTCCCACGTTTACAGTCTTTGGTATAACTCGGACGGGAATCGGACTCCCAACCTTCCAATCTCAGGGCGGACACTAACCACAAGGCCACTGAGTTGGTCAAGGAGCTGCTCCAGTGCTGCTTCATTCTGTTGAACTATGAACAGCCATTTAGCACTGTATGGGACGGTTTCCCTGACACAGATTAAGGACTAGGCTTAATCTGTGTTGGGAAATTGGCCCTATGTGTCATTCTACTCTCTCCAGCTGAGTGGCTGTTTGTTGCTAGTCTTTTCTGTTGTCTACTCCTCCTCCTGCTAACTGCTGACAGGGCTAATTACATCCTGGCTGGGATTTGCCCCTTTTAGAACACTGACTTTCTGGATCTGAGGCTGGAGCGGGCCCTGGGCCACCTGAGGCCGGCCACGCTCTAATCCTATTGGCTGACTGAGCCACTGAGCCTCTTCAACCAGGGGCGCGTGCCCCGCACCCTTGGTGGCTATTCCGGGTACCCAGAAGCACGCAGCTCAATTGACCTTGGGCCAGCAGGCCGGGCACCTTCTGCTCCCACTTCCTGTGGCCGACGGCCATGTGTCCAAATGAGGCGTAGTGGGAGGCGGCTTGAGCCAATTAGTAAACAGAGAACGTAACAGTAGTGCCTGCTGGGTGTGTGGTCTCCGGGCTCCAGCAAACGTCTCTCATTCAGTCATTCTGATGGCTGGCCCCATGGCGTCAGCTAATTGGGATCCCAATAAAGAAGAGCTCTATTACTAGTACCAGTGGGCCAGGAATCAGGATATGGCTAACTTATATAATGTGAGTAACTATAATAGTTTGAACAAACATATGACGAGGCCCCGTTGTATAAGAGTGAGTCTCACCATTATTTACTTACCAGTAGCAAAAGCTAGCTAAAAGTAAGGGATTGTCTGAGATCTAACAACTTAAAAAGAAACCAATCATCCATCCATTTGCATGGTGGGGAGCCCTACCCCATTGTGTAGGAATACTCAATAATGGTTAATTGTGTGGAATTATGAAGAATTACCCCAAATTAAGATGATACATCTCTATTAAGATTAGTATTGATACGCAGAATCACACATGTTTTGATCCAGAGATTTGAAGTGATTGTAACGATTAGCTGAGATTTCATTCATGGAACTTAAAGGATTTCTACCCACCTAGATAGAAGCTCAGACATTTCCATGGCCATTTCCTCCCTAAAAGGACATGATGAGCCCAGCATAATAAGAGTTAGAACCACTGAGACACTTTCAATACCAGCTAACAGTCACATTGATTGCAGTTGTAAGACAGGAGAGAGAAAGAAGGCGTGTAAAGACAGAAAGGTGTGTGTGCATGTGCAGCCAGGAAGATAACGCACTCTCCCTCCCTAACTGGAACACTGCTGCTTTACTGGTCACTGAATCACCTGAGCAGGTCACACATGGTGCCGTGACATACAGAGGCTGATCGGTCGGCAGGTAGCCTAGCGGTTAAGAGCGTTGGGCCAGTAACCAAAAGGTTGCTGGTTCGAATCCCTGAGCCGACTAGGTGAAAAATCTGTCTATGTGCCCTTGAGCAAGGCACTTAACCATAATTGCTCCTGTAAGTCACTCTGGATAATTTTATCTGTTAAATGACTAAAAATGTAAATCTGTATGTGTGTGTGATTGTTTCAGCATGAGGCCGTGAGAAGAGCTCAGCATGTGAACTGTTGCAGCTACAAAGACAAGCACTTCACTACATCTGCTTACGCGACCAATAAACTTTGATTTGAACTACAGGGCCACTGATTAAACTCACCACTCTGATGTTCTCACGCCTGTTGTTTTAAGGATGAAAATGTCACAATTACGAGAGCTTCTCTTCCCGGTTTGCACACTCTCAGGTGACGCAAACTGAGAGAATGTGTACATTCGAATAGCTATGCTCTGCCTAGAACCTGTATCACTGTTCTTCAAAGCAATTTCTTATTACCTGATGAGAAAGCGCATTTCCAAGAAATGTTTTAAATTGACAGGAACAGTGGCTCGTAAAGAAAGTAACCATATGGCAAATCCTTTATGACCCTTCAAAACACCATTTCAGAGTGTGACATACAGGTGAGTGCACATCAGCATGTCTAGGATAAAAAATGTGACAAATCCATCAAACGTAGGTTAGTGAGTTGGAGCGGTGCAGTTCAGGGGCTGTGGGAATGCTGTGGGGAGCAGAGGTCTAGTTGGCAGATGCTGCTACAGCACACAGTAGAATAGATGAGTAAAATCAGGATGACGGCCAGGGCAGTCAGCCTAGCCGTTGCTTTTCAACAACGCATTCTTTTCAGCCTCGATACTAAAAGACGACAAAAGCATGCAAAAGTTTTAAGCAAAAGATGTGCAGATCCTTATTAGTTCCTAAATAGAAAATATATACAGTGTGATATTCTATGTGCACCTCGTCTGAATTTAAAGAAGTGCAAGCGTGCTGAAGGTGTGTTTCCACATGGTGAAGGTGATGTTTAAAAGGAACCTACATGGACATGCCCTTGAGCTTTTGAGATCCACCAGCTCCACTGCAACAAGAGAATGATGAGGATTACAATGGGGCTCTAACACTGTACACACTGCAGGAGCCAATCAGGAAGTGGAAGAAAAGGTGCTTCCTTTCCCTCTTTCTTTGATTGGTTAAAAGGACAGATCATTCCTCTGACAATAATTAGAAAATAAGTGGACTGATTGATATTTAGAGTGAGCTCAGTCAAACTCCTGGTACATGTAAATGTACTTGGTGAATAAAAGGTGATTCTGAATCGAAAGACCGCACTCTTTAACTGAAGTTGAATTATGAGTTTGTTTAAATATCATAATTAGCCTATCATCAATCAATGGCTGTGTTTGCCTGTAAGAGGTAAGGCAGATTGCTACAGCATGCAGGGTAGTTATGTTTCAGGGGTCAGGGGGGTGGTCAGGTTTAGGTTGGACTGGGGGGGATTAAGGGGTTAAATCTTGGTGTCTTACGTAGCTCTCTCTGGGGACGATGGAACACCTGAGGTGCCGTTACTGGGAGAAGAGAAGAAGAAAAGAGATTGGTTAGGCAGGCCTACAGACGCTCAGTGATTTCCGTTTCTCCAGGTCCAAAGTCCTCATCAAGATCCATCTCTGCTTCGCATCAGAGGGCTACAGATGGTGTATGGAGGTGTGTTAGCTGTGTTAGTGAGCTGTTACCTGCGCAGGCCTGCGTCGTTCTGGCTCTCCTCTGGGATGAGTTCAGCCTCGCTCTGGGCGATCCTCATGGCCAGCTCCCTGTCGCGTCTCTCCTGCTCCAGGATGTTCTGGCGCGCCGCCTCCTCCTCCCGCTCAGCCTCCAGCTGAACATCCATCTCCGCCTGCAGAGACAGTTTATTTTAATATACACACACACACACATAGTATGACACATACCCCAGCATGTTGTAACACACAAGCACAAATCCACTAAGTACAGCATCCAATAACACACCCAAGCCAGCATGAGCCCTGTGGGAGTGAGAGGCGAGTCAGAGGACAGCCTCATTTCCTCTCTTACGCTGTGGGTGACCTGTGGTTCTTGGAGAGGGGAGTGGGGGAGGCAGATGGACCCAGTAATATGATGGATGGTCCTGCCTGCACCATGTCCTTATGAACACATTTTCATAAGTAATTCCCTGCCCAAGCCAGACTCATGAAGGGCACCATAAACGCCTTGTATGAAGAAGATGTATATAACATGGGCATGACATTTGACAGTGCTCTCAAAATAGCAGCTCGTCGCTGCAGGTTTGGGATGACTGCAGGTTCACAAGATTGGGTGATACTCCCTTTGGTACCTTCTTTAGTCTCTCTCCCGTCTCCCAGTCTCCGTCTCTTCCTCTGTCCCAGTCTCCGTCTCTCTCTCCCTCTGTCCCAGTCTCCCTCTGTCCCAGTCTCCGTCTCTGTCTCCCTCTGTCCCAGTCTCCGCCTCTGTCTCCCTCTGTCCCAGTCTCCGTCTCTGTCTCCCTCTGTCCCAGTCTCCGTCTCTCTCTCCCTCTGTCCCAGTCTCCCTCTGTCCCAGTCTCCGTCTCTGTCTCCCTCTGTCCCAGTCTCCGCCTCTGTCTCCCTCTGTCCCAGTCTCCGCCTCTGTCTCCCTCTGTCCCAGTCTCCGTCTCTGTCTCCCTCTGTCCCAGTCTCCGTCTCCCTCTGTCCCAGTCGCCGTCTCCGTCTCCCTCTGTCCCAGTCGCCGTCTCCGTCTCCCTCTGTCCCAGTCGCCGTCTCCGTCTCCCTCTGTCCCAGTCGCCGTCTCTGTCTGTCTCCCTCTGTCCCAGTCGCCGTCTCTGTCTCCCTCTGTCCCAGTCTCCGTCTCTGTCTCCCTCTGTCCCAGTCGCCGTCTCTGTCTCCCTCTGTCCCAGTCGCCGTCTCTGTCTCTGTCTCCCTCTGTCCCAGTCGCCGTCTCTGTCTCTGTCTCCCTCTGTCCCAGTCGCCGTCTCTGTCTCCGTCTCCCTCTGTCCCAGTCGCCGTCTCTGTCTCCGTCTCCCTCTTTCAGTCGCAGTCTCTCTCTCCCAGTCTCCGTCTCTCTCTCCCTCTTTCAGTCGCCGTCTCTCTCCCTCTTTCAGTCGCCGTCTCTCTCTCCCTCTTTCAGTCGCCGTCTCTCTCTCCCTCTTTCAGTCGCCGTCTCTCTCTCCCTCTTTCAGTCGCCGTCTCTCTCTCCCTCTTTCAGTCGCCGTCTCTCTCTCCCTCTTTCAGTCGCCGTCTCTCTCTCCCTCTTTCAGTCGCCGTCTCTCTCTCCCTCTTTCAGTCGCCGTCTCTCTCTCCCTCTTTCAGTCGCCGTCTCCCTCTTTCAGTCGCCGTCTCCCTCTTTCAGTCGCCGTCTCCCTCTTTCAGTCGCCGTCTCCCTCTTTCAGTCGCCGTCTCCCTCTTCAGTCGCGTCTCCTCTTTCATCCCGTCTCCCTCTTTCAGTGCCGTCTCCTCTCGTCGCCGTCTCCCTCTCTCGCGTCTCTCGTCTACTCTCTCCTCTCGTCTACGTCTCCTCCCGTCTCCCTTCCGTACGTCTCCTCTCCGTCTCCCTCTCCGTCTACGTCTACGTCTCCGTCTCGTCCCCTCTCGCTCCTCTCCTCTCCGTCTCCCTCTCCTGTCTCCGTCTCCCTCTCTGTCTCCGTCTCCCTCTCTGTCTCCGTCTCCCTCTCTGTCTCCGTCTCCCTCTCTGTCTCCGTCTCCCTCTCTGTCTCCGTCTCCCTCTCTGTCTCCGTCTCCCTCTCTGTCTCCCTCTCCGTCTCCCTCTCCGTCTACGTCTCCCTCTCCGTCTACGTCTCCCTCTCCGTCTACGTCTCCCTCTCCGTCTACGTCTCCCTCTCTGTCTCCGTCTCCCTCTCTGTATCACTCCACAGTCTGTGTCAGGGACTTAAGCAAATAGAGACATAGAGAAGGAGGCTATATGTGTGGTATGGCCTGATTAGACTCCTTGCACATCCACTAATGAGCCTTTCCTCTGCCTGTGGGTCCCTGAGGGGCTGTTAGCTGTAGTCTACAGGAGCTGGCCACAATCCAGGGTCAGGGGATAAGCAGCCTTAAGGTGTGCAACTACGGCATGGAGTCCACGGTACCAAGCCAAGCACATATTTATCTTTTGGTCAAGTTTTCTACTGGGGAAAAATACAAGTGGCACGGTTGAAAAGAAGATCACACTTTTTTTGGCAATAAGATCAATTGAGAACTTGGGTTCAGAGAAACACCTGCGTTGAGAGAAATTCCGTTCAGGATGACAGGATCCATTGAAGGTGGAGAAAAAACCATCACTCTAAAGTTAGAGGATGTTTGATGTAGACTTTTCCTCCCAAAACTAAAACATCTGCAATGCAAGTCATGCATATTCATGCCAACGCATACACAGAAGCCCAATGTGATGGTGATGGGGTATCTAAAGGTTAAAAAGGCTGTTTGAGTAAGCACCAACCCTGCCCCGGGCTCAGGGTGGGCTCTAGGCCAGACACTGATTTTAGGGTGCAGTTTTCAGCAATAAAAGCTAAAAGCCTGTAGATTATCCGGGGTCAGATCTCTGGGGTGCTGTCGTGCTATCCCTCTTCAGATGGACAACATGGGGAGCCAGATGGACAGTATATTAACATCAGAAGTCTAACCATCTCTACGGAACTGGAGTGAGTGGGTGTAGAAAAAGAGTCAGTGAGTAAGAGAATGAGAGAGAATGAGAGAGTGTGAGAGAGGGGGAGTGTGAGAGAGAGAGTGAGGGAGAATGACAGTGAATGAGAGTGAAAGAGAGAGAGAGAGAGAGAGTGTGAGAGAGCGAGAGAGAGTGAGTGAGAGTGAGTGAGAGAGTGAATGAGAGAGAGAGAGAGAGAGTGTGAGTGAGAGAGTGAATGAGAGCGTGATAGCAAAGTGAGAGAGAGAGTGAGAGTGAGAGAGTGTGAGCGAGAGAGTGAATGAGAGACAGTGAGAGTAAGTGTGTGAGAGAGGGTGTGTGAGAGAGAGTGTAAGATAATGTGAGAGAGAGCAAGAGAGAGAGAGAGAGAGAGAGTGTGTGAATGAGAGAGAGAGCGAGAGTGAATGAGAGCGAGAGTGAATGAGAGCGAGAGCGAGAGTGAATGAGAGCGAGAGCGAATGAGAGCGAGAGCGAATGAGAGCGAGAGCGAGAGTGAATGAGAGCGAGAGCGAGAGTGAATGAGAGCGAGAGTGAATGAGAGCGAGAGTGAATGAGAGCGAGAGCGAATGAGAGCGAGAGTGAATGAGAGCGAGAGTGAATGAGAGTGAGAGCGAGAGTGAATGAGAGCGAATGAGAGCGAGAGCGAGAGTGAATGAGAGCGAGAGTGAATGAGAGCGAGAGCGAATGAGAGCGAGAGCGAATGAGAGCGAGAGCGAGAGTGAATGAGAGCGAATGAGAGCGAGAGTGAATGAGAGCGAGAGCGAATGAGAGCGAGAGCGAATGAGAGCGAGAGCGAGAGTGAATGAGAGCGAATGAGAGCGAGAGCGAGAGTGAATGAGAGCGAATGAGAGCGAGAGCGAGAGTGAATGAGAGTGAGAGTGAATGAGAGCGAGAGCGAATGAGAGCGAGAGCGAATGAGAGCGAGAGTGAATGAGAGCGAGAGTGTGAGAGAGAGTGCCAGCACACCCCACAGGCCCCACCCACCACCAGAGCATCACCACTTCCATCAGTTTAGCCAGACTGGACCGGGCCCAGCCTACTACCCCGCACCAGACCATCACCTCTACCAGACCAGAGAGGAAACCCCCCGGCCCAGACCTGGCCCCACTCCACTCCACAGGGCCCAACAGCAGGACCAGCGCAGCTACGCGGAGGTCCTCAGAGGACAGGAGAACCCTGTAGGGTTGAGTGAGATTAAACAGCTCCACACACACACACACACACTGTACTAAAAGTTTACTTGTTCAATGAATAGGAATATACAAATGATATATATAACAGAACAAATGTTTGCTGTTATCCTGTTTATCTCACTCTTAACTTAGTAGTTAGTAGTTACTGTATTTTTGACTGTGCTGTTCTTTCTTTTTGCAACATGAAATCGCTATCAGTTACCATGTGGAACATTAAGGGCCTAAACTCATCAACCTTTGGACTGAAGAATTTAGCACTGGAGTTCCCAACAAATCTTAAAGATGTTGACGTCATCATTCTGCAGGAGACATGGTGTAAGGCAGACATTGTCACTCACTGTCCCACAGGCTACAGAGAGGTAATTGTGCTGTCACAGAAACACAGCTCTGTCAATAGAGGCAGAGACTCTGGAGGATTGATAATTTGGTACAAATCCGAACAACAAAATCTAATTGATCCCCTCAAAATTGGTAAATATTACATTTGGTTAAAACTGAAAAAATAACTTGTACTGACAGAAAAATAGGTGTTCCTTTGCGCAAAGAAGGCATCAATTTAGCAGTAAAAAACATCAACTCTATATACAGATCTGGAAAAAAATTAAGAGACCACTGCAAAATGATCAGTTTCTCTGGGGGTTTTTCGCCGTGCACTTCACCCAAGCTGCCGTTTGCCATTCTTTTTGTAGGTCACTTGATGTCATCCTACGGTTGTTGAGTGACATTCGAATGAGTTGGTGGTCATCCCGGTCAGTAGAGAGTCGTTTTTTCGCCCTCTGCCAGTCTGTAGCTTTGTTGTCCCCAATGTCTGCTGCTTGAACTTGTTCTTATGAACCGCCGTCATTGACATTTTAAGGATGGAAGCAACCTGACGCTCACTGTATCCCTCTGCCAGTAAAGCCAGTATTGAACCCTTCTTTTCCTCACTCAAAACTTTTGGCATGGTCAATAGTTATTTTTTGATTAAAATTACTTTTGAGGTACTATTAGCACTGTTTTTGCCATCCAGCTGGTCCTATTGCAAGAGGATAGTGATGACCACAGCAGTGGTTTTTATACTTTTCCTTGTTAAATAAGATTTGGTTCAGGTGATCACCTAATCAGTACCTAATTCAGTAGAATGAGGTGTGTCTGTGTTGGAATTCAACAGACACTGGAATGGAAGTCATACACGTAGAGATGCTGATTTAAGAAACATTTGCAGTGGTCTCTTAATTTTTCCAGAGCTGTATGTATATATATATATATATATATATATATATATATATATATATATATATATATATATATATATATATACACACACACACAGTGGGGAGAACAAGTATTTGATACACTGCCGATTTTGCAGGTTTTCCTACTTACAAAGCATGTAGAGGTCTGTAATTTTTATCATAGGTACACTTCAACTGTGAGAGACGGAATCTAAAACAAAAATCCAGAAAATCACATTGTATGATTTTTAAGTAATTAATTTGCATTTTATTGCATGACATAAGTATTTGATACATCAGAAAAGCAGAACTTAATATTTGGTACAGAAACCTTTGTTTGCAATTACAGAGATCATACGTTTTCTGTAGGTCTTGACCAGGTTTGCACACACTGCAGCAGGGATTTTGGCCCACTCCTCCATACAGACCTTCTCCAGATCCGTCAGGTTTCGGGGCTGTCGCTGGGCAATATGGACTTTCAGCTCCCTCCAAAGATTTTCTATTGGGTTTAGGTCTGGAGACTGGCTAGGCCACTCCAGGACCTTGAGATGCTTCTTACGGAGCCACTCCTTAGTTGCCCTGGCTGTGTGTTTCGGGTCGTTGTCATGCTGGAAGAGCCAGCCACGACCCATCTTCAATGCTCTTACTAAGGGAAGGAGGTTGTTGGCCAAGATCTCGCGATACATGGCCCCATCCATCCTCCCCTCAATACGGTGCAGTCATCCTGTCCCCTTTGCAGAAAAGCATCCCCAAAGAATGATGTTTCCACCTCCATGCTTCACGGTTGGGATGGTGTTCTTGGGATTGTACTCATCCTTCTTCTTCCTCCAAACACGGCGAGTGGAGTTTAGACCAAAAAGCTCTATTTTTGTCTCATCAGACCACATGACCTTCTCCCATTCCTCCTCTGGATCATCCAGATGGTCATTGGCAAACTTCAGACGGGCCTAGAAATGCGCTGGCTTGAGCAGGGGGACCTTGCGTGCACTGCAGGATTTTAATCCATGACGGCGTAGTGTGTTACTAATGGTTTTCTTTGAGACTGTGGTCCCAGCTCTCTTCAGGTCATTGACCAGGTCCTGCAGTGTAGTTCTGGGCTGATCCCTCACCTTCCTCATGATCATTGATGCCCCACGAGGTGGGATCTTGCATGGAGCCCCAGACCGAGGGTGATTGACCGTCATCTTGAACTTCTTCCATTTTCTAATAATTGCGCCAACAGTTGTTGCCTTCTCACCAAGCTGCTTGCCTATTGTCCTGTAGCCCATCCCAGCCTTGTGCAGGTCTACAATTGTATCCCTGATGTCCTTACACAGCTCTCTGGTCTTGGCCATTGTGGAGAGATTGGAGTCTGTTTGATTGAGTGTGTGGACAGGTGTCTTTTATACAGGTAACGAGTTCAAACAGGTGCAGTTAATACAGGTAATGAGTGGAGAACAGGAGGGCTTCTTAAAGAAAACTAACAGGTCTGTGAGAGACGGAATTCTTACTGGTTGGTAGGTGATCAAATACTTATGTCATGCAATAAAATGCAAATTAATTACTTAAAAATCATACAATGTGATTTTCTGGATTTTTGTTTTAGATTCCGTCTCTCACAGTTGAAGTGTACCTATGATAAAAATTACAGACCTCTACATGCTTTGTAAGTAGGAAAACCTGCAAAATCGGCAGTGTATCAAATACTTGTTCTCCCCACTGTATATATTCAGGCAAACTGCAAAAGAAGCACAACGTAAATGTATAAAAAACAAAAAAGACCACAGATGACAACTGGTTTGATGCAGATTGTAGAATTATAAGGAAAAAACTTAGAACACTATCAAACCAAAAGCACAGAGACCCAAATAATGGTGAATTACGCCTTCATTACTGTGAGACTTTAAAACTCTATAAACGTACACTCAGAACTAAAAAAGCACAGTACAACAGCAAGCAGCTGACACTAATTGAGGAGTCCATAAACACAAACAACTTCTGGCAAATTGGGAAAAAAATAAAAAAATACAAACGAGGAATTAGCGATACAAAATGGTGACATATGGACAACCCATTTTAAAACACTCTACAACACCGTTCAAATTGACATAAATGCAGAACAATGCCAAATTCATGAGAAGTTGAATGGATTAGAAAAAGCTATAAAGGACAATCAAAATCCATTGGACTCCCCAATTACTGACCAGGAGCTCTATAAGAAACTTCAGGCCCTCAAATTTAAAAAAGCATGCGGACCTGATGGCATCCTAAATGAGATGCTCAAATTCACTAGTGCAAAATGTCAATTGGCTATATTAAAACTGTTTAATTTGATCCTGAGTGTAGGTTATTTCCCTGATATCTGGAATCAAGGACTCATAACCCCAATCTTTAAGAACGGATACAAATTTGACCCTAACAATTACAGAGGCATTTGTGTGAACAGTAACCTGGGGAAAATGTTCTGTAGTATTATAAATGTAAGAGTTCTAAATGTACTTAATAAGCACAGTGTCTTGAGTAAAAGCCTAATTGGATTTATACCAAAACGTTGCACGACCGATCATATTTACACCCTACACACCCTGATAGATAAACATGTCCACCAAGTTAATACCAAAATGTACCGTTGCTTTATCGACTTCCAAAAAGCATTTGATTCTATTTGGCATACAGGACTGTTCTACAAAGTTATTGAAAGTGGTGTAGGGGGTAAAACATATTACATAATTAAATCAATACGTGCAGCATCAAAATTGTCACGAAAATAACAGAATTCTTTAACCAGGGGCAGGGCCTTCGCCAGGGTTGCAATCTGAGCCCTGCACTCTTCAATATTTACATATACGAATTGGCCACTATTCTAGAAAAATCCCCAGCCCCTGGTGTTAAGTCTCCACAATTCAGAGGTTAAATGCCTGCTCTTCGCAGATGACCTATGCCTGCTGTCAACCACAGCACATGGCCTACAGCAGAGCCTGGACCTGCTAGAGCAGTACTGCCAGACCTGGGCCCTGGCAGTAAACCCCAAAAATAGTAAAATAATGATTTTCCAGAGAAGATAGACCAAAGTTTCAGGGAATTAGACCAAAGTTCTCAATTGGTACAAAATATGTAGAGTACTGCACACACTACAATTACTTAGGTTTAAAAATAAGCTCAACTGGACACCTTAATGATGCAGTGAATGAACAGAGAGAAAGCATGCAGGGCATTCTATGCCATAAAAAAGAAAATCAAATTGAAATACCTCTTAAAATTTGGCTAAAACGAATTGAACGTGTCATTGAACCAATTGCACTTTATGGCAGCGAGGTGTGGGGTCCACTTGCAAAACAAGATTTCACCAAATGGGACACAAACCCCATTGAAACCCTGCATGCACAGTTCTGTAAGATTATCCTACGTGTCCAGAGGAAAACTACAAACAATGCATGCATGGCAGAATTAGGCCAATATCCACTAATAATACAAACTCAAAAAAGAGCAATTAAGTTTTGGAAACATCTAAAATAAAGTGACCCCCTCTCATATCATTACCAAGCCCTGCAATGCCAAGAGCTGAGCATAGAAAAAAAAGAGTCCCCTCATCCAGCTGGTCCTGGGGCTGAGTTCACAAACCTGTTCTACTAACACACTGAAGCCTCAGGACCAGAACATCCAATCAATCAGACTAAACCAAATTACAACACAGTCAAAACAAAACTACATTGCTTATTGGGAAACACAGGCACAAAGTAAAATGCAGTGCTATCTGGCCCTAAATCGACAGTACACCGTGGCTAACTATTTGACCATTGTTACTGATCAAAACCTTAGAAAAACCTTGACAAAGTACAGGCTCAGTGAGCACAGCCTTGCCATTGAGAAGGGTAGACACAGGAAAACCTGGCTCCCTGTAGAGGAAAGGCTGTGCAACCACTGCACCACAGCAGAACCTGAGACAGAGCTGCATTTCCTGACAAAATGTCAAAAATATAAAACAATTAAGAGTGTCATTTCCCCAAATTTGAAACAATTTTTCAAGGTTTCAAAGACCTCTCTGATGAGAACAGGCTACCCGTCCTGTTGGGGGAGGACGCAGAGAGCTGTGGGTTGGCAGCGCACTACATTGCTGCCACTAATAAGATGAGGGACAGTGTCTGACAGACCAACCAACCTGCACATGTCCTCTATATTGTTATTGTTCAATGGTTATTTTGACCCTTGGTTATTGTTGTTACTGTTGTCCCGTTGACAATATTGATTTTTATTATTTTTATTATGTTAAGTGTAAATATCCAAAGTAAGCTTTGGCAATATGTACATTGTAACGTCATGCCAATAAAGCAAATTGAATTGAATTGAATTGAATTGAGAGAGAGAGCGTGAGAGCGAGAGCGAGAGCGAGAGCGAGATAGAGGTGGGGTAGAAGAGCAGCACAGAAGTTTGAGTTTGAGGGAGTTCATCTGCCAGAGAACATTGAGAAGTGGAGCATTGTGCTACACCCTGCGGCAAACATTGACAAGGAGAAACCAAACAGGGGAAGAAGAACACTGTCAATAACCTGAAGCTTCCTCTCCTCTTCTTCTCTCTTCTTCCGCTCCTCTTCCTCATGTTTTCTCTTCAGCTCCATCTCCGCTTTCCTGAGGAAGAGGGAGAATAAGAAAGGCTGTTAGGGTCTGGTGTCACAGCGAGTCATAAAGGTTGGACTTCCTAATCAATACTGTACCATAAGTAATGGAAAGAGCCTCTACTCTACTATACAGCAGTTCCTCAGTCCTAGTCAAGGTCATACAGTTTGTATATCAATACTTTATCCACCCTGGTAGGACGCTGCTACAGAACTAAGGGAGGTGAAACAGATGAATCAATTAAATTGGAACCAACCAATAAATAATCCACCCTGTGGGACCACTGGAAGAGCCCTGCTAATTGCATTACGACATCTATGGCTATCAAGGTCCTCTGACACGGTCATGCTCAAAGTGCTTCAGCAGTAGGTAGGCCTAATTATTAGACCATTTCCATGACGATGCCCTTCAGTTACCAGGCATATAAAGTTGGCAGAGTTGTCGGAGGTCCATAAAGTTTTGGTAGTCGTCTCTAATGCCTTAAATTAGGATCTAGTGACGGATACAATGGGCCATTAGTTCTGCTTAAGGGTTTTATACACCAATGGAAAGAGGGGAGGACACTAAGCATGACTAATGTGTCTGAGCACCTCTACACTCTCTTTTCATCCCTATCTCTCCATCCCTCCATCCCTCTCCACTCACAGGCGCCTGTCATCTTCGTCCTGCTTGCGGCGCTGCTCCTCCTCCTCCCTCCTCTTCTTCTCTCTCTCCATCTCTTCCTGGATCTTCTTCAGTCGCTCCTTCTCCTCCTCCTCCTTCTTCTTGTTCTGCATGGCGGTCAGCAGTTGCTCTGACCGGGTCACCAGGGCCTGGTACTCGTGGTCGATGTCCATGCGGGTCATGACTGTGGTCTGAGGGGAGAGTAGAGTAGCACCCCGTGAAAAAGGCAGCAGCCAAAATGGCAGAATTGTATTGAATTCAGTAAAGACTAAGCAAGAACAAACATGTATAGGGTGCAGTGTCCACCCCATCTCTACATTGAGGGGGGAGTAGGACACAGGGACAGGTAAGGTGTGAGACAGAGAGATTTCATTTTACCCTTGAAACCACAAACACAAACTAATACAAAATCGTGGTGCGTGTAGGGATAACGCTTCGGCAGCCTTGCTGGCTCGGTCGAATTGGCTATCGAAGGGTCTAATTAGCCCCTACATACTCAATTTTCACTCCCTCAGGTTTGGACACTTTCGCAAATGGAGGGGCGAGGGGCGAGGGGAAGGGACTGGTTTGGGATTCAGCAAGTGTCTCCTTGCAGCAAAGAGAAATACAAACTGGAACACCTTCCCGGACCATCAAGACCCATGCCTCAACTAATTGGTCTTGATGGCCTGGGAGGGTATTCAAGTTCATATTTCTGTTGGGTGCAATCTCCTTCCCTGAGCACTCACACATTCATCCCAATCAGAGCCCTACATTTGTGACTGCTGGCATTTACAGAGCTTCCACAGACAGTGGTGTAGGTTTGAATTAGAGGCAAATGTGTTATAGCAACACTCTCTGCTGCTGATGAATATTCATACGCATCTGCAGTCAAAGTAACCTTTTATCAGAAGGCCTTATTCTGCTCCGCAGCTGTGGGCCTGTGTTTGATGAGCTCTACTATCGCCCGAGGACACGGATACAGAGCGTCTCCTCACTCGGTTTTCATAACCCAAACATCCGTTGAATTATGCTTTGTCTACGACATCAGACTCTGAAGTCACACTTAGCAGCACTTGATGTTAGTTTCACCTTAAAAGGCCCACGACTCTATACAATAAAACGTTTCACCTTTAAAAGGCTAACAAATCAGTTGGACGCAAAGGAATTAAATGTTTACCATGCTTTTTCACGGATCACGCTACCATCATTAAGTGAAGTCAAAAGTTAATATACACGGCTCTCTGAGACAAGATGCATATCCTCTCAAAATGCAGATCATAGCCCGTGGACTGAGGCATCCTATTAAATTCAGCCTCATCTATGATGAAAAATATCTCCTAGCTTCAAAGAAAGCCACAATGCCAACGGGTAGAGAGAGAGAGGGCCAGATTCAAATATACAGCACAGCTGCCAAAACAACATCAGGTCCTGTGAATAAATAACAAACCCTGTATTATGCTACTCGCAAAATGAGAGAAAATTATTGACACAGGGGGGTGAATTACGGCAGTCAAAGCTGCCCTCATTTAAAAGTCTTCATACCCCAGAGGTTCCCCAAAATTCATAGTCTGTACACTGAGCCTGCCATAATTGCACACCATCTGGCTGGCTGAAGCCCATTATTAACAGGTAGAGCTTTCCTCCAACTATCCACCATGTGTTAAATATTCCACACTGGGATGAATGCGTTATAGGCGCAATGCCTGCATCCCAAACAGCACCCTATTTCCTATATAGTGGACTATTTTTGACCAGTCAAATGTAGCGCACAATATTGGGAATAGGGCGCTATTTGGGACACGTCTTTGACGTTGAGTGGATTCTATGCACATACTGGCGTAATGATGTTCAGAAAACAATGTTGAATGTTGAGAAATAATGAATTATATAATATGGAGGTGAGAAGAAAACATGACATGCATGTCTTTGATTTCTGGAAAAGAATAGAGCTAGAGTTTTTGAAAATAGTTGAAGGGAGAAGTTTGACTGTAGGAATGCTTGAGCCGATCTCATACACTTTGATTCTATACACATGCTGGGGTATTGACATTCAAAAACAATGTTGAATATGGAGGAAAACAAGAAATCATGAAATACAGAGATATACAGAGATGTGAGAGCAAGTTGTATAGAGGTTTTCAAAGTTGAATGTGTAGAAATAATGAATATTGAAATACAGAGAGTTCCAACAAACGTTCTTGATGAAATAGACGTTTTTGGATTCATAGACAAGAGGAGAAAGAAGGGGTTATGTAGAAGTTTGACTTAAAAGCAGAAAGGAGAGATTTCATAGAACTCAGAGAGGTTGCAGAATGGAAGGCTGGTGGTATTATCTCACAGACCTTGATTTTGACCATGGTTGCGTTGATGGAGACATCCAGCTCCTGGATCTGCTTGCTCATCTCCTGCTTGCCCTCCTTCAGGCCGGCGATAACCTCGTTGAACTTATCCATCCTGTTCTTCAGGTTACGAACCTTACCCAGCCCGTCGATCCTGTACCACACACACACACAGTTTGTCAAAGACAGTTGGTTTTCAAAGAATTACAAAATCGTATGGTAACCCCCGTCCCACTGACCTAGAGGCTCTGAGCCCAGTTGCATAAAACATCTTAAGGGTTTACCTTAAGGAATAATGTTCCCTTACCTAAGGGAATTGTTTAAGGGCATTGCATAGAGCCCCTCAAATATTTCCTTAGGTAAGGGCATTACAGTAGTTTGAAGGCATGTATGGCAGAAAGAATATCTGGTTACCATGGACACGACCTGATTCACTGACTAAATGTCTCATCAAAGAGAGCTTTCATTTTGTGAGATAGCAAAATAGAACATCTACAATCAAGACAGGATAAACAAATTGCTTCAGACGATAATAAACCATGTTTCTTGTTACTTATTATATTGCTTTCTAGTGCAACAAGCTAGCTTACAGAGTACCTATAGCTAACTAGCCAGCTAGCTTTGTAGCCATGGATTGTGCACCTTCCATTGTTTAGCTAAGTAGCTAGCTGGTTGATGTTTTCCTTTTGTAACCAGAACAGATGGAAGCAACATTCACCTCCACAAATACTGTTTACATTGATATCCATACTGAATGAAGCAGTTAAGGGACCTCACTGGCACCCTTAACCTTTTCACTTAATTTAAGGGGGAACTACACCTTAAAATGTGTTGTGCAACTGACTTAAAATTAAGGAAATTGTAAGGGAAAAGATAAGGGGAAAATGAACTTAAGGTGTTTTATGCAACCGGGCCCTGTGGTAATCAGTACAGATCTCCTGGAGCTTTACAAAAATAATAAGACAGAGCCTTGCGGCACCAGCTGGTACAGAGAAGACTGTCTCCGTGGAGATGCATGCATGATGTGCTAAGCAGCCTGGCACCCCTGAGCTGTGAAAGTGCAGTATAACGAGGAAGAGGTGGAGGGAGGGAGGGAGGGAGGGATTAGAGGATACCCACCGCGGCTTGTGCTTCCTCCTGCACAGCCACATGCGCACAGTCTTCTGCATCTTGATGCAGGCACTGGCGCGGTACATCATCTTATTCTTCACTGTGGGAGACATGGAGCAAGAGAGAGGGAGAGAGAGAAGGGAGAGAGGGAGAAAGGAGAGAGAGAGAGAGAGAGAACGTGACAATGAGAGCCCAGACACCCACAGACCAGACCTGCGGTGTGCCGTTGCTAAATGAATATTGGGGACACGCTGCACAGTACACTCCACAGCGGTAATTCACACAGAAAGAGCAAACGATATGGAAATGTTGCCTCAGTGAGAGGTAAACCCAATGGGTCAAAGATTGTCTGTGACTAAGTGTATATCCCAAATAGCACTCTAATCCCTTATTAGTGCACTACTTTTGACCAGAGCCCTATGCACAACATAGGGGATAGGGTGCCATTTGGGATGCAGACCAAGGAGTTGCACCACCTTTTGCCCTCAGAACAGCCTCAATTCGTCAGGGCATGGACTCTACTCTCGAAAATGTTCCATAGGGATGCTGGTCCATGTTGACTCCAATGCTTCCCACAGTTGTGTCAAGTTGGCTGGATGTCCTTTGGGTGGTGGAGCATTCTTGATACACAAGGGAAACTGTTGAGCTTGAAAAACCCAGCAGCGTTGCAGTTCTTAAAACACTCAAATCAGTGCGCATGGTACCTACTTCCCGGTTCAAAGGCACTTAAAACTTTTGTCTTGCCCATTCACCCTCTGAATGGCACACACACACAATCCTTCAACCTGTCTCCACCCCTTCATTTACACTGATTGAATTATCCTGGTCAGTCTATGTCATGGAAAGAGCAGGTGTTCCTAATGTTTTGTACACTCAGTGTATACTGTCTGGGCAAGTAATAGATCATATCTGAAGGACTGAGGTGAACTGTCTGCCAACACATCCCCACAGCACGTTAGAGTAATGGAGGAAAAAGCAATATCTTGGCCCAGGTTGAAGAAGTTTAAAATGAGGCGGTCTGATTATATCTCCACACAAAACAGATGGCCAGAGCCAGTATGATCGGAATTGGGTCGGCGCAACTGGTGCAATCACTTTAAACCATTTGTCTCCTAAAACACGTGTTCACAAAGCATATCAGCATAGGTGAGCTGATCTAGGATCAGGTCTCCCCTGTCCATATAATTGTATTCATTATGACCTAATTGGGAAAACTGACCCTAGATCAGCACTCCTACTCTGAGACGCTTTGTGAATACAGGCCCTGGTGTATAATGGTGATGTGGTAGGTAGCAAGATCATGATGTTACTCACATTTGATGACAGAGAGGGAACACCACTGGACCTTCTTCCAGCGGCTGCAGATGAGCCACTGGTTGACCTTCTTGACCAGCTCTGCCAGGTGGTCAGGGTCCGACTTCATGATCTGATCAAACTCTTTAAACTGAGGTGAGGATGGATGGAGGAAAGAGGTATGAGAGCGGATGGAAGGATGGATGGAGGAGGAATGACAGAAGGATGGCGAGTGAAGAAATAGAGAGATGAGAGAGAAGGATGGGGGAGAGATGTGAGAGAAGGATGGGGGAGAGATGTGAGAGAAGGATGGGGGAGAGATGTGAGAGAACATAGAGCAGTCAAAGGCACTTTCCCCTCTAAAACAGCCAATAGTATGCAGATGTTCCCTGCTCAGCGGAGATAACAATAGGTATATCAATTGAAAGCCATAACAGCAGTACCTGTCTGGTCGGGGTCAATAGAGGATAACATATTGATTCATTCATAAGCACCAAACTACAGAGCTACAATGTCAAAGTTACTCCTGTCCCACACAGCGATCGCCTGTGACAGAGTCCAATTACGCCATAACCGACATGCAGACATTTTTATAAAGGGCCTCCGAACCGCACATTTATCATCACTGACTAATTCATCTCTTCCAGAAATTAATACCCCCTGTGTTAGATCGGCATGGTTTATTATCAAAACCCCTTTCCCCTCACAGTCAAATGACTAATACTGATTCCTTTGAAGTCCATTCAGTCTGAGGAACATTGTAATGATGAGAACCAGGGAAATGACAACAGCACAGAGACAGGGACAGATCATGGAGTTCTCACCTTCCCAGGTCTGAAGAACACTCTGGTCAGCCCAAACTTGTAGTCGTTCTCGTTCAGACCCAGCGCTTTGAATAAAGCCTGCAGCACAAACGCATGATGTCAATACATGTCATATCAACATGTCAAACTGTGTTTGTAGAGAAGCCCAGAGCAGGGCCAGTGTGTGTTTGTGTGTGTGTGTGTGTGTGTGCATATCTGTGTGTGTCATGAGGCACTGACCTTGCAGAAGAGCCTTGGGTCCAGGCGGGTCAGCTTGGCAGGCATGTACTGTTTGTACATGTTGTAGAGCTCATGGAATGGAGCTCTGGAGGGGAAGCCTCCCTGCATGAGGTCTAGCACAGACACCATTCCTACACACAGACATACACAGGGTCACTCCAGCTCAACTGAACATCTTGGCAGTTGTAACTAATGGCAGCTTTATTATCGAAGGAAAAAAATCGAATGATGCCTCAAATAACCTTAAATAATCGAATATTGCATCAGAAGTTAAGGCATGACACTTTCTCCATTTCAGAAATATATTATTTATTGTACAACACTAGCTAAAGCTTTAATCTTCTCCTTTTCAGTCAGTGGTAAACCTTAAGACACATTTCTCTGACTCATTCTTCCAATGTATCAAACTAACATTTGCTGACTTCACTCAGTCCACCACCCACTCAATACAGTTAACGCACTACAATTTGTACTTTATCTCAGAGAGCTGGAGCACAGTCTCTCCCTGTATCTGAGGGATCACTAATGAGTTTGTGTAGATAAAAAATTAATAAAAATTAAAATAAAAAGGAATCTCCAAGGATACAGAAGAAAAGCATGTTAAATGTAGTATGCAAATTGAACAGGAGAATGGGACTTTTAATTTGCTTAGCAGCCTTTAGTTTAAAGGTCTGAGAAAGAGAAAAGTTCAAAAAACACTCAAGTAGAACAGCTCTTGGCTATTGTCCCCAGCGGGCCACCGCACGTACACCCATCTAGATCTAGGACGAGGACGATTGCTGTGGAACAGGGCACTGTCAAGTTCAGGTCACTGGTAGGAATTTGTGATGAACAAGCAGAAATGTAGATGCTATACAGTAGCTCTTCTCCAAATGTAATTGTGTGCTAATTTGTGGAGAGGAAGGAAAACTGAGTTTTCAGTAAATGCATGTAAATCACACTGGTCATTTTGCATTTGATTGCTTTCTGGCGGATTAAAATTCCACATCTGTAGTCAGGTCTCCCTGTGTCGTTGTATGCAAGTTAAATATAAACTAATTAATAATTAACTGGATTAGCGCTTTACATAGTACGGTGGGGAAACTTCACGTCATCCATCACCAATGTAGAGTGTGTGTTTTAAATGGCACCCTTTTGACCAGGGCGCATAGGGAATAGGGTGCCAAGTTGATTAGTCCTTCTCTTTAGGACTATATACTGACCTGAGCACTGCAGCTGAGAGAGGATCTGGGCCCCTTCAAATTGGTGGCTGACCATCTTCAGATTGGGCTTGATACAGCGGATGAAACTGGAGCCCTGGGAGGGAGAGAGAGAAGAGGCTGTTAGTCATAAAGATCCTATTCAATTGAAGTGTTCTATATGCAATTTCAAGCTGTTAGCCCTGACAGCAGCCACAGTGAAGATGGCCACAGTGCACCTCTTTGGTGACCCAGATTGGTTAGACATCAGCTTAGGCATTATGGACTGACAAAATAAAACATTTCCCTGGGAGATCGATAAAGTTATATTATAGGAGACCCGATATCAACTCAAGTTAGATACCCTGTGAGTGGGTTAAAGCAGTAAATCGTTTAGCACTGTAGTAAATACTAACCGTGCTGCGAAGCTTCTCCAGTAGAATGTTCAGCTGGGTCTGTTGATGTAAAAGAAGAAAAGAAAACCTTTGTTTAGTGATACAGACAGACTTTACAGACCTGTCTAGTCTCTTTCTGCCTCCAGCGCGCCTGTCCAAAACTCAAATCAACAGCTACTTAAGCAACAGTACAGCCGTGAAGGGCACACATTTATGGTTGAAGCGCATTGAAACTAAAACAAAAGAGATTCCGTTTTAATGTAATTCATGCAAACAGGCCTAAATACAACACTGATAGGACCACAGGAACAGAGGGACAGACACAGACGGAGGAATGCATGGTAGCCAACTAACTGTGCATTGTGGGATGGCAGACAGACAGACAGACAGACAGACAGATAACCGCTTGTTGGCCCCTCTCTGTCACTGTTCTAGAGCTCTTGTTGCAAAACCCCTGTAACCTTCCCAACATGTCCAGGTTTTCCAGAAATCCCAGTTCGAATTCCCCCCTGATTTCAGGAACTGTCCAACCAGGATTTCTGGAAAACCTGGGAATTTTGAGAAAGTTACTGGAATTTTGCAACCCTAGTCTGCAAAGAGCTGTGTTTAACAGACTGATTGGTCTAGGGACCACCACTGGGACATTAATATTCATACACCCGGCAGGATATCACATCGCAAATGATCAGCTGAAAACGCTTCCTATCTCACCTTGTAACTCTGAGAACAGACGGGTACTAAACGCTGCATCACTGATCAGGCCTTAGTCAAGCTCAAAGACTTATGATCTATATCACTATTTCTACAGTAGCTGCCTTATTTACAGTAGCTCCATAATATTTACAGTAGGTGCCTGGCAGGCAGTCATATTGGGTGCAGCTGCCAACTGGCATGCACATAAGTCTTGTATTTATTGTACTTGTCAGAATTTTTACGAGGTATCGTAGCACGGTAATTGGACTTTAGGGCAATTGATCGATGGTCATTGATCCTGTCAGTAAAGATTGATCTGATCCTACAAGCTATGGATCTCGCTGTGGTCTATAACAAGTTGCAAAATATTGACACTACTGTACACTGTCGATACTGATATGGATAACATCTAAATTAATTGGAATTGAAAGCTGCCAACATCCAGATATCATTAGCAAGTGTTTGCTGTGAGCTGAATTCAGATTCAAAGTATGCAGGTTGTGGTGCAAGGGACAAACTGTGGAGGGAGGCAGCACAGAGACAAGACTGGGGAGAGAGGGGACAGGGGGTGGCTGGAAGCGGTTAGCTGGAGAACATCAGGCCGTTCACTGCATTATTCACTGATGCATTGTGGGGATTCGTAACACACAACAGCACAAGACGAGTTACCTTATTTCCCTGGCTGATTCTACGAGTCATCACGACTGATTTTACCCCCCCTACGTTTCTGCTTTTCCTGTCAGTATTTCTCCCTCTCTCTACACACCTTCTGAACTTTAAATCACAGCTATGATGGGGGGATATGGAAAGGAGACAGAGGGAGGAGGAATGAAGAACAGAACAGAAAGGGAGGAGGAACAGTGGGAGGGAGAGGCATTAGAACACCACAGGTAACAGGATACAGAGAGAACATGAACTCTGCGGAAACTAAACGAAAGGTAGATTCAATCAGACAACACCTTCAAAACACATTATGCAACCGAGAACCCGGTTCAAATTACCTCTAAAATTGTAATAACTTTTTGTAACTCTCTTGTATTCTAACTTTTCTGCTTCTCTCCATGGTCTAGGTGCAGTGTAGTTCCATGACAGCTAACAATAACTTCTTATTAACATGACTAAATATTTCACTTAATAATAACAACAACATCAACAACACTTCTTACAGGATCAATATCACTTAGCATAGAGTAAGGAAGGACATCACTGTTACGACCATAAAGTAAACATATAGCATTGATGCTACTGTTTTGCCTATAAAACACAGGATTAACATACTTGAACATAGGCAACGGTGGTTGCGTCCCAAATAGCATCCTATTCCCTACATAGTGCATTACTTTTGACCAGAGCCCTATGGGCCCTGGTCAAAAGTAGTGCACTATTTACAGTGGGGAGAAAAAATATTTGATACACTGCCAATTTTGCAGGTTTTCCTACTTACAAAGCATGTAGAGGTCTGTAATTTTTATCATAGGTACACTTCAACTGTGAGAGACGGAATCTAAAACAAAAATCCAGAAAAACACATTGTATGATTTTTAAGTAATTAATTTGCATTTTATTGCATGACATAAGTATTTGATCACCTACCAACCAGTAAGAATTCCGGCTCTCACAGACCTGTTAGTTTTTCTTTAAGAAACCCTCCTGTTCTCCAGTCATTACCTGTATTAACTGCACCTGTTTGAACTCATTACCTGTATAAAAGACACCTGTCCACACACTCAATCAAACAGACTCCAACCTCTCCACAATGGCCAAGACCAGAGAGCTGTGTAAGGACATCAGGGATTTAATTGTAGACCTGCACAAGGCTGGGATGGGCTTCAGGACAATAGGCAAGCAGCTTGGTGAGAAGGCAACAACTGTTGGCGCAATTATTAGAAAATGGAAGAAGTTCAAGATGACGGTCAATCACCCTCGGTCTGGGGCTCCATGCAAGATCTCACCTCGTGGGGCATCAATGATCATGAGGAAGGTGAGGGATCAGCCCAGAACTACACGGCAGGACCTGGTCAATGACCTGAAGAGAGCTGGGACCACAGTCTCAAAGAAAACCATTAGTATAACACTACGCCGTCATGGATTTAAAATCCTGCAGCGCACGCAAGGTCCCCCTGCTCAAGCCAGCGCATGTCCAGGCCCGTCTGAAGTTTGCCAATGACCATCTGGATGATCCAGAGGAGGAATGGGAGAAGGTCATGTGGTCTGATGAGACAAAAATAGAGCTCTTTGGTCCACTCGCCGTGTTTGGAGGAAGAAGAAGGATGAGTACAACCCCAAGAACACCATCCCAACCGTGAAGCATGGAGGTGGAAACATCATTCTTTGGGGATGCTTTTCTGCAAAGGGGACAGGACGACTGCACCATATTGAGGGGAGGATGGATGGGGCCATGTATCGCGAGATCTTGGCCAACAACCTCCTTCCCTCAGTAAGAGCATTGAAGATGGGTCGTGGCTGGCTCGTCCAGCATGACAACGACCCGAAACACACAGCCAGGGCAACTAAGGAGTGGCTCCGTAAGAAGCATCTCAAGGTCCTGGAGTGGCCTAGCCAGTCTCCAGACCTGAACCCAATAGAAAATCTTTGGAGGGAGCTGAAAGTCCGTATTGCCCAGTGACAGCCCCGAAACCTGAAGGATCTGGAGAAGGTCTGTATGGAGGAGTGGGCCAAAATCCCTGCTGCAGTGTGTGCAAACCTGGTCAAGACCTACAGGAAACATATGATCTCTGTAATTGCAAACAAAGGTTTCTGTACCAAATATTAAGTTCTGCTTTTCTGATGTATCAAATACTTATGTCATGCAATAAAATGCAAATTAATTACTTAAAAATCATACAATGTGATTTTCTGGATTTTTGTTTTAGATTCCGTCTCTCACAGTTGAAGTGTACCTATGATAAAAATGACAGACCTCTACATACTTTGTAAGTGACATACCACCTTACCACCTTCCGGAGACATTTGAAACCCCACCTCTTTAAGGAATACCTGGGATAGGCTAAAGTATTCCTTCTAACCCCCCCCCCCCCCCCCCAAATTGTAAAGTGGTTATCCCACTGGCTATAGGGTGAACGCACCAATTTGTGAGTCGCTCTGGCTAAGAGCGTCTGCTAAATGACGTTAATGTGCCCTTGAGCAAGGCACTTAACCCTAATTGCTCCTGTAAGTCGCTCTGGTTAAGAGCGTCTGCTAAATGACTAAAATGTAATGTAATGTAAATGTAAGTAGGAAAACCTGCAAAATCGGCAGTGTATCAAATACTTGTTCTCCCCACTGTATAGAATAGGGTGCCATTTGGGATGCCTACCATGTTGAGCAGCGCAATAATAAAGTGTGGTAATAAAAGGCTTGGGATTAACATTCGTCCTCACCTTGAATTTGTTGCCGACGCTGATGAAGCTGAGTTTGCCGGCCTTCTGTTTGGCATCCTTGGTGTTGTTGGAGTTCTCAAAGAGCTCCCGGATAAACCGGTCTTTAGACTCACTCACCAGGCACTCCAGGGACATGTGCAGCGCGTCATTGTTCTTCTCCACAAACTTGGTCTGCAATTCAGAGAAAATGTAGAACCTTGAAGATGCAGAAGTACCCCGTTCACAAAAAGGCTACTCTGTTTGGAAGATAAGTGGGTCATTCATATTAAAAAACATGCTTTGAGTTCCACCTGCTGGGTTATGTGCAGATTTCAAAGCAGGAGAATGTTTGGTTGAAGATGCTGCAGTATAGGCCTACCACAAGGACATTGTGGATAACATAAATACACCTGATAAAATCATAAAAAAGGTGTGATGTTGTTTTTTGCCGTCAGACATCCTGCTGAGTCATTGTGTGTGAACCTCAACGTACCGTCTCATAGCACACTGCTCCTGCAAAGTGTCTGACGATGAATCCCTCGTCATCCCTCATATTCCTGTGGACTTGCAGCTTGGATTTCCTAGGCACCTGAGGGACGCATCACACACACACACACATCATCCATTTTAAATAAGTGAAACACAAATACAACCACTGAAGCATGACCTATTCCAATGGCTTAACAAAGAAAGAAAACACACGACTGACATTACAACTGCTAAAAACGCACACACATGCACAGCCTATAACACACAAAAAGGACATGATTCCTGGTTAAAGTAAATACTCACGGTCAGTCGGAAGTGGTTCTTGTGCTTGTTGTGTACGGTCTCTGCAAAGTGCTGGTCGCTGGGCTGAGGTAGACGGTTCTCTTCATCCAGGATGTCCAGGATGCCCACCAGCTTGGCCTCCACAAGGTCTGTAAACAGACAGAGGTCAAAAGGTCAAGGTATTCCAAAATGACTATATCCAATCATCTTCCAGCTTTCGAGCTATACTGTTGCTTCCTGTATTTCATTAGGGGTTTAGTCTTTGTATAGCCCAGGGCCGGATTACCAAATGCAGTAGTCCAGCCCTGACCAGGGCCACTGAATAATTTGTATGTAGAAGGAATGAGAAGCTCAGTTCTGGTGACTTTTTAAAATGACATTCCACTCCAAATTGAATGAAAATAAAATGATGCTGCCACCATCTAAAATATAATTTTTATTTGTTTAAATTATTTCTACATAATGGACCATGCATATACAGTCGAAGTCGGAAGTTTACATACACTTAGGTTGGAGTCATTGAAACTCGTTTTTCAACCACTCCACATATTTCTTGTTAACAAACTATAGTTTTGGCAAGTCGGTTAGGACATCTACTTTGTGCATGACACAAGTTATTTTTCCAACAATGTTTACAGACAGATTATTTCACTTATAATTCACTGTATCACAATTCCAGTGGGTCAGACGTTTACATACACTAAGTTGACTGTGCCTTTAAACAGCTTGGAAAATTCCAGAAAATGATGTCATGGCTTTAGAAGCTTCTGATTGACATCATTTGAGTCAATTGAAGGTGTACCTGTGGATGTATTTCAAGGCCTACCTTCAAACTCAGTGCCTCTTTGCTTGACATCATGGGAAAAACAAAAGAAATCAGCCAAGACCTCAGAAAAAAAATTGTAGACCTCCACAAGTCTGGTTCATCCTTGGGAGCAATTTCTAAATGCCTGAAGATACCATGTTCACCTGTACAAACAATAGTACGCAAGTATAAACACCATGGGACCACGCAGCCGTCATACCGCTCAGGAAGGAGACGCTTTCTGTCTCCTAGAGATGAACGTACATTGGTGCGAAAAGTGCAAAAATCAATCCCAGAACAACAGCAAAGGACCTTGTGAAGATGCTGGAGGAAACAGGTACAAAAGTATCCATATCCACAGTAAAACAAGTCCTATATCGACATAACCTGAAAGGCCGCTCAGCAAGGAAAAGGGGAATGCTTGCAAGCCAAAGAACACCATCCCAACCGTGAAGCACGGGGGTGGCAGCATCATGCTGTGGGGGTGCTTTGCTGCAGGAGGGACTGGTGCACTTCACAAAATAGATGGCATCATGAGGAAGGAAGATTATGTGGATATATTGAAGCAACATCTCAAGACATCAGTCAGGAAGTTAAAGCTTGGTCACAAATGGGTCTTCCAAATGGACAATGACCCCAAGCATACTTCCAAAGTTGTGGCAAAATGGCTTAAGGACAACAAAGTTAAGGTATTGGAGTGGCCATCACAAAGCCCTGACCTCAATCCTATAGAACATTTGTGGGCAGAACTGAAAAAGCGTGTGCGAGCAAGGAGGCCTACAAACCTGACTCAGTTACACCAGCTCTGTCAGGAGGAATGGGCCAAAATTCACCCAACTTATTGTGGGAAGCTTGTGGAAGGCTACCCGAAACGTTTGACCCAAGTTAAACAATTTAAAGGCAATGCTACCAAATACTAATTGAGTGTATGTAAACTTCTGACCCACTGGGAATGTGATGAAAGAAATAAAAGCTGAAATAAATCATTCTCTCTACAATTATTCTGACTTTTCACATTCTTAAAATAAAGTGGTGATCCTAACTGACCTAAGACAGGGAATTTTTACTAGGATTAAATGTCAGGAATTGTGAAAAACTGAGTTTAAATGTATTTGGCTAAGGTGTATGTAAACTTCCGACTTCAACTGTATATCAGGTCTGCTATTAGCAATAAGCATTATCACCTGTAGCACAACTGATAGCAGCATAGTGGCTATAAATAAATGGGCTGAAGCATGGGGTGCCTACCTGCATTTACCCTATTGAGCTAATCATTAGCTAGATCCCAAATGTGATTATTTAACTAATTAGCATCTTATTGATGAACTTACATAAACGCAGTAAATCTATAATATAGGTCTACCTGTTAGGGTAACACGCCCCCTGCCTGTACTTCTCACAGAAACCACTTACATTTATATTTTAGTCATTTATCAGACGCTCTTATCCAGAGTGACTTACAGGAGCAATTAGGGTTAAGTGCCTTGCTCAAGGGCAAATCGACAGATTTTTCACCTAGTCAGCTTCATGTCACAATTTTTTCCCCCAACACATTCCTGGTTGCCAATACTCTTACTGAACAAAAAATGTAATCTGTCTCATCACAAGTTAAGTCACTCCCCCAAAATTATTTAAGGTAGGGTGCGTTTTACCCCAAGTCACCCTACAATTGACCCGTCTTACATTTAGCCCCACTCTCCCCTATTCACTCACTGCAAATAGTTGAGCAGTAACATGCTAACCATCTCGCTGCTAAAAACTCAGGGTTAATTTTTTTTGCATATTTAGGAGTTGAGAAATAAATAAAGTAGGCATGGAAAGCTTGATCACATCTTTACTAATGCTGCAGAAACCTGCTGTAAAGCAGTATCCAAATCCATTGGATGTAGTGATCACAATATGGTAGCCATATCTAGGAAAACCTAGTTCCAAAGACTGGACCTAATATTGTGTATAAGAGGTCCTACAAGAGTTTTTGTAGTGATTCCTATGTTGATGATGTAAAGAATATTTGCTTGTCTGTGGTGTGTAATTAGGAGCCACCAGACACTGCACTTGACACATTTATGAAATTGCTTACTCCAGTTACTAAAATGCAGGCACCCATTAAGAAAATGACTAAAAACTGTTAAATCCCCGTGGATTGATAAGGAATTGAAAAGTGTTATGGTTGAGAGGGTTGGCAAACCGATTGGCAAACCTACTGCAAATTGAGAAATCATGTGACTAAATAGAACAAAAATAAACTATACTATGAAACAAAGATAAATGATATAAAGAATAATAGTAAAACGCTTTGGAGCACCTTAAATGAAAATGTTGGGCAAAAAGGCAAACTCAGCTCCATCATTCATTGAATCAGATGGCTCATTCATTACAAAACCCACTGATATTGCCAACTACTTTAATGATTTTTTCCTTGGCAAGATTAGCAAATAGGCATGACATGCCAGCAACAAACACCGAACCAATCCAAGTATAACTGACCAAATTATGAAAAGACAAGCATTGTAATTTTGAATTCCGTAAAGTGAGTGTGGAAGATTTGAAACAATTATTGTTGTCTATCAACAATGACAAGCCACTGGGGTCTGACAACTTGGATGGAAAATTACTGAGGATGATAGCAAACAATATTACCACTCCTATCTGCCATCTCTTCAATCTAAGTGTATGCCCTCAGGCCTGGAGGGAAGCAAAAGTCATTCTGCTACCCAAGAACAGTAAAGCACCCTTTACTGGCTCAAATAGCCGACCAATCAGCCTGTTACCAACCCTAAGTATACTTCTGGGGGAAAAAATTGTGTTTGACCAGATACAATTCTATTTTACAGTAACTAGATTAACAACAGACGTTAAAACAGACGTTACCAGTCTAACATAACACATATGGTGTTCTTTAATGCTAGCCTCTCCAACATAATCCAGGTAGAATCAAGCATTCCCCAGGGCAGCTGTCTAGGCCCTTTACTTTTTTCAATCATTACTAATGACCTGCCACTGGCTCTGAGTAAAGCCTGTGTGTCTATGTATGCGGATGACTCAACACTATACACGTCATCTACTACAGCGTGTGAAATCATTGCAACACTTAAAGAGCTGCAGTCAGTTTCAGAATGGGTGGCAAGAAATAAGTTTGTCAAAACACTAAAAGCATTGTATTTGGGACAAATCATTCACTAAACCCTAAACCTCAACTAAATATTGTAATGAATAATGTGGAAATTGAGCAAATTGAGGAGACTAAACTGCTTGGAGTAACCCTGGATTGTAAACTGTTATGGTCAAAACACATTGATGCAACAGTAGCTAAGATGGGGAGAGGTCTGTCCATAATAAAGCGCTCCTCTGCTTGTTAACAACAATATCAACAAGGCAGGCCCTACAGGCCCTAGTTTTGTCGCACCTGGACTTCTTCCCAGTTGTGTGGTCAGGTGCCACAAAGAGGGACTTGGGAAAATTACAACTGACCCAGAATAGGGCAGCATGGCTGGCCCTTAAATGTACACTTAGAGCTAACATTAATAATATCCATGTCAATCTCTCATGGTTCAAAGTAGAGAAGAGATTGCCTTCATCACTACTTGTTTTTGTAAGAGGTATTGACATGTTGAATGCACCGAGCTGTCTAAACTACTAGCCACAGCTCGGACACCCATACATACCCCACAAGACATGCCACCAGAGGTCTCTTCACAGTCCCCAAGTCCAGCACAGACTATGGGAGGCACACATTACTACACAGAGCCATGGCTACATGGCTACACATCAAGTTACTCACGTAAGCAGTAAAATCAGATTACACCTTGTTTAAAAATTGTATTATAATGTATATTACTGCCTTAATGTTTGCTGGACCCTAGGAAGGGATCCACAATAAATACAAAGCTGGGATCCCCCTCTTTTTAACAAAGGCCATTGAAACCGCTGTTTTCCCCACAATTGCATTATGAATTGTTGTGCCTTGATTGTCAGCATGCATGTTTCCCTCCCTATGGCACCTGCAACTTGAATGCACCTTGAGAGGAATATTTATCATCTCGCATAGAACGCTCAACAACAAGCCGACTAGGTAAATAGATACGATTTTATTATGGGGTTGTCAGATTTTTCTATTCATTAGTCGTTTTGTTTACAGAGGAAAAGTAAATCTGGACTATTCTAGCATCTTCAAAGTGGAACATAAAAGTATGCCTTTAATGTTCCATATATTTTTGTTGTGGCGGCAATGATGTTGCCATGGCGCAACGCCAGAGCCAAATGACTGCTGCGGAAACACTGCACTGAAGGTGTAAGATCCAGTGAGCTCCAAAAGTATTGGGATAATGACACATTTTTTGTTGCTTTGTCTCTGCACTCCAGCACTTAGATTTGAAATGATACAAACGACTATGAAGTGTCAGCTTTAATTTGAGGGTATTTTTTATCCATATCGGGTGAACCGTTTAGAGATTACAGCACTTTTTGTACATAGTCCCCCTTCCCCCCTATTTTAGGGGACCAAAAGTATTGGGACAAATTCACTTACTGTATACAGTGGCTTGCGAAAGTATTCACCACCCTTGGCATTTTTCCTATTTTGCTGCCTTACAACCTGGAATTAAAATGGATTTTTGGGGGGTTTGTATCATTTGATTTACACAACATTCCTACCACTTTGAAGATGCAAAATATTTTTATTGAGAAAACAAACAAAAATAAGACAAAAATACAGAAAACTTGAGCGTGCATAGCTATCCCCCCCCCCCCCCCCCCCCCCCCCCCCCCCCCCTCTATTTGACCCCTCTGCAAAACATGACTTAGTACTTGGTGGCAAAACCCTTGTTGGCAATCACAGAGGTCAGACGTTTCTTGTAGTTGGCCACCAGGTTTGCACACATCTCAGGAGGGATTTTGTCCCACTCCTCTTTGCAGATCTTCTCCAAGTCATTAAGGTTTCGAGGCTGACGTTTGGCAACTCGAACCTTCAGCTCCCTCCACAGATTTTCTATGGGATTAAGGTCTGGAGACTGGCTAGGCCACTCCAGGACCTTAACGTGCTTCTTCTTGAGCCACTCCTTTGTTGCCTTGGCCATGGGTTTGGGTTATTGTCATGCTGGAATACCCATCCACGACCCATTTTCAATGCCCTGGCTGAGGGAAGGAGGTTCTCACCCAAGAATTGACGGTACATGGCCCCGTCCATCGTCCCTTTGTTGTGGTGAAGTTGTCCAGTCTCCTTAGCAGAAAAACACCCCCAAAGCCTAATGTTTCCACCTCCATGTTTGACGGTGGGGATGGTGTTCTTGGGGTCATAGGCAGCATTCCTCCTCTTCCAAACACGGCGAGTTGAGTTGATGCCAAAGAGCTCCATTTTGGTCTCATCTGACCACAACACTTTCACCCAGTTCTCCTCTGAATCATTCAGATGTTCATTGGCAAACTTCAGACGGGCATGTATATGTGCTTTCTTGAGCAGGGGGACCTTGCGGGCGCTGCAGGATTTCAGTCCTTCACGGCGTAGTGTGTTACCAATTGTTTTCTTGGTGACTATGGTCCCAGCTGCCTTGAGATCATTGACAAGATCCTCCCGTGTAGTTCTGGGCTGATTCCTCACCGTTCTCATGATCATTGCAACCCCCACGAGGTGAGATCTTGCATAGAGCCCCAGGACGAGGGAGATTGACACGTCTTTTGTGTTTCTTCCATTTGCGAATAATCGCACCAACTGTTGTCACCTTCTCACCAAGCTGCTTGGCGATGGTCTTGTAGCCCATTCCAGCCTTGTGTAGGTCTACAATCTTGTCCCTGACATCCTTGGAGAGCTCTTTGGTCTTGGCCATGGTGGAGAGTTTGGTGATTGATTGCTTCTGTGGACACTCCCTTTAAGAGTGTGCTCCTAATCTCAGCTCGTTACCTGTATAAAAAACACTTGGGAGCCAGAAATCTTTCTGATTGAGAGGGGGTCAAATACTTATTTCCCTCATTAAAATGCAAATCAATTTATAACATTTTTGACATGCGTTTTTCTGGATTTTTTTGTTGCTATTCTGTCTCTCACTGTTCAAATAAACCTACCATTAAAATTATAGACTAATCATTTCTTTGTCAGTGGGCAAACGTACAAAATCAGCAGGGGATCAAATACTTTTTTTCCCTCACTGTAGCTGTCCTCCGGCTACACCATGGTGCTACCATACAGAGTGCTGTTGAGGCTAGGGTAGACCTTCATTGCAAAACAGTGTGTTTTAATCAATTATTTGGTGACGTGAATATATTTAGTAGAGTTTTATCTAAAAAGGATTACTTTTTCAATGTTTTACCATTTTAATTTTTATGAAATTCACTGAGGATGATGGTCCTCCCCTTCCTCCTCTGAGGAGCCTCCACTGGTTGACAACGATGCTGCTTTCCACTTTGCTTCTTAATATAAATCCACAAGCGTTCTATAATTACACTATTAGTTTGTGTATCTCACTGTCTGCAAACAGCTAGTTTGTCTTTTATTAGCAAGTTCTGGCTAAAATAAATTGTGTTAGCTGCTAATGCTAATTGCAAGTAAGCTGGCTAGCTAGCTAATACATTTACTGAGTCAGAGAAAACGTAGCTAGCTAATACAGCCTGATACCAGTGCTAGTGTAGGCCTAAGCCAGCATTTTGATTGTGCAACAGTATCTTCTAAATCAGAGAGGAATAGGTGACGCATGAATATGTTAGCTAAATCAAGTAAGAAAAAACATTTAACGTAGCTAACATCTAATTAGGGTCCCCTGGGAAACACTGATCAACACTTTGGTTCCTAACCTGTCACAATAACTCCTCCCTGGCTTTTTCATGTCAAACAACATGGTATTCAAAGTGGCCACTATTATATTCTAACTCTAGAATTAAAATATTCACTCTATTTCCATGATTCCAACAGTTCACCCAATAATTTGTATCTAAATCAAATAGCAATAGCAGAATTTGGTTAAAAATAAGGCCTAGATGTTTTGCCCATATCATGCAGCCCTTTGTGGCAGTGCGGACATGATCTCAAATGAGTGCAGGAAATGCAGAAATCTATGAAAATTACCTTTGGTTGAAGTTTGAATGAACAGTATAAAACAACCAGAATTGAGAAAGACCCATTGAAATCACTTAGAATTGATGTGTTGCCATTCTAGGTCATGCATTACTTAAAGCAAATGTAGAACTTGTATTATTAAAAAATATAAAATACCGTAAAAAATTTGAAAATATTGTGATATGAAATTTCAGCTATACCGCCCAACCCTACTTGATGGAACAGAAAGTAAAATGTCTGTTCTCAGAGAGCAGTGTATGTGAGAGTCTACAGGGCAGGCTTTGGTCCAATGGCTGCTTCTCTTAAACGCAGACCCCATTCTATCTAGCGTTAACCCCTGTCACCTCCATTCCACTCTCTGGTACCACACACATCTCAAACAGAGGGGTTTAGGTGTGCTCTGGAACATAATCAATCTACCTCCCATCAACTGGCTTTATTTCTGTTGACCATGAAACATAACTTGGGGTCAGGGTCAAGAGTTGTGCGCTCAAAAGCTTAACCTCCCTCAGAGAAAACAGCTATTCCACCTTCCCACACAAACAGAGGTCAAAACAGATCTCCAGTCAGAAGAACATTGAATGGCAACACATTGAAAAAAACAGGGGGAAAACACTGGAAACTAGGTGGAGGATACTGTACGTAGGCTAAACCTCTGAAATGATGTGAAGATGAGACAAACCTATGCAGTCCTGATTGTCGACATAATGGACCTCATTTACTCCAAGACCCTCCTTCTGATAGAGCTCTTGTTCCTAGAATTCAAAACAGAACGGTTCCAATAACAAGCATTTGTAATGTCATTCATAATGACATTCAGAAAATAATTGAAGTCTGTTTACCTACAGTACCAGTCAAAAGTTTGGACACACTTACTTATTCCAGGAGTTTGCAACAAGCAGAAGGAAACCTTGATATTTAAGATTCAGTTATATTGGTCAGAGAACTTGCTAACGTAAATGTATTATTGCTGGATAGCTATAATAGACAGAAAATATTATGCCCTCAGACTTCATTTGAATACATTTGCGTCTTTGGCCTCATTAGAATAGAGAACAATCATATATACAGTATCAGTCAAAAGTTAGACACACCTACTCATTCAAGGGTTTTTCTTTATTTTGACTATTTCCTTCATGTAGTAACCAAAAAAGTGTTAAACAAATCAAAATATATTTTATATTTGAGATTCTTCAAAGTAGGCACCCTTTGCCTTGATGACAGCTTTGCACACTCTTCGCATTCTCTCAACCAGCTTCATGAGGTAGTCACCTGGAATGCATTTCAATTAACAGGCGTGCCTTGTTAAAAGTTAATTTGTGGAATTTCTTTCCTTCTTAATGCGTTTGAGCCAATCAGTTGTGTTGTGACAAGGTAGGGGTGGTATACAGAAGATAGCCCTATTTGGTAAATGGCCATGTCCATATTATGGCAAGAACAGCTCAAATAAGCAAAGAGAAACGACAGTCCATCATTACTTTAAGACATGAAGGTCAGTCAATCCGGAAAATTTCAAGAACTTTGAAAGTTTCTTCAAGTCTATGAGGGCATAAGCTTTTCTGTCTATTATAGCTATCCAGCAATAATATATTACATTAGCAAGTTCTCTGACAAATATAACTGATTCTTAAATATCAAGGTTTCCTTCTGCTTGTTGCAAAAACCTGGGCTCTTTCTCAGTTCATCTTTCCTAGATTTCTCGCATCCTCTCTCCACGCCTCCTTCTCAGGACGCATTGGAGAAGAAGGTCCAATGGGAAGGACCTTGGTCATTCCCCTCCAATACAGTTGAGGAGGAGGCAAGGAGATAGGATGCTAGGAATCACAGAAAGGCAACTTGAGATTGAGCCCTGTTGTACAGCTGGGATGTCAACTAAGGAGAGAGGAGGCGTCGGGGTCCACAGACCGACAGTGGAAGAAGCGCTCACCTCTTTCAGGATGCGTTCGTTGAAGAACTGCTGCAGCTTCTCGTTACAGTAGTTGATGCAGAACTGCTCAAAGCTGTTGTGCTCAAAGTACTCTGGAAGAGCGACATCAGGAAATGAAAACAAATTTAAAAAACAAGCACTTTAGCTGTAAACCACCACTGTCTCTGACTAATGAACTCTTGCAATTGTGTGCAATGAGTGGTTCGTGTTATGTTGTGTATAATGTCTCATGGTGAAATGTCTGTTGGTTTGATGAATTTTTATGGACAATTATGCTGCAAAACCATTTCCGCCTTAGGGATAATAATGTTTACTACTACTACTACTACTATCATATAATGTGGTATCATGTATCACGTACATGTAGCACAGAGCACATAAAGGGGGTACAGACCAAAGCCTGCGATATCCAGAACCCCGATGAAGTTAGCGGAGGAGTCGAAGGGGAAGCACTGGTTGACCCTGGTGACCACGTGGTCAAACAACCGGCTGTACACGGCCTTGGCCAGGGCATCCCGTGCGTTGTTCGCCTGTTCCACTTTCAGTGGCACTCTGAGAGGGAGAGAGAAAGCACATCATTCCTCCTTCCTCCAGCACTGGTCCTCTGTACGTAAAATGTTTGCATGCATGACTAAGTTGCTTTGGATAAAAGCATCTGCTAAATGGCATACTGTTTATTATATTATAAGTGAATGCTTGCCTTTGTATGCAAAGTTAAATTTCTGTGAAAAACAGGCAATAAAGTATATCTAAGCTAAATCTACCATGTATTCCATACGAGGGGAAATTTGATTTGTCACCAGCAAAGAAACATAGAGCAAAGACATATACACGCATACAGAGACACATACTTGAGCAGTGATGGCTGGTGAAATCAATAGCCCACAATTCATAACGACAGAGTCGAGTCAGTCTAAATAATCCCATGCATTCATCACCGTGGGTGTGCAAAAATACTGAGGGTCTGCTTGGTTTCCCAAGCAGATAATTGGGTTATTGACATCTTAGGGAAAGAGTGATTGTGGTGTGATAAGGAGCCTTAACAATGAGAGAAAGTATAAGCATCACAGCTCTGAGAATGTATTGTAATGGCCCCAGAGCTCTGACTGCAGTCAAGTGTGCAGCTCAATAATCAGAGACTACCGAGAGGACTAAAAATGCAGTGGAGCGCCAAATGTACAACATGGCTGCCACGTGGACTTAAAAAAGTTTCTCAAGCTTTAGCTTTGCTTCACAAACACATCATTGTCATGCCCTTAAAGAAAAAAAACTCTAATTATATCAACTATATTTTGGTATTTTTGTTCATTAGTCCACAATGTCAGCAGTCAAGTTTTCAAGCTATTGGACTTTCAAGAAGCAATGTGTCACTTGCCACATCATCATGATGATGCAAAATGAATCATATTATGCAAAAAGCATCATAGTGATTAAGTGGCAAGTGACACTTTGCTTCTAAAGTTTTTCCTTTAAGGCAGGAGAGAACAAGGATAACGCTGTACTAGTAGCTCTAGTAGTACTTTAAGGTTATGTCCAAAATCCACCTCTAATGTCTTGATTCTCCTCACACACCTTTACCTCCATCCCTCACACCCACACTACACACGCACTCTTCGGGCAGGACTTATCCATTACCTCGTCCCTTCTGTGGATCTCCATTTAACACATCCCACAAGACAAGAGCTCCCCATTATGATCCCAGCATCACACCACCTCGTCTTACACCTTTGCTCCCTTCAGCTCTCAGTACACCTGGGCCCTCTCTCGCACTCTCTCAACCACAAGCCATGTTTCATTTATATTCTTCCAGCCAGTGAGAAGCTAAGGGTCCACAGCCCAGTTAAAACATTTAAATACCAGGGTTAAGCCCTGGCCTCTCATTTATAATCAAGAGGTATATTACATTTACGTCATTTAGCAGACGCTCTTATCCAGAGAGACTTACAAATTGGTGCATTCAACTTAGGATAGCCAGTGGGACAACCACCCCTTTTTTTTTTTTATGGGGGGTTGTAGAAGGATTACGGTTATACTATTCCAGGTATTCCTTAAAGAGGTAGGGTTTCAAGTGTCTCCGGAAGGTGGTCAGTGACTCCGCAGTCCTGGCGTCATGGGGGAGCTTGTTCCACCATTGGGGTGCCAGAGCAGCGAATAGCTTTGACTGGGCTGAGCGGGAACTGTGCTTCCGTAGAGTTAGGGGGGCTAGCAGGCCAGAGGTGGATGAACGTAGTGCCCTCGTTTGGGTGTAGGGTCTGATCAGAGCCTGAAGGTAAGGAGGTGCCGTTCCCCTCACAGCTCCGTAGGCAAGCACCATGGTTTTGTAGTAGATGCGAGCTTCAACTGGAAGCCAGTGGAGTGTGCGGAGGAGCGGGGTGACATGAGAGAACTTGGGAAGGTTGAGCACCAGACGGGCTGCAGCGTTCTGGATAAGTTGTAGGGTTTTAATGGCACAGGCAGGGAACCCAGCCAATAGCGAGTTGCAGTAATCCAGACGGGAGATGACAAGTGCCTGGATTAGGACCTGTGCCGCTTTCTGTGTAAGGTAGGGTCGTACTCTGCGAATGTTGTAGAGCATGAACCTGCAGGATCGGGTCACCGCTTTGATGTTAGCGGAGATTGACAGGGTGTTGTCCTGGGTCATGCCAAGGTTCTTTGCACTCTGGGAGGAGGACACAATGGAGTTGTCAACCGTGATGGCGAGATCATGGAGCGGGCAGTCCTTCCCCGGGAGGAAGAGCAGCTTCCAGGTATGAAATGCCAGAACACTAACAGTAGCTGGGATGTGTGTATTCCCTATGAAGCCTGAGGTTATCCACCTTGCTCAATGATCTCCACAAAATTATCCCGGCAGCATGTTATCAGGAAGTTGAGAGGCTCACATATTATTTATATGACCGTTAAATGAGTCTGTACTGCACTGTGAATATGGGCAAGCTGAGAGAGTGGACTGACCCCCCCTGGCCTCGCAGAGATGCTGAGTCCACCACTGAATTCACCATGGTGGGGTCAACACGATTAACATCTCTCTCTCCCACATTCTGCCTCGCACATATAAACGCCTTAAAAGCTAGTCCCTAAACAGGCTAACATTTAGCTAGATACAGCTTTCCCCCTTACATAAGTCATAAAAATAGGCCGCTTAGTGGTGGAGCCACAGACAGAGAGAGCCGGTTGAAATCCCTGTCTACCCTTTATAAGTCACTTAATGTAACTGTACTCACACATTGCGATTGCTGCTATTAATTAAACAGAAATGAAACAAGGCACGGCACACCAATAATTAATTGCTTAATATTACGCCCTCAGAGGCTGCGTCCCAAATCGCACCAGATTCCCTATATCATGCACTTCTTTTGACCAGAACCCTATGGGCCCTGGTCAAAAATAGTGCACTATGTAGGGAATAGAGTAGGACTCACACATAAAGACACAGCCAGGCCCATATAAAGCAGCAGTTAAAGCTTAACTACTGTGTGAAAGTGTCTCTCTCTCCACAAATGAAACAACAGACAAACATTTGTGAGGGAGGACATAAGGGTAATTGCACATATCGAGTGGCTTGGCATTCAGGTTGGCGAGCTGAGGGAGCGCCAAGCTGCCCATACAACAATCACTGTCAGGCATTAGACAGGCTGGGCCACGGCTAAATGCACACAGGGCCTTGCCATAGATCGAGAAAGAGGCATGCGTCCCAAATTGCACACTATGCCCTATATAGTGCACTGCTTTTGACAAGGGCTCATAGGGCTCTGGTCAAAAGTAGTGCACTACATTTTACATTTTAGTCATTTAGCAGACGCTCTTATCCAGAGCGACTTACAGTTAGAGTGAATAATTTTTTTTCCCCCATACTGTGGGAATCGAACCCACAACCCTTGTCTTTTACTCCCTCCATCACTTTGAAGACTTTGAAGCTGTCCATTCCCACAGCAACATGACTTGTTTCTTCTTTGCATGTGATTCTCTCACCTCTCTCCTGCTCAGCCCTATCTCTACTAGTGTTCTATTGAACAACATCAAGTCAAGGGCACGTATTCATTCAATAGTGGCTAGTTCCTATTTTTAATCAGAGATAGAGGCACAGCACTACTGTTTGTGACGTCCGCAGCACACACACACACACAATACAAATGCGCACACACACGCGCATCTATTGGTTCCTATGGTAACTGGCATGTGGCCAGCAAGGCAGGTGTTAACAGAGTGCTAATCATGTGGACCTGACACCATCTACAAACACAAGCCTTCCAATACAAATAGGCTAGAATCACCACCATATTGACAGACATACTGTCTCACATCGGAATGTTTAGGAATACAAACACGTATCACATGCAATTAAAAAACACAGGAGCAACCTGTTATTTTGCCTGTCCTCTCATAAAAGGACCATTAAACCTCTATAACTTATCCAGAACGCTGCAGCCCGTCTGGTGTTCAACCTTCCCAAGTTCTCTCATGTCACCCCGCTCCTCCGCACACTCCACTGGCTTCCAGTTGAAGCTCGCATCTACTACAAAACCATGGTGCTTGCCTACGGAGCTGTGAGGGGAACGGCACCTCCTTACCTTCAGGCTCTGATCAGACCCTACACCCAAACGAGGGCACTACGTTCATCCACCTCTGGCCTGCTAGCCCCCCTAACTCTACGGAAGCACAGTTCCCGCTCAGCCCAGTCAAAGCTATTCGCTGCTCTGGCACCCCAATGGTGGAACAAGCTCCCCCCCAATCCTTCTACCCCCACCCCCACTTAAAAAGACAAGAAAATGCACCAATTTGTAAGTCACTCTGGATAAGAGTGTCTGCTAAATGACTAAAATGTAAAATGTAATAAAAGGCAGTGGAAAACCCACCCTATTCCCTATGGGTCCTGGTCAAAAGTAGTGCACTATATAGGGAATAGTGCCATTTAAAATGCACTCGCAGTCCTCTCTCCATGCAAGGCCGTTGAGGAGAAGAAAGTGACTTACATAGAGATGCTATATGTAATAATATGTTCTATATGTCGTTCCATTGTGACTTACTTGATAACTGTTCCTTTGGCGCCCCCTGCTGTGGTGAGCATGACCCTGGAGGTGAGGCTGACTCGCAGGTCCAACTCTTCCAGACCCAGCAGCTCAGCACAGTACTCCACCGTCTGGCTCGACTGGTTCTTTATGGTGCAGCCACCTGGTGGAACAGCGCGATCACATTGTGAGTAGTTAGTAATGTTGTTAGTAACATTGTTAGTAACTTTCTAAGGACAATGTGTAGAATGATGTTGTGAGAGGTTAGGAAGAATTTAGCAAAGATACTTCCAGTTCAGCTGTCATTCAATGAGAAAGTCAAAATGTCAACAGTGATTTTATTGAAGACTGAGTAAGCTCTGACCCTGGGTAAAATGTGCATACAGTGAGTGCACATATTGTACATTACAGTACAACATGGGTTTGACATATCATGACATGTACTACAGTTCAATACTGCCCATATCGATCCTGAACATCCATAAGGAAACAGCACGATCAAAGTCTGGTACTCTTGGGACAATATTACATTTTAAAGCACTAGCTACATACGGAAATCCAGATTCACCCTAGTCTGGTCTCAATAATATTAGGACAAAGCCTACAATCACTCTCACATGATTTATCAGCGAAGACTTAACCTTTTTGCCCATCTATTTCATAATGAAACAGGCTTCATTATTCCTGAACCATAGCACTCCATCACTGCCTAACACTATGCATTTCATAAGTCTCCTACCGTGCCAGGTATCTACAGATTTTACACCAGATAATGTGATATACCCAAAGGTCTTTGGTGTCTATTACTGGACGTTACAGGAAAGCCCCATACTTATAGATTTTTCAGCTAACCTGTTCATGGCGATACATTCTTCATTCTCTTAGAAATGTCAGTTTCCAGTTGCAAGTGGTTCTACAAAAACCAGCAAAAACTCAGAAAGAAAGATATTCAATCCATGTTTTGTAACACGCAAGGAGGTTCCTCGCCATCTTAGCTGCGGCGCATCTAGCATTTCCCAGCGTCTTTGCAGGAACTAGTCGTTTCTATGCAACGTGGCCACGTGCAGAAGTATATGACACAGTGGACCAAAACAAAGATCTACACACACATAAGAGGCAAATCTCACTCCATACAAAACATAGATTTAATACTTTTCAGAATTTATGTTTTTTTGTAGAACCACATGCAACTGGAAACTGACATTTTGAAATATAATTTTTTCACTGAATCAAGAACAAAAGAAAGTATCGCCAAAAACAGGTTAGTTGAAAATTCTATGGCGGTGGTTTGTATGGGGCTTTCCTGTAACGCCCAGTAACTGACACCAAAAATCTTTGGTTATATCACATTACCTGGCATACAATCTGTAGATAGACAAGAGATGGGATAGTGGGAAAGAAAGGAGGGGATAAGATGGCTAGTTCAAGGGCGACACAGGATAATTTTGGGACGACACAGGACAGTTTTGGGACGACACAAAGGAGGGGATAATGGGGACTGTTTAGGGGCGACAGGAAGGAGCTGATAAGAGGGATGGTTTGGTGGCAACACAGGAAGGAGGGGATAAGGGGCACAGTTTTCAGTGCGACACTGGAAGGCGCTTCTCTCAGAAGAGCTGAGGCAGGATATCCTATGTTTCATGTTGGGGACAAGGAGCATCAGGACAGTTCCCATCTCTCATCCTTATGATCATTATCTTCTCTGACTGGACTCTTTGCTTCAGGTCGCTGTAAAAACACACCACGGGAGACTCCCGCTAAGTACAAACTACTCGTTTTAAACGCTGCCATGGTGTGCCGCTCTCACTCTCTTCACTTTCACAGAGGGAAAAAAGAGAGGAGAAATGAAAGGCACTACATTCAAGTTTCACTCTGATGTTCAAAAGGAATGGTTTATTCTCATAAACTGTGACCGTCGTCTGAAACAGCATGTGTGTAATGTGGAGTCAGTGGGTGGAGGAGAGCCCAAGACATTCACATCATAATGCATCAGCCGTGCCAAATGAAAGAATATACTTGCTCTAACAACAACAACAAAAATCTATGAGATTATTCTGTAAGATATTATAACCGTAGAGGACTACAAAGAGCGACATTCACAAAGAGACGTGAAACATTTCATCAGTTAATCCAATGGCTTTGTATCAATAGTAAATGAATGGGAGGAGAATGACTAGTCCCCAGTGTCCTTGTGTCGGTGGTGGCTCTTTGAAAGTGAATAAAATACATTTCACAGACTACAACAAGAGGCCACATGGGTCTTTAGAAGAAAGCTGAAGATTAAAGTAATTGATCACAGAGCAAGTGTCCTGGGGGACAAAAGCAAAACGGCGCACCTGCTTCACAGACACAAAAGAGGATTGTTTTTCTGGTTAGACTAGACCAGGGACTAGACCCCATTTTGTAGGCCCCCGGATCCATTATTATTTACATTTTTTGCAAAGGTATCTGCCAGCTCTGACAAAACTTGAACTACCACTTCCTCAGCATCCCTTAGACTTCCTGTCCTGTGCCCTGGTGCTTTACTCACATTGTCACTGCACTGAAAGAGAGACAGCTGTGTCTTTGTTGTTGGTTAATGTACCAAATAGTATGCGTTTTGGAGTGATATACTCTGACATCTCATATGCCAAGCCATCTGTTAAGAAAGCTTGCAAACAAGCATGCAAAAAACTATTGAAACGATGATGAGGAGTGAGTGAGTGAGTGAGTGAGTGAGTGAGTGAGTGAGTGAGTGAGTGAGTGAGTGAGAGCAAGAGCTGGCACAGCTGATGTGCAAACTATAATGAGCACTGAGTGAATGAGAGAGACAGAGCGAGAGAGGGGGAGGTAGAGAGAGACAGAGACCGTTCTCACCTGATGTGGAAACTATAGTGAGCAGTGAATGAGTGAGAGACAAAGTGAGAGACAGAGTGTGAGAGCGAAAAGACAGTCAGACAGACAAAAAGAGACCTCACAGAAAGACCGACAGACACCCTGCTCACCTGATGTGCTGCCTGCCTCCTCAAAGTCGATGTTGCCTAGGTGCAAAACCCCGGCCACCACTCTGAACAGGTCCAGCTTCTCCGTGTCATCCAGGCCGATCTTCTTCATGGCCCCACACATCCTGTTGAAGTCCCCCTGGTCGTCCAGCAGAGGGTCCTTCAGGGGCCCAGCCTTCAGGTGCTGAGGAACCATGGGGAAAGGACGGGTCAGTGGTCGCCCTCAGTCGGGGTCACCCTTTCTCTACAACCTTAACCCTTCAGCAGCCCAGCTTTCAGGTGCCGAGAGACCATGGATGGGTCAGTGACCAGGGTCACACGCTCTTTACAGAATGGGTACTGTCTCAAAGACTGTAGGCTTGCATTGTAGCTGTGTCAATGTTGTGCCACAAGGTCAATAAAATGAAGAAAGAAAACTCTTATTACCCATAAAGTAATAAAAAGACCATCCGTCTCCCTCACAGGCAAGAGTTTTTCTTTGAAAGTATTTGTTTGGATTTGAGATGAGGCAATGCTATTGGACTTGGGACTTCAAGCTAATTGGGATGATTTTTTAATGGAATTAGCACATTAAACCTGCATGGAAGATAAAGTACATAACATCTCCAACTATCTGCAGTAGGAAGAGGAGCAAGGATAGTAAGGTAGAGCCCACACCTGGAAAACCAGCAACACAAAGAAGAATGTTACAGTATGATGGTACACTGGCAGAGCAATGACAACATACAGTAGCTTCAAACACCAGACTAGAATGGCAGATAACTGGCTTTTATGATAATTGGGTTTCCTAATATTAAACAGTTTTGTTTTAAGAGGTACATTTGAATGTGTCCGTGGCCAATGAGACACTAATAAGAATCCATCTCATCATTCAACTTTACGCTCTTGAACTTATTTTCATAAAAATAATATCAACTAACATTCTGTAACTGAAGGTGGTTGCATTAGTTTATGAATTAACTCTATTGCAATGAGAAAAAATGTTCTGCATACAACACAGTACAGAGCAGACATTGCCTTGTAAACAACAACCATATAGGAGGGCTGTTGTCTAGGAGCGGTTTATTCTTCTCTATAGGAAAATGGATGACCTAAGGTGATAAGAAAGCCAAGCCATTACAATAATGGAAACCAAGCAGTTTGTTTAAAGCACATTTGAGCACTTTATTCCCAATTATACAGTAGCTGCTTGGGATAGATGCATTTCATGTACTGAGTAAAAGTTTCTTGGCTCCAAACTTCACAGTAACTTTTGGATATCAAATAGAAGGCTTATATTGCCACGAGTGCCAGTTTATTACGTTTATTTGGCAGGGACAGTGCACAACAAAAAATAAGTCTCAGTGCACTGTGAAATTATGCGTCCCACCAGATTTCGCTAATAGCTACTTTCCATCTGTAGTCCCCGACTACACCATTAAAAAAACATTGTACTCTGACATTCTGGTCCAGCTTTACGCTGGACACAAAATATGTTGTCATTTTGACCTCAAGCCTTACACTACAGAGAAAAATCACATCATGCACTTAAAGAGAGAGAAAGCATGCAAGGACCCCACCACACACAGCACCAATGTGAACCCAGAGACAAAAAAAAAAAAAAGTCCCAAAATTGACATCATAATAAAATCAAAAAGAAGTAATCCTTGTAACGGCACCAAATCTATAATCACCTGATCGTCCTGTATTATATAGAGAAGAAGCAGTGTAAAGAGAAATACAACCTTGATCAACAACAGTGACAGTGAACATGGTATGAAATGAGGGGTCCGTCCCATATAGCACCCTATTCCCTAGTTAGTGCACTACTTTTGACCAGGCCCCATAGTGAATAGGGTGCCATTTGGAACACAGATGATGTATGGGCAAATTATATCCACAAGCAATGAGCATAAAGGCCTTATTCAGCATTTGTCACAACATGATTCTCTCCAATAGGCCAAACACAGCATTTATCATGAACAGGTGCTTCCTGTGATCAAAAGTTACGATCCTCCATGATCATATAAGAAGCTACATGCCTCCATGGAGATTGCCTTCTCCTGGTGTGAACCTAGAAAGAGACCAATTGTATCACCTACCTGTACTGTATCTACCATCTAAAAGCTTCACCTGAATATCATCTGCTTAGGTTAAACATACGCTGAAAAACTCAACCCAACAAGTCCTCATAATTTCTTTGTTTACTGTGAAGTTAACTATACAATTTGAATTACTTCCATTTCTATGGTTTAACTTACATGGTAGTATAACATGGTAGCATTACCTCTACTAAAACATATGGCATCAGCCGCACAATTACAAAACATGATATTATCGGATTGAAAATGTCCACACTCATTTTCTCCCACTGATGTCCCTGACTACATAGAATGGATGAATCATCAATGTCCCTCAAGGGGAGAGTAAGAGGCATACTGTTGTAAAGGGCATTTCAAAATAACTATAATAATTAATTACACTAGTGAGTCCTGAAGGACCACAGTTGCAGTAATGGAGAACTTATGCATAATTAACCAAAGGGAGAAGGCAAAGAAAGGAAGTCATTTCGGCTGAGCATAAAGATCTCTCATTGATGCTGTATTTACATCTATTCATACAGTCTTCATCTCATTGGCTCCTTTCTTAATTAAATGGTTTGCTTCTTATTTGCATCACATCTCAGAGAACAAAGTTTCCCGAGGTAATATATAACGGGGCTTATCTGACCAGAATAAAAATAAAACAATTTGTAGGCAACTTTGTGGGAGTTCTATAACTTGTAAAAAACGTGTCTTCTTCTGTAAAAAGAAAAGTCACTACTGGAAGGCACTGTATCAGTGCATCTGCAGATCAAGAACACTTATCCTTATTTGACTGAGCAGGCCGTTTAGTAAAGGTAAAAGACATTGTGACAGATACAGGGAGCAAGATGGGGATGGAAGAGTACATTCTGTTATTTTCTCTCTGCGCAGACAGAGTTGTGCCTAAGTGCATTTCCAGTTAGTTCTGGAGATGAGAAACCATCTGTCACTAGATACCCAAAAACTACGGATCAGAGGGAGGATTTCCTTCTGTGGTTGTCCAGATATCTGGGAATACCCGGAGTAGCTAAAGACAATAAATCCAATCAATATGGAATGTACATGAAGAAAGAAAAGAAAAGAAAGAAAGGCGAGAGAGAAAGGAGAGAGAGAAAGAAAGAAAGATTAAGATCTGCACAGTACCTCTGGGCTCTTGCGGTTCTGAAGGATCTGTTTGTCTGTGTCCTTGTTTGCAAAGAAGCGAGTGCATCCTCTGTTCAAATACTGCAACACAGACAAATACAACACAACATGGATCAATATACTGCTGTATGATATACACTACCAGTCAAAAGTGTGGACACACCTACTCATTCAAAGGTTTTTCTTTATTTTTACTATATTTTACATTGTTGAATAATAGTGAAGACATCAAAACTATGAAATAACACATATGGAATCATGTAGTAACCAAAAAAGTGTTAAACAAATCAAATATGTTATATTTGAGATTCTTCAAATAGCCACCCTTTGCCTTGAGGACAGCTTTGCACACTCTTGGCATTCTCTCAACCAGCTTCATGAGGTAGTCACCTGGAATGCATTTCAATTAACAGGTGTGCCTTCTTTAAAGTTCATTTGTGGAATTTATTTCCTTCTTAATGTGTTTGAATCAATCAGTTGTGTTGTGACAAGGTGGGGGGGGGGTAAAAGACCAAGTCCATATTATGGCAAGAACAGCTCAAATAAGCAAAGAGAAACGGCAGTCCATCATTACTTTCAGTCAATGCTGAAAATTTCAAGAACTTTGAAAGTTTTTCAAGTGCAGTTGCAAAAACCATCAAGCACTATGATGAAACTGGCTCTCATGAGGACCGCCACAGAAATGGAAGACCCGGAGTTACCTCTGCTGCAGAGGATAAGTTCATTAGAGTTACCAGCCTCAGAAATTGCAGCCCAAATAAATGTTTCAGAGTTCAAGTAACAGACACATTTCAACATCAACATCAACTGTTCAGAGGGGACTGTGTAAATCAGGCCTTCATGGCCTTCTTGTTGCAAAGAAACCACTACTAAAGGATACCAATAATAAGAAGAGACTTGCTTGGGCCAAGAAACATGAAAAATTGACATTACACTTGTGGAAATCTGTCCTTTGATGAGTCCAAATTTGAGATTTTTGGTTCAAACCGCCGTGTCTTTGTGAGATGCGGTGTGGATGAACGGATGATCTCCGCATGTGTAGTTCCCACCGTAAAAGCATGGAGGAGGAGGTGTTATGGTGTGGGGGTGCTTTGCTGGTGACACTGTCAGTGATTTATTTAGAATTCAAGGCACACTTAACCAGCATGGCTACCACAGCATTCTGCAGCGATATGCCATCCCATCTGGTTTGGGCTTTCTGGGACTATCATTTGTTTTTCAACAGGACAATGACCCAACACACCTCCAGGCTGTGTAAAGGCTATTTTACCAAGAAGGAGAGTGATTGAGTGCTACATCAGATGACCTGGCCTCCACAATCCCCCGACCTCAACCCAATTGAGATGGTTTGGAATGAGTCGCACGGCAGAGTGAAGGAAAAGCAGCCAACAAGTGCTCAGAATTTGTGGGAACTCCTTCAAGTCCTGTTGGAAAAGCATTCCAGGTGAAGCTGGTTGAGAGAATGCCAAGAGTGTGCAAAGCTGTCATCAAGGCAAAGGGTGGCTACTTTGAAGAAACTCAAATATAAAATACATTTTGATTTGTTAAACACTTTTTTGGTTAGTACATGATTCCATATGTGTTACAGTGAGGGAAAAAAGTATTTGATCCCCTGCTGATTTTGTACATTTGCCCACTGATAAAGACATGAACAGTCTATAATTTTAATGGTAGGTTTATTTGAACAGTGAGAGACAGAATATCAACAAAAATATCCAGAAGAACGCATGTCAAAAATGTTATAAATTGATTTGCATTTTAATGAGGGAAATAAGTATTTGACCCCTCTGCAAAACATGACTTACTACTTGGTGGCAAAACCCTTGTTGGCAATCAGAGGTCAGATGTTTCTTGTAGTTGGCCACCAGGTTTGCACACATCTCAGGAAGGATTTTGTCCCACTCCTCTTTGCAGATCTTCTCCAAGTCATTAAGGTTTCGAGGCTGACGTTTGGCAACTCGAACCTTCAGCTCCCTCCACAGATTTTCTATGGGATTAAGGTCTGGAGACTGGCTAGGCCACTCCAGGACCTTAATGTACTTCTTCTTGAGCCACTCCTTTGTTGCCTTGGCCGTGTGTTTTGGGTCATTGTCATGCTGGAATACCCATCCACGACCCATTTTCAATGCCCTGGCTGAGGGAAGGAGGTTCTCACCCAAGATTTGATGGTACATGGCCCCGTCCATCGTCCCTTTGATGCGGTGAAGTTGTCCTGTCCCCTTAGCAGAAAAACACCCCCAAAGCATAATGTTTCCACCTCCTGTTTGTCGGTGGGGATGGTGTTCTTGGGGTCATAGGCAGCATTCCTCCTCCTCCAAACACGCCGAGTTGAGTTGATGCCAAAGAGCTCCATTTTGGTCTCATCTGACCACAACACTTTCACCCAGTTCTCCTCTGAATCATTCAGATGTTCATTGGCAAACTTCAGACGGGCCTGTATATGTGCTTTCTTGAGCAGGGGGACCTTGCGTGCGCTGCAGGATTTCAGTCCTTCGCGGCGTAGTGTGTTTTCTTGGTGACTATGGTCCCAGCTGCCTTGAGATCATTGACAAGATCCTCCCGTGTAGTTCTGGGCTGATTCCTCACCGTTCTCATGATCATTGCAACTCCACGAGGTGAGATCTTGCATGGAGCCCCAGGCCGAGGGAGATTGACAGTTATTTTGTGTTTCTTCCATTTGCGAATAATCGCACCAACTGTAGGGCGGCAGGTAGCTTAGTGGTTAAGAGCGTTGTGCCAGTAACCGAAAGGTCGCTGGTTCTAATCCCCGAACCGACTAGGTGAAAAATCTGTCGATGTGCCCTTGAGCAAGGCACTTAACCCTAATTGCTCCTGTAAGTCGCTCTGGATAAGAGCGTCTGCTAAATGACTAATTATTTATTTATTAAATTATTTGTCACCTTCTCACCAAGCTGCTTGGCGATGGTCTTGTAGCCCATTCCAGCCTTGTGTAGGTCTACAATCTTGTCCCTGACATCCTTGGAGAGCTCTTTGGTCTTGGCCATGGTGGAGAGTTTGTGGACAGGTGTCTTTTATACAGGTAACAAACAGATTAGGAGCACTCCCTTTAAGAGTGTGCTCCTAATCTCAGCTCATTACCTGTATAAAAGACACCTGGGAGCCAGAAATCTTTCTGATTGAGAGGGGGTCAAATACTTATTTCCCTCAATAAAATGCAAATCAATTTATAACATTTTTGGCATGTGTTTTTCTGGATTTTTTTCTCTCACTGTTCAAATAAAACTACCATTAAAATTATAGACTGATAATTTCTTTGTCAGTGGGCAAACGTACAAAATCAGCAGGGGATTAAATACTTTTTTCCCTCACTGTATATCATAGTTTTGACGTCTTCACTATTATTCTACAATGTAGAAAATAGTAACAAATAAAGAAAAACCCTTGAATGAGTAGGTGTGTCCAAACTTTTGACTGGTACTGTATGTCAAAAGACACACAAGAATGGCTTTCCAAGAGGTGTTGAGAGTTCCTGAGTGGTCCAGCCTCAGTCCTGACTTAAAAAAGGTTTGAATATTGATTGACCTTGAGCAATTTTGACAAAAACAATGGATACATTTTGCCCTAAGAGTTATACAAAGTTGGTCGAATTTTATTCAAAATTATTCATAGCTGTAATGCCTACGAAAGGTGCTTCCACCAAGCATTAACTCTGGTGTGTGAAGCATTACGCAATAAAGACATTTGTTTTTAAATGTTAATTCATTTGGAAATTTTTCTATAATTTTTGTTTAACTTCGAAAATGTGGAGTAGGTTTTGTAGATCCGTAGGAAAAAAATGCCAATGTACTCCCTTTTGTGGGTTAATTTGAAGGCAACAAGATGTGCAAGGGGTGTGTAGACTCACTAGCGAATGTATTTCCACATCACCGTCTATCTATTTCCATAGAAGTCTATGTGTGGCCTGCACAGGCGTTCCATATGATGGATTACACATCGTTGTGAGCGGATTTGTTGTTTACTTGGGTCTTGATCATTCACCATTGTTCACGGTAAAGAATGTATTTGGCACAAAATACGTTTATTCCTCTCTGTAATTGCCTTTGTGCAACTTTTAATGAATTCTCAGTCGCTTGCTTCCTTCCTGCCTGTCGCTAGAGATCCGGCCTGATGATGAGCGCAACGACAACGTCCCAGGTGGGTAGGAGAGAATAACAAAACAGAAACAGAACCCAGTTGCTTATCTTGTTTGTAGGAGACGAGTCATTTTCAGCTGGCCAGATGGAACGGAACAAAGACTTTAATTACAGAGATAGGCTTTGAGGAGGATTGTGTCTCTCTCCCTCTCTCTCTCTCTCTCGCTCTGCCCAGCCCTGTGCTCTACACTCCAGACAGGGCATATTCAGTAACACAGCACAAGGCTACAGAATATAACAGACACTTCTTATAAAGCTCCACACAGCCCTGCTGCAAACCCCACTGGGTCTCCACTGTGCACAAAAGTAATTGTTGTTATTAAGAAATACAATTTCATTTTAGTTTCCAGATCAGCAGAAAAATGGTAGGACAGATGAGACTATTTGAGGAAGCAAAGGGACTACGGTCGAGCAGAAGTACCTGGCTTACTGCCCAGAAGAAATGCTTCGCAGAGGATAGAAATCATAGAAATACTGGGAAACTATGGCCATTGCAGTATGGCAAATGACACAAATGAGAGGAGGCTGTAGAACACAAAATTCTGACATTAAAGTAATGTCTCACTGAAGAGAGGGGAGATGTAGGCTACCTTCTGAGCCACTCTGAAATGATGTGTCTGCAGCAAGTGATGTTGAAGGTACTTAAATCCCATATTTTCCCTGCAACTTCCTTCCTGTCTAGCTGCTCAAACTCGGTTTCAATTCAATTTGATGCCAATCTGTTATGAATGCGAAACAGATGGCACATGAGTTGTCTGGGCTCTGTTAATTCTATATTATAATCTGCACCGCTTGCCGAACGTGACTGAGCCCTCTAAAATGTGCTGCTGATAGCCAGAATCTTCAACGGTCAGTCGTAATGTCCTAGTTGAATTGGAGATGAGCAGAAATGTCACTGCAGATTATCTCTGCATCACTCAGTTTGACTATCTCCATTATAGTGGACAATGTTCCTGTCAAGAGCTGGAGTCAAAGCGCTTTATCTTCCTGAAGCTTGGTGCAGTGGTTTTCAACCCCTGGGGGTCCAAAGGGGGTACTACAGGTAGGTCACAAATGTTTTGTATTAATGCTATTATAAGCAATTTTATAATACTTTTCACAATGACAATTGTTTATTATAATAATAATAATCATAATCGTAATCATAATAATAAGCCTTTCATCTATTACATTCACTGGGGCGGCAGGTAGCTTAGTGGGTAAGAGCGTTGTGCCAGTAACCGAAAGGTCGCTGGTTCTAATCCCCGAGCCGACTAGGTGAAAAATCTGTCGATGTGCCCTTAAGCAAGGCACTTAACCCTAATTGATCCTGTAAATCGCTCTGGATAAGAGCGTCTGCTAAATGACTAAAAAAAAATGGACTAAATTTGACAGCCAAGATATTTTTTTTTATTTTTTTGGCTGTTGATGGCAATTTGGTAGTCCTCAGAACGGAAAAGGTTGGGAACCACTGGCCTAAAGAGCCCAGGCAGGAAACTTTAAAAGAGGGGATCAATATTGGACAAAGCAGGAGGGGAGTTTGTACAACTTGTACAAACATGCCAGTTTAACTACAACAGAATTGGGTGTCTGAAAGCATCTCATCCCCCCGATGGGAACCAGACAGGGATCTTTAAACCAATGGTGGACAGGAATGGCAGGCAGGGAGTTAGTACAACTTCCCTAAACACCTGCCAGCTAACAACATCAGAATTGGGTGTAGGTAACCCTGAGACTGAGGGGAACCAGACAGGGAACTTTAATAAAGGATTAACGATAATGGACAAGGCAGGAAGAGAGTTTGTACAACTTCTCTAAAAACCTGACAGCTGACTATAACAGAATTGGCTTTCCTTAAAGCACAATGAGATGGATTGTTATATTTGTGAAGTTGACGACAAGAAAATAAGCCCTTCTTAAAGGATGGCGGAGAGTGCCATCTAGTGGTCTCAGAGGTACGGAGCAACATTAACAATTCAAGCAAACGTGTTTCATGACTTGACATTTTCATAGCATCTTTTATGTTAAGCTTAAAACACCAAAACGAGTGAGTCTCCTTAATATTTAATGAGGAGCTTTGGTACCCCCTGTTGAGCTGACTGCTTGGGGTGGAGGTGCTGAGTCCTCACTCCTCACACTGATACGAGTGTCAGGGAGTGTTTTAGGGGATCGGCCTGAGCAAGGAGCTGCGCAGATTCACTCATCTCAATCACACAATGACTAGTTATTTGAGATGCAAGGTGATTTGTAGATAAGTGATTCTGCGGAGCACCTTGCTCAGGTTTATCCTCTTGAACGCACAGAGATGCATACATTTAAAGTACCATACATGGGGTCCAAGGCCAGATAGTCCGACCATGCAGTTGGATGATGAGCTACACAACCTGGGACTCAACAACACATCAGCTTGGGACCTGGCCCAGAATAGGACGGTGCAGATATCCAAATGTTCAGAAGCTACGGTACAAGGAGCTAGCGAAGGTGAATGAGTGACAGGCCGGCCTGTAGGCCCCACTCACCCTGAAGGCGTCTGGGGATTCCAGATGGAACTTGGTCCTGATGTCCTCTGAGGCTCCGGCACACAGCCGGTAGAAGATGTGGTAGTTCCTCTCCTCCTGGCTCTGCTGGCAGATCCTGGACTTCTCCAGCAGGTAGTGGGACACAAAGCCACCTACCACAGTATTCTGACCAGACAACACAGTTTAAATTAGCATCAGACGTAGCCAAAGCAAAAGCTGAAAGTATTCAAAGACATTTCAAATAGTATTTGAACACTTATCATGGTGTTGTTGTCTGATGATTTTAATGATCGTGAAATATTGTACAGTGGTATGACAGTGCTGCTGCTGTACCTTTTCGTTGAAGTGGATCTCTACAAACTTCCCAAAGCGACTACTGTTATTATTCCTGACAGTTTTAGCATTCCCAAAAGCCTCCAGCAGGGGATTGGCTGTGGGATTGATGAAGAAGAATAGCAATTAAAACACAAATCCATACAGTATGGTAATTAGGTCATGCTGCTGGGAAGTGAGATTCATATTTACCTTCAACTATTCTCTCATCAATATCTTGACCTGTTCCATAGGACGTTGTTAAGTATCTATAGGGCAGAAATAAATTATCAGAGTTAATGTGAATACTCTGACTGCACTTCTTTACATGAACCAATAGAAACAGCCTGCCAGATCAGACTGGGCTGCATCCCAAATGGCACCCTACTCCCTATATAGTGCACTACTTTTGACTAGTTCTGGTTTAAAAAAATGGTGCACTATATAAGGAATATGGTGCCATTTGGGACACATCCTGTGTGATGACGATGCACAGAGAATGTCATGACTTTACCGGAGGACAAACTTGGTGTTTTCGGTCTTTCCAGCACCAGATTCCCCAGACACGATGATGGACTGGCTCATCTTCAGCACCCTCATGTCCCTATAGGCCTTGTCAGCTGACAAAGACATAACGCCATTAGACAGTGTTCACAGTTTGTTTACCCTCTCCTTTACCTCAGTGACAGAAAAATGTATCTCAATGGGATCATAAATTAAGTATATGGACGCAATAGCCATGCAGACGGTACAATGAATACTCCTGAATTGTTTACACACTTTATTTACATCAGTAACACACAACATATCCGAATGGGATCCTCAAGATGATGGTTGCATTAGCAAAGTTAAACTATACAATGAATGCTCACTGGAAATAGATAGCGAAATCACATTGATAAAATATGCCAAGACAGAGCATACATAGAGTGCCTTGCAAAAGTATTCATCCCCCTTGGCGTTTTTCCTATTTTGTTGCATTACAACCTGTAATTTAAATGGATTTTTTGTTGGATTTCATGTAATGGACATACACAAAATAGTCCAAATTGGTGAAGTGAAATGAAAAAAAGAACTTGTTTCAAAAAATTATAGAAAATAAATAACGGAAAAGTGGTGCGTGCATATGTATTCACCCCCTTTGCTATGAAGCCCCTAAATAAGATCTGGTGCAACCAATTACCTTCAGAAGTCACATAATTAGTTAAATAAAGTCCACCTGTGTGCAATCTAAGTGTCACATGATCTCAGTGTATATATATATATATATATACACAGTGGGGGAAAAAAGTATTTAGTCAGCCACCAATTGTGCAAGTTCTCCCACTTAAAAAGATGAGAGAGGCCTGTAATTTTCATCATAGGTACACGTCAACTATGACAGACAAAATGAGATTTTTGTTCTCCAGAAAATCACATTGTAGGATTTTTAATGAATTTATTTGCAAATTATGGTGGAAAATAAGTATTTGGTCAATAACAAAAGTTTCTCAATACTTTGTTATATACCCTTTGTTGGCAATGACACAGGTCAAACGTTTTCTGTAAGTCTTCACAAGGTTTTCACACACTGTTGCTGGTATTTTGGCCCATTCCTCCATGCAGATCTCCTCTAGAGCAGTGATGTTTTGGGGCTGTCGCTGGGCAACACGGACTTTCAACTCCCTCCAAAGATTTTCTATGGGGTTGAGATCTGGAGACTGGCTAGGCCACTCCAGGACCTTGAAATGCTTCTTACGAAGCCACTCCTTCGTTGCCCGGGCGGTGTGTTTGGGATCATTGTCATGCTGAAAGACCCAGCCAAATTTAATCTTCAATGCCCTTGCTGATGGAAGGAGGTTTTCACTCAAAATCTCACGATACATGGCCCCATTCATTCTTTCCTTTACACGGATCAGTCGTCCTGGTCCCTTTGCAGAAAAACAGCGCCAAAGCATGATGTTTCCACCCCCATGCTTCACAGTAGGTATGGTGTTCTTTGGATGCAACTCAGCATTCTTTGTCCTCCAAACACGACGAGTTGAGTTTTTACCAAAAAGTTATATTTTGGTTTCATCTGACCATATGACATTCTCCCAATCCTCTTCTGGATCATCCAAATGCACTCTAGCAAACTTCAGACGGGCCTGGACATGTACTGGCTTAAGCAGGGGGACACGTCTGGCACTGCAGGATTTGAGTCCCTGGCGGCGTAGTGTGTTACTGATGGTAGGCTTTGTTACTTTGGTCCCAGCTCTCTGCAGGTCATTCACTAGGTCCCCCCGTGTGGTTCTGGGATTTTTGCTCACCGTTCTTGTGATCATTTTGACCCCACGGGGTGAGATCTTGCGTGGAGCCCCATATCGAGGGAGATTATCAGTGGTCTTGTATGTCTTCCATTTCCTAATAATTGCTCCCAAAGTTGATTTCTTCAAACCAAGCTGCTTACCTATTGCAGATTCAGTCTTCCCAGCCTGGTGCAGGTCTACAATTTTGTTTCTGGTGTCCTTTGACAGCTCTTTGGTCTTGGCCATAGTGGAGTTTGGAGTGTGACTGTTTGAGGTTGTGGACAGGTGTCTTTTATACTGATAACAAGTTCAAACAGGTGCCATTAATACAGGTAACGAGTGGAGGACAGCGGAGCCTCTTAAAGAAGAAGTTACAGGTCTGTGAGAGCCAGAAATCTTGCTTGTTTGTAGGTGACCAAATACTTATTTTCCACCATAATTTGCAAATAAATTCATAAAAAATCCTACAATGTGATTTTCTGGATTTTTTTTTCTTATTTTGTCTGTCATAGTTGACGTGTACCTATGATGTAAATTACAGGCCTCTCTCATCTTTTTAAGTGGGAGAACTTGCACAATTGGTGGCTGACTAAATACTTTTTTCTCCCCCACTGTATAGATATACAACTAAGCAAGGGGCACCACCAAGCAAACGGCACCATGAAGACCAAGGAGCTCTCCAAACAGGTCAGGGACAAAGTTGTGGAGAAGTACAGATCAGGGTTGGGTTATAAAAAATATCAGAAACTTTGAACATTCCACGGAGAACTATTAAATCCATTATTTTTTTTTAAATGGAAAGAATATGGCACCACAACAAACCTGCCAAGAGAGGGCCGCCCACCAAAACTCACAGACCAGGCAAGGAGGGCATTAATCAGAGGCAACAAAGAGACCAAAGATAACCCTGAAGGAGCTGCAAAGCTCCACAGCGGAGATTGGAGTATCTGTCCATAGGACCACTTCAAGCCGTACACTCCACAGAGCTGGGCTTTACGGAAGAGTGGCCAGAAAAAATCCATTGCTTTAAAAAAAAATAAGCAAACACGTTTGGTGTTCGCCAAAAGGCATGTGGGAGACTCCACAAACATATGGAAGAAGGTACTCTGGTCAGCTTTTTGGCCATCAAGGAAAACGCTATGTCTGGCGCAAACCCAACACCTCTCATCACCCCGAGAACACCATCCCCACAGTGAAGCATGGTGGTGGCAGCATCATGCTGTGGGGATGTTTTTCATCGGAAGGGACTAGGAAACTGGTCAGAATTGAAGGAATGATGGATGACGCTAAATATAGGGAAATTCTTGAGGGAAACCTGTTTCAGTCGTCCAGAGATTTGAGACTGGGACGGAGGTTCACCTTCCAGCAGGACAATGACCCTAAACATACTGCTAAAGCAACACTCGAGTGGTTTAAAATGTAAAATGTAATGTAAAATGTTTAAGGGGAAACATTTAAATGTCTTGGAATGGCCTAGTCAAAGGCCAGACCTCAATCCAATTGAGAATCTATGGTATGACTTAAAGATTGCTGTACACCAGCGGAACCCATCCAACTTGAAGGAGCTGGAGCAGTTTTGCCTTGAAGAATGGGCAAAAATCCCAGTGGCTAGATGTGCCAAGCTTATTTAGACATACCCCAAGAGGCTTGCAGCTGTAATTGCTGCAAAAGGTGGCTCTACAAAGTATTGACTTTGGGGGGGGGGGGGGGGGGGGGGTGAATAGTTATGCACGCTCAAATTCAGTTTTTTTGTTTCACAATAACAAATATTTTGCATCTTCAAAGTGGTAGGCATGTTGTGTAAATCAAATGATACAAACCCCCCAAAAAATCCATTTTAATTCCAGGTTGTAAGGCAACAAAATAGGAAAAATACCAAGAGGGGTGAATACTTTCGCAAGCCACTGTAAAAATTACTATAGACTGCCCTCCAGTGGACAGATGTGAAAGTGTAATACATTGTCAGCCCAACAGCGGCACAGAGAGATAAATATTTGTGTCTGTTGCATCCCAAATGGCACCCTATTCCTTACATTGCACACTGCTTTTGACTAGAGCCCAATGGGCCCTAGTCAAAGTAGTGCACTATATAGGGAATAGGGTTCCATTTGGAACGCAGGCTGTGTGTTCCTTCCTCCCCAGTACTCACCGATAGCGTAGACATGGGGCGGCAGGGTGCCCAGGGACCTCCCATGGTACTGTTTAATGGTCTCTGGAGCGTAGAGCTTTGGGAGGTCAACATACGGGTTCACTGCTATCAGGATATTGGCTACAAACGTCTGGGAGATAAACAAAGAGAAACCTAAAGTCAGAAATAGTCAAGTACACGAGGCTGTTTTTAGCAAGACACCGTACTAGTGCTGAGCGATTAGTGCTTTTTGAGTTGGTTCGGTTTCAATAATTTATTAAAACAATAAATGCACTATGCATTATGTGGGTTGAATGATGTAACACAGAATAAATCAATTAATAAGTCCCATGATGGTAGTGACTGCCCATTACTGCTTTTCCCTTATTAACCATAATTTATTCACATTACTTTAATAAAATATAGTTGTTGTGTATATTACATTTGTTTTGTTTTATTTGATGATTTTATTATTTCATTCCAAGTCAGCATCTCATCTCTATAGAGCTGCTGCCTACGCCATCTGACAAAAATCACAATTTTAGTAGTTCTTAAAAGTAAATAAAGCATACTTTCATGTCTGCTGAATACCAACTATCAAATCACTTAGATCATGTATTTTCAGGTAGATACACCGCGACGCAACCACTTTCTAAATCCCTCTCGACCGCACCTTCTTCTGTCTCTTTTCTCACTCTCCATGTCTGCCCCACACAGACCAGACACGTAGGCATGCAATGGATTATGGTCATTATAGTTAATTAATATGATTTCTGCCATGTTGGAAACTACAACTCCCGACTACGTCGCACAGTTCGGGCTTGATCTGATTTCTCTCTAGAGAAACTGTGCATTGAGCTCACAGAAAAAAAGGAACTAAATGGAATTCAAATAATTTAACCGATGTCGGTAAATTAGTTGTTTAAAAAGCCAAAAATAACCAACACTTCGGTTAATAACTCAGCACTACATTGTACCTTAAAACACACATCAAATGCTTTTGGGGCAAACACTTCTGATATAACACCCAGCTTTTTCTCAAGTACCAAACAAAACACTTGAGTCTCATCACTGCTAAAAGGAATTGTCTAACTGCATATCTGCCTAACATTTCCATAGAACACAGCAGGCAGTTTCTCACTGCAGCCACTAGATGCCACCTGTTGGAAGACAAGTGTCCCATGGTTCTCCTCTCCCCACCAGCTGGCATCCACGTCCCTCTGCCTGCCTGGCTGTCACCTCAGACGACCTAATTAAGTTCAGTGGGGAACAGGATAGTGCTCCCTGGCTCTGCTCTGCTCCCTGGCTGATTACAAAGGGGTAGACACAGGGGCCAGCAGGGAGACCGTGATGACAAGAGCTAGCTGTGCCTTTGTGTATGTGTGTGTGTGTGTGTATATGTGTTGTGTCCCCTCCCCTCCCTGATGGACAGTGTGAGGGCCTTGTCATTGTCACTATGGGCTGCCTGTCAGGTGTCTGCTGGGAGGGAGGACAGTTACAGTGACACACGCTGTAACTGTGTGTGTGTGTGTGTGTGTGTGTCAATGTAACTGGCCCTCTCCCAGCAGCCACCTGACAGGCAGCCCAGAGTGACAGTGACAAGGCCGTCACGCCGTCCATCAGGGAGGGGACACACCACAACACACACATGCAGTAAAGTACAGTAGGTGCAGAGAGACAGAAGTGGCTGAGGTGACAGGGCTTTCACATGATAATGAGTGAGTGTTCTATCGGCCTTGCCCTTGCTGGTTCAACCTGTGGCCTGTTCATCATGGTGCACAGCTGTTGGAACAAGATTGATGAGGCAGACAGCAGGATATAGATACAGGTTGTCTGTTATAAAGTACTTACATAAATTTTGTCTTTACTATACCGCACGCGGACGTTGTTTAATAGAGTGGCTTCATTCAAGTACATCAAAGAACCTGAAAAACAACAGTAATTACAAGCTGTCAAAGAAGAGGATGGATCGAAATGGAAAACACATAAGAACATAATGTCACAAAATGGCATTCCTAAATCCTCTGTGGAAATTTTTTTTGGGGTAACAGTTTCAGGGTTGTAATAGAGTTCATTTAAGCAATAAGGCATGAGGGTGTGTTACCACGTGGCCAATATACCACGGCTAAGGGCTGTTCTTATGCACGACGCAACACGGAGTGCCTGGATACAGCCCTTAGCCGTGGTATATTGGCCATATACCACAAACCCCCGAGGTGCCTTATTGCTATTAAAAACGGGTTACCAACGTAATTAGAGCAGTAAAAATACATGTTTTGTCATACCCGTGGTATACGGTCTGATATACCACGGCTGTCAGCCACTCAGCAATCAGTGCTCGAACCACCCAGTTTATAATACTTCGTATAGTGCTGCAAAACCTCTTAGGTGTTCATTAGGGTAACTTTATGAGATGGTCAGAAACATAAAAGCAATAGAAGTGTTTGTGCTATAAACTCACAGTTGTCTTCCACATGTTTGTTGACATCATCCTCAGCTGGGAACACTTGGTTGATCTGGGCCGTAAAGCTCTGTCAAAACAAGATGGACGTGAAACAGGATTAAATCATCTGTACAACTTTAGTATTTCACTATGCTGCTAACACTATGCTGTTCTCTTTCTAATGTATTAAAGTTGAGGAGTTGGTCACTAACTACATAAATAAAAGTATGGGGCCTAAAATACCAAACAATGCACAAAGGAGCGAGATGCATGAGTAAATCAACCCATTAAGTCTATTTGGATTCCAATCAATGTGCCTGCTTTTAACAATATAAGTCAGTCATCTTTTCAAGTCTGTCAACGTGTTCTTTTTGCAATCCCAAGTTCCCAATGGGTCACTCAAAACACTGACTGTTCAAGAAGGCCATCGCTTCAAAGGGCCCTGGTGTACGCAGCAGTGAGTGACACATCAAGGGACAATGAATTATTTGGAGAGAGGCAGAAACAGGATCTGGGGGCTGGGAGTTAACTAGTGAGGTGCTGTGGAGGCTGGCTGCAAGCTGCAGCCCCTCCCCTCTTCAGGCCCACAGTTGTCGGTCAGCACCTCCACTGCAGAGCACAGCCTCCATGCATTATTCATTAGCATTATCAGCACACATGCATGGCCCAGGACAAACAATACATCTAGCTACATGTGCCCATAGGCAGGGCTTGTGTTGTGAGGCTGGAGCTAGTTTGGTGTTACTGGTGTGTGTGTGTGTGTATATATATATATATATATGTGTGTGTGTGTGTGTGTGTGTGTGTGCGCGTGCATGCGCATGTTACTTATAGCATGTGTTTAAGGTAAACATCTGGTGAGTACTACGGGTTATTTAGGAATCATAAAAACACATTGCGATTGAAAGTTAGCGTGACTCAGCATATGAGAGAGCACTAGCAGGTTAACCAAGTTGATGAGTTTGTTTATTAATCTTTATTCAATCTACCAATAGGTGCCCTTCTTTGCGAGGCATTGGAAAACCTCCCTGGTCTTTGTGGTTGAATCTGTTTTTGAAATTCACTGCTCGACTGAGGGACCTTACAGATAATTGTATGTGTGGGGTACAGAGATGAGATAGTGATTCAAAAGTCCTGTTAAACACCATTATTGCACAGAGTGAGTCCATGCAACTTATTATGTGACATGTTAAGCAAATGTTTACTCCTGAACTTATTTAGGCTTGCCATAACAAAGGGGTTCAATACTTATTGACTCGAAAAACATAATTCCACTTTGACATTATGGGGTATTGTGTGTAGGGCAGTGACAAAACATCTCAATTTAATCAATTTTAAATTCAGGCTGTAACACAACAAAATGTGGAAAAAGTCAAGGGGTGTGAATACTTTCTGAAGACATACAGTGCATTCATGTTCATGGAAATATGAACAAACATACAGTGAAATCCCTTTTGAACTACTAGGCTAACCAAAGCTAGTTTAAGATGGCTGGCAGCACCTTTCTCCTTCTGCATGGATACATTCTTCTTACCACATTCATAGACGCCAACTGCTTTAGCACCTATTGACGATAGTACCTTCTGACTGGGGCAGTTTTGGTAAGAGCCCCGACGCTTGCTGTAAACATTAACACCCACCACTTGCGGTACTGTTTTGGAAACATAAGGAAGGTACGTTTCATATCAGCGAGAAATAATAAACAAAAAAACACACCTTTAAATTACTACACACCTTTATAGGGTTAGTGTTCCCACAGGGCCATATCACCATGTTACAGCGCTTGTTTACAGGAAACAGACGGAAGACAGAGGCGACCACCTGCGCTAATTAGCCATCTTGTGTGCTCCAAACACCTGTGCGTAAGCGTAACTCGGGAAGTGTAGTTTCGTCAGATGGAGGCACACACAGCCTTATGGATCTGTGCATAAATGCTACAGTAGGTGTATACTTTTTATTTGAAGGATTCCTTCTTCAGATAAGGGCCATATGTTTCGAAAGCCGTATCGCAAGCGATGATTGACGTTTCTAAACGTTAAAACTCAGCGTCGGGATTGTAGTTTACATGAGCCAGTTGTGGGCGAAGTTAACCGGTGAAAACTGGAGGGTGAAGACAGAATGCCAGTTTGAGAGCTACATTCTCCTGGCCTGCCCCTATAACACAGCACCAGCTAAAAGCCTTCTGCAACTTTACCTTGTCCACTCCACACGTGGCAAAGACATTTCACCAGGGAAAAATATAATCGTTTATCAAATTTTTCAGAAGTTAGTTTGGGGAACATACGTGGGGTGACCTTAGACTAGTAAGTGGGTCCGGCGGGCTGTGATGTGTAGCTAGCTAGGCCAGGCCAGACACAGCATGTGCATCCCAAATGGCAACCTCTTCCCTACATAGTGTACTTCTTTTGACCAGAGCACTATGTAGGGAATAAGAGTGCCATTTGGGACACAGCCATCCAGAGCCAGCTCCCTCCTGTGTGCCATGGGGACCTGTTGGCATCTCTTTTCTGGGCCAGCAATTTAGGCTTTGTATCAATTGGCACCCTATTCCGTATTTAGTGCACTACTTTTGAAAGCATTGCAATATACAGGGAATAGGGTGCTATTTGGGATGTGTGCTTAGTCTCTCCAATAGAGGCACTGCAAGAAGGTTTTAAAACTTCCTAGAGTGGAGATGCCAAGGTGACGTACAGTCGGTTCATTCTTTCCTGCACTGGCATGTTCCACATTCTGGGCCGAAACTGGCAGGATTCCATAGCACTGAGCCACGTGAGGTGACTGAAGGCAAGAGGAGAGGGGGAGAAGGAAGGGAGGGAAGGTGAGGCAATGCCCCTGAATCAATCTCTACCTCTCGAGGATGAGAGAGAGAGAGAGAGAGAAGAGGAGAGCGATAGAGAGCGAGGAGAGAGAGCGAGGGAGAGAGCTCAGGAGAGAGAGAGAGAGAGAGAGGGATGCGCGCGCGGAGCGATCGAGATAGAAGCTGAGAGCTCTAGTCGCAGAGAGAGCTCTCTATAGCTATCTCTTCGCTATTCTCCTCGATCGCGCTCTCCGCTCTCATCTCTCTCTCTCTCTCTCTCTCTCCTCTCTCTCTCTCTCTCTCCTCTCTCTCTATCTCTCTCTCTCTAGCTCTATCTCTCTCTCTCTCTCTCTACTCTCTCTCTCTCTCTACTCTCGCTATCTCTCTGCTCTCTCTGCAGAGGTGAAACAGTGAAGAAACCCTATTCCCTTTATAGTGCACCAATTTCAACCAGGGCTCATAGGGCTCTGATCAAAAGTAGTGCACTATATAGGAAATAGGGTTCCATTGGGGACCCAGTCTGGGACACATTACCTAACGTTGTGGGCCACAGAGTCGGCCATTGTGGCTCAGGCTGTGTGTGACACGGTGTCACGCACTGAGCAGCCCGTCTCTCCTGACGTCCCCCCTCAAGGGTCTGCCAGGCTGCGTACGCCGCTGCTGCTCTGAGCAGGCCGGGTGTGGAGGAAGGGAGCTGTAGACTGGCACTAACTGGCTGCCGCAGGGACAGAACACACATTGTGCCCCTCACACTGCCTGTTACAGCACAGAACGGACCATAAATGCCAGAGAATGGACACATCCGTTACAAATGACTGAAACACACACACACAGCTTCCTTCATAATAAAAGATCTGACGGAGTCCCATGATTAATGGGCCGGATGTAAACACTATATGTGAGCAAATTGTTTGAGGAGGACGTTCACTTTATGACAAAGCCACACAAGGAAGTACGAGTTACCATAGAAACTGGGTTTCACTAACTTCAAGAGCGTAATACATTATCTAGCCTAGTGGAAAAGTGAATTAGCTGTGACTGGTGGCTTCGAAGGGAAAGCCTACTTGACCAGGTAAGAGCCACTTTACCTCAGAAACTGGGGCTTCATTTTGTACTAGTGGAGGAGGGTAGTATCTATAAATGACTAAACTACAGCCTCTGGGAGTTTTGATAGCAGATGTTTCACTAGTATGTTAGCTGTTGGATGCTCTTCGTGTCAAGATTAGCTATGTTTCCATGAACTTGTCCAGCGATTTTTGGTTGACATTTAAAAGTTCACATAGAAAATAGATGCGACAATTGACTCGGTCAAAATAACTGAATTTAATAATGTCACACGCACATTTTTGAAAACTATTTTACAAAAACCTAGTGTCAAATAAAAAAGTGTTACCATGATCCTTTTGAAGGCCCTCGGATCAATTCCCCCCCCCCCCCCCCCAAAAAAAAGAAAATATACACACTACTTGACCAAAAGTACATGGACACCTGCTTGTCTAACATCTTATTTCAAATTCATGGGTATTAATATGGAGTTGGTCCCCCCACTGCTGCTATAACAGCCTCCACTCTTCTGGGAAGGCTTTCCACTAGATGTTGGAACATTGCTGTGGGGACTTTCTTCCATTCAGCCACAAGAGCATTCGTGGGCACTAATGTTGGGCGATTAGGCCTGGCTCGCAGTCGGCGTTCTAATTCATCCCAAAGGTGTTCGATGGGGTTGAGGTCAGGCCTCTGTGCAGGCCAGTCAAGTTCTTCCACACCAATCTCGACAAACCATTTCTGTAAGGACCTCGCTTTGTGCATCAAATCAAATTTTATTTGTCACATACAAGTGTTTAGCAGATGTTATAAAGGGTGTAGCGAAATGCTTCTGCTTCTAGCTCCAGTGCAGTAATATCTAACAAGTAGTATCTAACAATTTCACAACATATACCTAATACAAACAAAACTAGTAAGGAATGGAATTTAAGAAAATATACATATGGACAAGCAATGACAGAGCGGCATGGACTAAGATACAGTAGAATATTATAGAATAGAATGCAGTATATACATACGAGTAGTGCAAGATATTTAAACATTATTAAAGTGACTGTAAACATTATTTAAGTTACTAGTGTTCCATTTCTTAAAGTGGCCAGTGATTTCAATAGGCAGCAGCAGCCTCTAATGTGCTAGTGATGGCTATTTAACAGTCTGATGGTCTTGAGATAGAAGCTGTTTTTCATTCTCTCTGTCCCAGCTTTGATGCACCTGTACTGACCTCGCCTTCTGGATGATAGCGGGGTGAACAAGCAGTGGCTCGGGTGGTTGATGTCCTTGATGATATTTTTGGCCTTCCTGTGACATCGGGTGCTGTATGTGTCTTGGAGGGCTGGTAGTTTGCCCCCGATAATGCGTTCGGCAGACCACACCACCCCCTTGCCGTACCAGGTGGTGATAAAGCCCAACAGGATGCTCTCAATTATGCATCTGTAAAGGTTTGTGAGGGTTTTAGGTGCCAAGCCGAATTTCTTCAGCCTCCTGAGGTTGAAGAGGCTCTGTTGTGCCTTCTTCACCACACTGTCTGCGTGGGTGGACCATTTCAGTTTGTCGGTGATGTGTATCCAAGGAACTTGAAGCTTTCCACCTTCTCCACTGCGGTCCCGTCGATGTGGATAGCGAGGTGCACCCTCTGCTGTTTCCTGAAGTCCACGATCATCTCCTTTGTTTTGTTGACGTTGAGTGAGAGGTTATTTTCCTGGCACCACACTCCCAGAGCCCTCACCTCCTCCCTGTAGGCGGTCTCGTCATTGTTGGTAATCAAGCCTACTACTGTTGTGTCGTCTGCAAACTTGATGATTGAATTGGAGGCGTGCTTGGCCACGCAGTCATGGGTGAACAGGGAGTACAGGAGGGGGCTGAGCACGCACCCTTGTGGGACCCCAGTGTTGAGGATCGGCGAAGTGGAGATGTTGTTTCCTACCTTTACCACCTGGGGGCGGCCCGTCAGGAAGTCCAGGACCCAGTTGCACAGGGCGGGGTTCAGACCCAGGGCCTCGAGCTTGATGATGAGCTTGGAGGGTCCTATGGTGTTGAATGTTGAGCTATAGTCAATGAACAGCATTCTTACATAGGTATTCCTCTTGTCCAGATGGAATAGGGCAGTGTGCAGTGTGATGGCGATTGCATCGTCTGTGGATCTATTGGGGTGGTAAGCAAATTGAAGTGGGTCTAGGGTGACAGGTAAGGTAGAGGTGATATGATCCTTGACAAGTCTCTCAAAGCACTTCATGATGGCAGAGGTGAGTGCTACAGGGCAATAGTCATTTAGTTCAGTTACCTTTGCTTTCTTGGGTACAGGAACAATGGTGGCCATCTTGAAGCATGTGGGAACAGCAGACTGGGAAAGGGAGAGATTGAATATGTCCATAAACACACCAGCCAGCTGGTCTGCGCATGCTCTGAGGACGCGGCTAGGGATGCTGTCTGGGCCGGCAGGCTTGCGGGGGTTAACATGCTTAAATGTCTTAATCACGTCGGCCACGGAGAAGGAGAGGCCACAGTCCTTGGTAGCGGGCCTCGTCAGTGGCACTATGTTATCCTCAAAGCGGGCGAAGAAGGTGTTTAGCTTGTCTGGAAGCGAGACGTCGGTGTCGGCGACGTGGCTGGTTTTCCTTTTGTAGTCCGTGATTGTCTGTAGACCCTGCCACATATGTCTCGTGTCTGAGCCGTTGAATTGCCATTGAATTGCGACAATGGGGGCATTGTCATGCTGAAACAGGAAAGGGCCTTTCCCAAACTTTTGCCACAAAGTTGGAAGCACAGAATCGTCTAGAATGTAATTGTATGATGTAGCATTAAGATTTCCCTTCACTGGAACTAAGGGGCCTAGCCTGAACCACGAAAAACAGCCCCAGACCATTATTCCTCCTCCACCAAACTTTACAGTTGGCACTATGCATTCGGGCAGGTAGCGTTCTCCTGGCATGCACCAAACCAGATGGTGAAGCGTGATTCATCACTCCAGAGAACGCGTTTCCACTGCTCCAAAGTCTAATGGTGGCGAGCTTTACACCACTCCAGCCGACGCTTGGCATTGCGCATGATGATCTAAGCCTTGTGTGTGGCTGCTCGGCCATGGAAACCCATTTCATGAGCTTGTGTGGCCTACCACTTCGCGGCTGAGCCGTTGTTGCTCCTAGACGATTCCACTACACTTTATATATTTTTATGGGTAAGTTAGTCTAACGGCCAGCTATCTAAACATAGCAATCATTGTCGAATTACCAGCCAGGGGGCCCCCATTGATTTTGTTGGTCAGTCTTACTCATATCATATTAATACCTGCAAACATTTCTCTCCGCCCCATGGAAAAATGGGCATGCAGACCCCTCATGATGAGTTCAGATTTTTTGTGGCCCCCACCCCCATCAAATATATGCAATATTCAAAATATTATAACATTTCTAGGTATTGCCACGGTCCGTGCCATGGTGAAACTTGCACTCCTGTAGATCTGAAATAATTGGATGGTGAAACTTGCATCCAGCCAACCAGAAAAACAAGGCAAAACAAGTCAGGACAAGCCTTGTCTTGCAAAGAAACTATTTGATTTAGCAAGCAGTACATATTTAAAATACAAATGTGGAGTGGAAGCCCCCCCTCGTCAATCATGAGTTATTCGAAAAACACTGTTACCATCATAATTTGTCACAATAAAGTTAGACTAAAGACAAATCCACCCGTCAAACAGATTTTTTTTTTATGTTGATCTTTAGAGCATTTATCCAATAGCTGCCGTTTCCATTAAACTTGTCGTAATGTTTATTTTTTTTTGGGGGGGGGGGGGGGGGGGTTGCCTTTGTCAAATAAACCTGGTGCAATAGAAACCTGCCTACTGATGGCCACCACCACAATTATGTGAATTCTCTATGTGCAAAAAACGTCTGTTTTCGCGTGTGTGTATGCGTGTATGATCGCCTACCTTTTGCCCCTGTTTCAGCGGCTCGATGGTCAAGCTGTTTGCTCCTATGTCCACTATGGTCCCCAGCTGGAACCCATCTGCTGGGTGGGGCGCCCACACCGGCTTCCCATCCTCCATTGGACCGCTTGACGAGCACTGCAACACAAGAGGGAAGAAACAGGGGACTGTTAAAGGCCAGTCCACGTTCCTAAAGCCATGAAACAGTTATTCAACAAAAAAAACGTTAATTATCCCCGGATGACAATTAGGCTACAGTTATTACAAATATAATATATAGGTATAATTGTGTGTGTGTGTGTGTGTGTGTGTGTGTGTGTGTGTGTGGTGTGTGTGTGTGTGTGTGTGTGTGTGTATATATATATATATATATATATATATATATATATATATATATATATATTATACATTATACACACACATATATACATACACATACATACACACACTGAGGGAAAATAGTATTTGATCCCCTGCTGATTTTGTAAGTTTGCCCACTGACAAAGACATGATCAGTCTATAATTTTAATGGTAGGTTTATTTGAACAGAGAGAGACAGAATAACAAAAAAATCCAGAAAAATGCATGTCAAAAATGTTATAAATTGATTTGCATTTTAATGAGGGAAATAAGTATTTGACCCCTCTGCAAAACATGATTTAATACTTGGTGGCAAAACCCTTGTTGGCAATCACAGAGGTCAGACGTTTCTTGTAGTTGGCCACCAGGTTTGCACACATCTCAGGAGGGATTTTGTCCCACTCCTCTTTGCAGATCTTTTCCAAGTCATTATGGTTTCGAGGCTGACGTTTGGCAACTCGAACCTTCAGCTCCCTCCACAGATTTTCTATGGGATTAAGGTCTGGAGACTGGCTAGGCCACTCCAGGACCTTAATGTGCTTCTTCTTGAGCCACTCCTTTGTTGCCTTGGCCATGTGTTTTGGGTCATTGTCATGCTAGAATACCCATCCACGACCCATTTTCAATGCCCTGGCTGAGGGAAGGAGGTTCTCACCCAAGATTTGACGGTACATGGCCCCGTCCATCGTCCCTTTGATGCGGTGAAGTTGTCCTGTTCCCTTAGCGTAAAAACACCCCCAAAGCATAATGTTTCCACCTCCATGTTTGACGGTGGGGATGGTGTTCTTGGGGTCATAGGCAGCATTCCTCCTCCAAACATGGCGAGTTGAGTTGATGCCAAAGAGCTCCATTTTGGTCTCATCTGACCACAACACTTTCACCCAGTTCTCCTCTGAATCATTCAGATGTTCATTGGCAAACTTCAGACGGGCCTGTATATGTGCTTTCTTGAGCAGGGGGACCTTGCGGGCGCTGCAGGATTTCAGTCCTTCACGGCGTAGTGTGTTACCAATTGTTTTCTTGGTGACTATGGTCCCAGCTGCCTTGAGATCATTGACAAGATCCTCCCGTGTAGTTCTGGGCTGATTCCTCACCGTTCTCATGATCATTGCAACCACGAGGTGTGATCTTGCATGGAGCCCCAGGCCGAGGGAGATTGACAGTTATTTTGTGTTTCTTCCATTTGCGAATAATCGCACCAACTGTTGTCACCTTCTCACCAAGCAGCTTGGCAATGATGGTCTTGTAGCCCATTCCAGCCTTGTGTAGGTCTACAATCTTGTCCCTGACATCCTTGGAGAGCTCTTTGGTCTTGGCCATGGTGGAGAGTTTGGAATCTGATTGATTGATTGCTTCTGTGGACAGGTGTCTTTTATACAGGTAACAAGATGAGATTAGGAGCACTCCCTTTAAGAGTGTGCTCCTAATCTCAGCTCGTTACCTGCATAAAAGACACCTGGGAGCCAGAACTCTTTCTGATTAAGATTCAAATAAACACACCATTACAATTATAGACTGATCATGTCTATGTCAGTGGGCAAACTTACAAAATCAGCAGGGGATCAAATACTTTTTTCCCTCACTGTACACACACACACACACACACACACACATATACACGTACACACTACAGTTCAAAAGTTTGGGGTCACTTAGAAATGTCCTTGTTTTCGGAAGAAAGGCAATGTTTTTTCCCATTAAAATAACATTAAATTGATCATACAGTGTAGACATTGTTAATGTTGTAAATGGCTATTGTAGCTGGAAACGGCTGATTTTTAATGGAATATCTACATAGGCGTACAGAGGCCCATTATCAGCAACCATCAGTCCTGTGTTCCAATGGCACGTTGTGTTTGCTAATCCAAGTTTATCATTTTAAAAGGCTAATTGATCATTAGAAAACCCTTTTGCAATTATGTTAGCACAGCTGAAAACTGTTGTGCTGATTTAAATAACAAATAAAACTGGCCTTCTTGAGACTAGTTGAGTATCTGGAGCATCAGCAATTGTGGGTTCGATTACAGGCTCAAAATGACCAGAAACAAATAACTTTCTTCTGAAACTCGTCAGTCTATTCTGAGAAATGAACGGTATTCTATGCGAGAAATTGCCAAGAAACTGAAGATCTCGTACAATGCTGTGTACTACCCCCTTCACAGAACAGCGCAAACTGGCTCTAACCAGAATAGAAAGAGGAGTGGGAGGCCCCGGTGCACAACTGAGCAAGAGGACAAATACATTAGAGTGTCTAGTTTGAGAAACAGGCACCTCACAGGTCCTCAACTGGCAGCTTCATTAAATAGTACCCGCAAAACACCAGTCTCAACGTCAACACTGAAGAGGCGACTCCGGGATGCAGACCTTCTAGGCAGAGTTGCAAAGAAAAAGCAATTTCTCAGACTGCCCATCTTAATCTTTTCTTTTTATAGGCCAGTCTGAGATATGGCTTTTTCTTTCCAGCCTAAGTGTATGTAAACTTCCAACTTCAACTGTATACATACATACATACATATAGTGCCTTGCAAAAGTATTCATCCCCCTTGGCGTTTTTCCTATTTTGTTGCATTACAACCCGTAATTTAAATGGATTTTTATTTGGATTTCATATAATGGACATACACAAAATAGTCCAAATTGGTGAAGTGAAATAAAAAAAATACCTTGTTTCAAAAAATTCAAAACATTAAATAACATAAAAGTGGTGGACAATGACCCTAAGCATACTGCTAAAGCAACACTTGAGTGGTTTAAGGGGAAACATTTAAATGTCTTGGAATGGCCTAGTCAAAGCCCAGACCTCAATCCAATTGAGAATCTGTGGTATGACTTAAAGATTGCTGTACACCAGCGGAACCCATCCAACTTGAAGGAGCTGGAGCAGTATTCCCTTGAAGAATGGCAAAAATCACAGTGGCTAGATGTGCCAAGCTTATCGATTCCAGGCTGTATCATAACTGGCCGTGATTGGGAGTCCCATAGGGCGGCGCACAATTGGCCCAGCGTCATCCGGGTTTGGCCGGTGTAGGCCGTCATTGTAAATAAGAATTTGTTCTTAACTGACTTGCCTAGTTAAATAAAGGTTTGTAAAAAATTTGAAAAAATTGAGAAAAAAAAACAATGACCCAAAACACATGGCCAAGGCAACAAAGGAGTGGCTCAAGAAGAAGCACATTAAGGTCCTGGAGTGGCCTAGCCAGTCCCCAGACCTTAATCCCATAGAAAATCTGTGGAGGGAGCTGAAGGTTCGAGTTGCCAAACGTCAGGCTCGAAACCTTAAATGACTTGGAGCAGATCTGCAAAGAGGAGGAGTGGAACAAAATCCCTCCTGAGATGTGTGCAAACTTGGTGGCCAACTACAAGAAACGTCTGACCTCTGTGATTGCCAACAAGGGTATTACCACTAAGTACTAAGTCATGTTTTGCAGAGGGGTCAAATACTTATTTCCCTCATTAAAATGCAAATCAATTTATAACATTATTGACATGCGTTTTTCTGGATTTTTTTGTTATTCTGTCTCTCACTGTTCAAATAAACCTACCATCAAAATTATAGACTGATCATTTCTTTGTCAGTGGGCAAACGTACAAAATCAGCAGGGGATCAAATACTTTTTTCCCCTCACATACATACAGTTGAAGTCGGAAGTTTACATACACCTTAGCCAAATACATTTAAACTCAGTTTTTCACAATTCCTGACATTTAATCCTAGTAAAGATTCCGTCTTAGGTCAGTTAGGATCACCACTTTATTTTAAGAATGTGAAATGTCAGAATAATAGCACAGAGAATGTTTGAAGGTAGGCCTTGAAATACATCGACCGGTACACCTCCAATTGACTAAAATGATGTCAATTAGCCTATCAGAGGCTTCTAAAGCCATGAAATCATTTTCTGTAATTTTCCAAGCTGTTTAAAGGCACACAGTCAACTTAGTGTATGTAAACTTCTGACCCACTGGAATTATGATACAGTGAATTATAAGTGAAATAATCTGTCTGTAAACAATTGTTGGAAAAATTACATGTACAAAGTATATGTCCTACACCGACTTGCCAAAACATAGTTGTTAACAAGAAAATTTGTGGAGTGGTTGAGAAACTAGTTTTAATTACTCCAACCTACGTGTATGCAACTTCCGACTTCAACTGTACATACCATACATACATACATACATACAGTGGGGGAAAAAAAAGTATTAGTCAGCCACCAATTGTGCAAGGTCTCCCACTTAACAAAGATGAAAGAGGCCGTAATTTTTCATCATAGGTTACACGTAAACTCTATGACAGGGACCAAATGAGGAGAAAAAATCCAGACAATCCACATTGAGGATTTTTATGAATTATAAAATAGTATTGTCCTAAAAAGCAGATTTCTGGCTGCAAGACCTGAATTTTAAGGCTCCTCTGCCTCCACTGTTACTGTAATGCACCTGTTGGTATAGTATAAAAGACACCTGTCTACCCCACACCCAAATCCTTATGGCCAAGACAAGAGCGTAAAGGACACAGAAACAAAATGTGTTGCACAGCTGGAAGACTGAATCTGCAAAGGTAAGCAGTGTTTGAAGAAATCAAACGTGGGAGCAATTTATGGAAATGAAGAATCAGACATTACACTCCCCGAAGGTCACCACCCTGTTGCTGGTATTTGGCCCATTCCTCAGTAACATACGCGCAGGGACTCAAATCCTCAGTGCCAGACGTGTCAGTAGCAGTACATGTCAGGTCCGTCTGAAGTTGCTAGAGTGCATGGATGATCCAAAGAGGATGG